TAGCTACACACAGCCGATCTTTCTACACAGCCCCATCGTCGGCGTCTAACTACATAGCTGGCTGACTAATGTAGCGATGACGACAATGGGAGCCGTGCAGAGGATCGGCCATGCGGCTGGACGATGGAGAAAGATGACGGCGAGCAGCGACGCGGCCAGGACCCGGGACCCCGCGACAGCCCCGAACCTTCGCTCACGTCCCTCCTATACACTTCCCGGCGTGGCCAGGCCTCGCCTCCGGCCACGCCACCTTCTAGAAACTTCGAGCAGTATAAAAGTGTAATGTTTAATACAATGTATAAGGTAAATATATAGTATCGTAATTGTATAGTGAATATACAGCAGTGTGGTATACAGTAGGGTGGGTAGAATAATACATAGTGTAATATTACAATGTATAGTCTATAAGCATATTAGTTGCTGCAGCTCCATACTATTAACATTCCTTCCCTTTATTAATGCTAACCTTACTCCCTCCCTTTGATGCTGCTAATCCTGCATAATGCACGGGGAAATTATGACTTTGAACCCCCCATCCACCTCCTACGCATTCCACAAGTAGTGACTAATCCCATATCTGCATTTCCCATAAATATGCTAAATTCCTCTTGATATGCAAATTATTTTGTCAAGGCGCTCTTCCCCCTCCAACCCAGCTTAAATATACGCTCCAAGTCTGGTGGTGTTTTATTCAGACGCTGTCTTTCCGACAGACCTGTTCTTCACCTGAAGACGGCTGCTTGCGTTGTGGCCGAAACGTCGTGAGAATAATTTTATAATGTTTTATTTTATTATTTTATTATTTCCCTTCTACGTGACTTTACCGAAAGAACCAAGAAGATACACAGGTTTTATTAAACAATGTAGTTGTACTTACGTGCCTGTGTTTGATTTGTGTTTTCGATGATGTCTAAAAATCTGGCACGTCTTGCCATTCCAGGAAGGGCATCTTGCACTCCCAGGGAGTGCGTGCACCCCCAGGTTAAGAACCACTGTTGTCGAGAAATGTGCTTTCCTGTATTTAACCTTGTTGATCAAGTAAATTCTGTACTGACAACTTACCATCTTTTTCGGTCTCCAATCTGTCACCACTACAAAAATAAGCTACTCTGTTTCACGAGATTCTCACAGCGAAAATAACTTCCACGTACGCGACAGGGGCCATGTATTCCAAGCATTTATTTTCATCTGTGTATCACATCCGGCAAAAACGGTTCGGCCCGGCTTTGCCCCCCGCACCTCGGTTCACCCCGGGAGTTCCTTCTTTCTACTGAACAAGCCGCCGCACAACGCGACGGGGGCCCACGGGAGGGTGGGTGGGGGGGGTGTCACCACGAGGAGGCGGGCGGGGGGGGGGGGTGATGACAGGATTGTCCAGGAAGGGACTCCAGATGTCCTGCAACTCTTCGTATGTTCTTCCCGGTCAGCTTATACCCTCGGTGCTGCACAGGGGCCGGCCGTTAGAGGGCGCTGTATCAGTGTGATGTAGATGTGGATCCCATGCTCCTCCTGCCACGTGCTCAGAATGGCGTCCATTGCCGCAATATAAAATATTTTGAAAAGGGGGCTCTGGTCCCCTGTTATTCCGTCCGGGTTCACGCCCATCAGAGACATCTGGAACCGTGGCTAAGAGCGTCGTGCTATTCTGTTGAATTTGGGACGCGATGGTGGAAAGGGATCTTTGTTCATCCTGGCAGGACTGGAACGCGTGCTCGCAGGTTTCACCAGCACCCGGGAGGGAGGGGGGGCATCGATGACCATCTGGTGAAGTGCCATTGACATACTTTGCCCACCTCTGGTTCACAAGGTGTGTTCCAGTGAGCCTCCCAACGAGACGGGCGACCCTTCACCCCTTACCCAGAGAGTTCATGCATCGGCAAGGTTCGAGCGAACGCTGTTTCCGTCCCATGTGTGCCGTCTCCTTTGCACGACTTCTCATTTCATGTCTGGCTTGTGCAATTGGTTTTCGCTCCGTTGCTCTAAATACGACATCGATGCATTTGCAGACGCTTCGGCGAAGGAGCTCGAGCAAATCCGAGCGGTTTCAAGACGTCAAGAGACAGTTGGGAGACAATGTGTGAATGGGTCGACGGGGGTCGCGTGACATCGGAGCAGTAGAAACCGAAACAGGGGGACAGCAAACCAGGAGGAGTGGGGTATGTGCAATCGGGAGATGTTCAACCAGCGGCAGAAATGGCATTTGCAACGGAGACCTCGTGGGAGGCGACGGAGGGGCACCGGGACGGGAGGCACACGAGGGACCGCGACGAATGGTCGATCACGACGCGAAGCGGATATGGGTGCGATATAGAAGGAGAGTTTACTGCAGCTCTTAAACGACGACACCTCGAGAGGGCTACCTGAGGAGGTTAGAAAAAGCCTCCCATAGCCACAATATCACGCAATGCAGCGGGTTGTTGAGATCAACAGCCACATCAAGCGTGTAAGAAACAAGAATAGGTGTTACCTTCCCTGGCAATAAAACAGGTAGGTGTGTAAACCTGACTGCAAAAAAACAACGCACATGACAGGACCCTCCTGAAAAAACGAGTTTTGAGACTCAAGCTTTCCTGGGTGAACAAGCCCAGGGTCTTTGGTTCCGTTTGAGTGAAAAAGACAGAACCACAAAAACAGGAACTTCTGAGGGATGGAACCAGAGCCACAGCGGGAGCCGCAGCGGGTACCACAGTACCGCAAGAACACATGGTCAGCAAAAGTGGAGTTACGCCCCACCGAATGGCTCTGTGCCAAGGGCGAGTGTTAAAGGGTGATGACCGGTGGTTCCTCATTTCCGTCACTCGTAGCAGGATCGCTCCAAGTGCCTCGGGGACGCCGGAATGGCGACAACGAGCATGTAATCTCTCCGCGTCAATCTGTCCAAATTGCACCATCGCTACCCCACCTGAATCCTACAACCACCACCTCCAAAACATTCACAACCACCACTTCTGCCACCACGAAATTGCCTTCACCGCCACCTTTTGCATGCACGACCACCGCCACCTCCTCCTCCTCTTCCTGCTCCGCGGGTCGTTGCGGCTGGAGGAACTCAGCTATAAAAGTGCCACCGTGCATCCCCGTAGGCAGCTACACGCCATGGGGCCCAGGGATCGGAGCCTCCACCTCTTCCATCTCCTCATCCTCTTCAACCGCGGCACGGCGGAGGTGCTTGCAGGCGAGTCCCTGTGTGCAGTTCCACCCGGGTTCACCTCATCGCTACGAGGCCAACAGCGACGACGCTCGTTTGCCGTGACGATGTTGTTGGGAGTACCCATGAGGAGGTCCGGAGTCTCCTCTCGTGCTTGTGGGGGTTTCTCCAGTGCACACATCCAACCCAGCGCCGAGTAAATTGTATCTCAGCGAGGCCCTTCTGGGTTCATCGCTGTCAGCATTGTCATCGATGACAGGAAGGGTAGTGGAACGATCGTGTATTACTATTGCTCTGTGTACAGAAGACGAGGGTTTTTTGTCCGTTCGAATATTTTTTTACGTCGACATTTGAATGTTGGCCATTCCGAAATGTTGGTGATGATTATGATGATGGTGTGTAGACGCGCTAACGGCCCTGGACCTCAAGGCCAGTTACATGACGTTGTAATTCTAGATTTGAAGCTTTCGTGACTGCAAGGATTCATATTCTTAAGTTTTTTCGGTAAAGTCACGTAGGTAAAAAATTAAAATTTAAAATTAATAAGAGTTAAATAAAAATAAAATTAAAATCACGACGTTTCGGAGGCAACACAAGGTTCCGTTTCAGGTGGAACCGTCACAGCACGATTGCTATTACGTGACTTTACCGAAACAACCTAAGAATATACATGACGTTGTCTCAGCTCTAGTCCTTCACCTCGCGGTCCTTGCCTCCGGTGTCCTCGATCTGATATTTTCGAGGACTCACGGTAAACTCCCTCATCGCTCTTCTTCCCGAGTCACTCACTGGATCCCACATGTCCACAAAGATCGCTGGAAGAGCGCCCACTTGTTCACGTAGACGTTGCCAAATGGTCTCATACCACCCCCTCGCTGCAACGGCACTCACCCTCGCGTGAGGTTAAAGGTCAAGCTTGCCGTCCTCAACGTTTCGCTTGCCCTCTCATTTCTACCGACACCGCTTCCCGAGTCCTTCGCTCGTCTGGTCTAGAGCTACTCGTTACACCCAATACAGCATGGATTATAGCGGCACCTACAATCGATCAACTTACAAGACCGGGCCTTGACCGGTAGCACATGTGACCAGAGCGAAATTCAGGACCACGAGAGATGTCAAGTATTTAGCTATGCCAGTTGTCCGTATATGGCGCATAAAAGTGGATTGCTTGATAACCTTACTAATCAAATCAGATCATTTTGATCATTCACTGTTGTTATTGTCGTCTCAGAGGTACAATGGTGCAACCACCATCGCAGGAGGTTTCACCATCTGGGCCGATGGCCGTGACACCGGCCGAGATATAAAAGTCTCCTGGCAATGGCTGGTATTATGGCTCCTGGAGAGGGTTTCCACGTGTCTAGGTTTGACCCAGAACAACCTGGGAATTGGCGTCCGTGCTCGGGTACCAGCAGTTGATTTGTACACAGATCTTGGTGCAGGTATCGCGTTGAACTTTACAGGAGGAGAACTTCACAGTTCTGATGACAGACCTGGTCAGAATCATAAACATGTAACTTTTCGGTCTACAGTGTAAAAGGTGGCAACCATGCTCCTGGCCTTGAATCCAAGACAGGGTGCTCATGATGGTGATACTTCAATAACGATCGTGATGTATATATTATTGGCAATGATGATATACCCATATTGCGATGATCAGTGATCAGTAATAATTACGAGTGATGATATACTGTATTCATAATTAGATCACTACTCATGAATACCCCCGATGATTATATCATATTGATCATTGACAATCAATAAGGATGATGATGATGATGGTGGTGATGATGTTGAGTGATCATGTTTGAGTGATGATGGTGGCGACGGTGTAGGAGCCGTGGTCCCGCGAGTCAAGGTGGAACCTCCCTTCGCGGTGGTCCGCGTGGGTGACCCACTCCACTTCCGCTGCTCCGTGCAGTTGGAGGTTAGAAACATTGAGCTCCGCTGGACCCATCTCGCCCCTACAGAGTCGTTGTGGGTGAGTGCAGTGCCGGATTAAACTAGTGTGGGGCCTATTGCATGCGTTATAAAAGGGCCCTAAATGAAAATATTAAAACACACATTTTTTTACTTGCACAGTAAAGTAATTGTATTTTTTCATTTGCTATACAGCCAGATAATGCGACAAATCGCGAACCTTAAACACCCAGTCGTTAATAAAGTTGAAGGCGGTATAGTACCATTGGAACCTCATTTACCAGTAAAAAATGTGATAATTGATTTTTACCCTTTTATCTGGCAACAAAACTGACCCATTTTTTTTAACAAGGAGTCATGTTTGCATAGACCACAATACCTGCAGTCATAATGCAAACAAAAAACATAACTCTGATAATGTATGCACTGTCCTTGAAGTTGATTGGTCCACACCCGAGACAGCTTTCCTTAGAGCCTAGTCTCACATGGTGTTGGACCAGACGACGCCAAAAGGCGCACAACTCAAAGACAATGCACCATCAGAGTATGAGAGCTCGGGGTAAACATTTACACGATTGGAACCTCATTTGCCAGTAAAAACATGTGATAATTGTTTTTTTACCCTTCTATCTGGCAACAAAACTGACACCTTTTTACAAGGAGTCGGTATAGTACTTTAGCAATAGAGCAAGTGCAGAATCACTGAACCGGAATTGATAGCTTGAAAGCATTTAGCGCGGTGCCCTTGGAAGTGCGTGGCCCGAGCACGTGTAGCAGCTACTCGTGCTACGAGGACCACCCGGCACTGGATGCCTCTTCACCTCCACCCGGCATGTCGATGTCCGAACGAGCGAGAGGCCCCAGGGACCTCGGATCGACTGGTGACTCCCTGCCGCGACGTCACCCCTCTCTCTCTGACCCCCCCCCCCCCCCCCCCGCCGCAGGTGAAACACCCAAATGAGTACCACATCATGTCGCCGTCTCTTCACGAGCTCAAAGGTGCCGTGAGCCTGGACCGAGCAGCGCGTGAGAACGCGGGGAGTGTGCTGTGCCAGGGGAAAGACCGCAGGGATGGAGGCCTCTCCGTCAACGTCGCGGCCAATGTCACCGTGCTGGGTGCGCGCCCTGCACACACACCATGCACACACACACTGCACACACACACACACTGCACACACACACACCCTGTACACACACATACCCTGTACAAACACCCTGTACACACCCTGCACACACACACACCCTGTACAAACACCCTGTAGACACCCTGCACAAACACCCTGTACACACCCTGTACACACCCTGTACACACCCTGTACACACACCCTGCACACACACCCTGCACAAACACCCTGCACATGCACACACACCCTGCACACACCCTGCACACACACCCTACACACACACCCTGCACACACACACACTGCACACACACACACCCTGTACACACACACACCATGCACACACACACACACTGCACACACACACTGCACACACACACACTGCACACACACACTGCACACACACACCCTGTACACACACACACCCTGCACACACACACACACCCTGCTGTTGTATGTGTTGGATTATGAAATTTTGATGAAAATAATAAAAATTAATAATTTTCCGAAAAATGCGCAAATCGCATTAATTATGATAGTGTGTGTATTGATATGCATAAATTATGATAATGCGTGTAATTATATGCATAAATTATGATAATCGTAGTAATTTATGCGGATGCTTGCGGTCGTGTTATTGTGTGCAGTTGTGATAATTAGGCTCAGCTTCGTTTATCCAGAGTTATATCAATCAGGATAACACGATTATAATCGATTAAACGTTTACCGATTATCTTAGTGTGTGTTATGATATTTCAGGTCACCAGTTTCAGATCTCATCACAGGATACAGTTGTCAAGAATAAGACAGTTTTGCATGGACTTGGAAAGAAGCACTCGAACAGTTGGTGTTAAGCAATTTTAATTCTAAACAAGCACATGACACTCTAGTATGCGAAAGCGAGTATACGTCAATAAATTCATGGGCAATCTTATGCAATTAACGAAAATGAATGACTAAAAATACTTCTTCATTGGCGAAATTATGCAGTTAACGAAAATGAATGACCAAAACATTTCTTATTCATGTAACTCGACGGCAGCAACTGCTTTGCACGATCAGTTGATATTGAACGCACCACCTCGAAATGGCAACCCTTTTTGAAACGAAAAGACAGTTTTTCTTTTAAAGTCTTATTCGTGTGCGTGCTGTGTGTGCGTTGTCCCCTCGTAATATTAATTGTGTCGTTAGCTTGTGTGGTGTGGGAGGATACGAACAGCGGCCAGAAGTTTTCTCTGGGTTGGGCGTGGCCGCCGCTCTGCTCCTGCTGTTCCCTCGCTCGGCGTGTCGCTCGGCTTTTGCTCTCTCTCTCTCTCTCTCCACTGCTGGATTGAGCGGCGTTGGCACGATGTTCCTTGAAGAAACTTGCTTGCTTGGCGCTTGATGGTTCCGGGGCTTGGTGCTGCTCGTGCGCTCTCTCTTTCTACTGCTAGATGACGAGTTGGCACGATGCTGTCCTTGAAGATGCTCGGTCGCTCGTGTCGCTCGGTGTCGCTCGGTGTCGCACGGTGGCGCCCGGTGGCGCACGGTGGCGCAGGGTGGCGCACGGTGGCGCAAGGTGGCGCACGGTGGCGCAAGGTGGCGCACGGTGGCGCAGGGTGGCGCACGGTGTCGCTCGGTGGCGCACGGTGGCGCCCGGTGGCGCACGGTGGCGCCCGGTGGCGCACGGTGGCGCAAGGTGGTGCACGGTGGCGCAAGGTGGCGCACGGTGGCGCAGGGTGGCGCACGGTGTCGCAAGGTGGCGCACGGTGGCGCAAGGTGGCGCACGGTGGCGCAGGGTGGCGCACGGTGGCGCAAGGTGGCGCACGGTGGCGCCCGGTGGCGCACGGTGGCGCAAGGTGGCGCACGGTGGCGCACGGTGGCGCAAGGTGGCGCACGGTGGCGCACGGTGGCGCAAGGTGGCGCACGCGCTTTCTTGGTGGCAGCCCCCGGCTTCTCCACTGCTCGATTGATTGTTGAGTCGGCACGATGCTCGCCGTCGCTCTGGACGTCTTGTGTGTTCACACTGGTCGTTGGTCGGTGTGCCCTCAGGCACACGGCGCATTCGATGGCGCTGTCCTCTCCCTCGCAGCCGTTTTACCAGGCTTCCTCCACTGCTGAATGACGAGTTGGCACGACGCTCGGTGACGCCCGGTGACGTCCGAGTCGTGCTGCTCTTGCGCTCTCTCTCTCTCCACAGCCGTTTGACCAGGCTTTCTCCACTGCTGAATGACGAGTTGGCACGACGCTCGGTGACGCCCGGTGACGTCCGAGTCGTGCTGCTCTTGCGCTCTCTCTCTCTCCACAGCCGTTTGACCAGGCTTTCTCCACTGCTGAATGACGAGTTGGCACGACGCTCGGTGACGCCCGGTGACGTCCGAGTCGTGCTGCTCTTGCGCTCTCTCTCTCTCCACAGCCGTTTGACCAGGCTTTCTCCACTGCTGAATGATGAGTTGGCACGACGCTCGGTGACGCCCGGTGACGTCCGAGTCGTGCTGCTCTTGCGCTCTCTCTCCACAGCCGTTTGACCAGGCTTTCTCCACTGCTTCGCGCTCTCTGTTTTGCACGCTTGGTCGACGCTTGGCGATCTCCGCCCTTTTACAGGTTGATTGTTTGTCGTCACTCGTCACTCTCTCTGCTCCGTGCTTCCTTTGTTCGGGCAACTGCCAGCTTCACTCGCACTTAACTTCGTTCTGCGAGAAGCGACACCTGTTATCGGCATCGGTGTTTCGTGTCCTCACGACGCTCCGCCAGCCGGAGCACGGCTGAAACCCAGCCCTGACCCAGGTTGAACTCAGACTTCTGCGACTCGAACGACTCCTCCTCGTTCCATCACTTCTCGAGGCACAACCGCCCCAGCTCTCTTGCGAGCCCCCGTCGCAACGCTGCGTCGCAAGCCGAGTTGCGAGACTGAGCGCGACTCGAACAGACTGCTCTCAGACTGTCACTTTAACGATGTCTCGTCGTTCCATCTCTCCTCGAGGCACGACTGCCACAGCTCCCTTGCGTGCCCGGTCGCAACGCTGCGTCGCACGCCGAGTTGCGAGACTGAGCACGACTCAACCCAGACTGCTCTCAGACTGTCACTTTAACGATGTCTCGTCGTTCCATCTCTCCTCGAGGCACGATCTGCCCCAACTCTCTTGCGAGCCCCGTCGCAACGCTGCGTCGCACGCTGAGTTGCGAGAGTGAGCACGACTCAACCCAGACTGCTCTCAGGCTGCCACTTTAACGATGTCTCGTCGTCCCATCTCTTCTCGAGGCACGACTGCCACAGCTCCCTTGCGTGCCCCGTCGCAACGCTGAGCTCGACTCGGACCAGACTGAGCACGACTCAACCCAGACTGCTCGTTCGCTGTGTGTGTGCCTAACTTAAACGTGACTCCCTTCTCTCTGCATTCCTTGCGAGCGGGCAACAAAAAAACAAACAGAGCGAGAAGAAACAGACACCGGCGCGATCCCTCCTTGTGACCTTTTCCTAACCCTCCAAGCATTCCTGGGCCATCTGTTTGTGCTGCGGGGAGACAAAGGCGGCCGTGCTTAACTCAAACACGCGAGCATCCACTCCTCTCTCCGCGTCTCTTGCGAGAGAAAACAACCAATGTCAGCACAAACCCCCCCCTTTGTGACCTTTTTTTCTCCCTCCTTGCTTACCCTGGGTGGGTCATTCTGAGGTCAGACCCCGCTGGAAGACAAAGGTGGTCGAGGAGATGTTTGCAATACATTTATGTGGTCCTGTGTGTTACATTTATTCTTGAATTATATGTTATGAGTTCCTTCGGTCTTAGTATCGTGGTTATCATTCGTCTATGTTTAATGAGTATTCGTAATGCTCCTCGTCACATTATTACCTTGGGGCTTCGCCCAGTTTAGTTCTCCAGAGATTGGTGTTTATTCCGAGTTATTTTTTTAAGCCCTCTGGAATTCACACTCTTTAGCTTTTTTGGAAGGTCGTGTAGGTAGGAAACATATAATAATAGTAAAAATATTATTGTTTGTTGGTTAATTATCTTTGTTAAGTTTCTACTTTTCGGTGGGGAAAACGCCAAGAAAACGCGAAGCTTCAACCGTCATTCACTCTGCACCTTATCTGTACATCTCCAGATGTCTCGGGAGGTTTAGTCCATACATCTTTTTGTCCGTCTGGATGTCTATGACCTTTTGTGACCGAATTCCTATCATTTCAACCGCCCTCCATGTCTCATGGACTCCCGGTGTGCCCGTGAGTTGTTTTCATTATAAAAAAAAAAAATAGATATATAAAAAAAAAAATTTCTTAATTATTCTTAATATTAATAACGGAAAACAGGGCATAGATACAACACTGCACACACACCCTGCACACACACCCTGCACACACACACACACCCTGCACACACACACACCCTGTACACACACACACACCCTGCACACACACTCTGCACACACACACACCCTGCACACGAACCCTGTACACACACACTCTGCACATGCACATACGTCCAGTACTGACACATAGCCTACACGCGCACACACACACACTGCACACACACACACACCCTGCACACACACACACCCTGCACACACACCCTGCACACACACACACCCTGCACACACCCTACACACACACACCCTGCACACACACACACCCTGCATACACACACACTGCACACACCCTACACACACACACCCTGCACACACCCTACACACACACACCCTGCACACACCCTACACACACACGTCCTGCACACACACACACCCTGCACACACACACCCTGCACACACACCCTGCACACACCCTGCTCACACACACCCTGCACACACACACCCTGCACACACACTCTGCACACACACACACACACCCTGCACACGAACCCTGTACACACATACTCTGCACATGCACATACGTCCAGTACTGACACATAGCCTACACGCGCACACACACACACTGCACACACACACACACCCTGCACACACACACACCCTGCACACACACCCTGCACACACACACACCCTGTACACACACACACACACCCTGCACACACACACACCCTGTACACACACACACCCTGCACACACACACACACCCTGTACACACACACACCCTGCACACACACACACCCTGCACACACCCTACACACACACACCCTGCACACACACACACCCTGCACACACACACACTGCACACACCCTACACACACACCCTGCACACACCCTACACACACACACCCTGCACACACCCTACACACACACGTCCTGCACACACACACACCCTGCACACACACACACCCTGCACACACACACCCCGCACACACACCCTGCTCACACACACCCTGCACACACACACACACACCCTGCACACACACACCCTGCACACACACACACACCCTGCACACACACACCCTGCACACACACACCCTGCACACACACCCTGCACACACACCCTGCACACACACCCTGCACACACACACACACCCCGCACACAAACACACCCTGCACACACACACACCCTGCACACACACACACACCCTACACACACACCCTGCACACGCGCACCGTCCACGGACGCACACCCAACCCACATCCCCGGTTAGCAAGGTTGGCTACGTACGGTGCGAAGGAAGTTTAACATACACACGCACCCTGCACACGCCCTGCACACAAATGCCCAGCCCCGATAAGAGCCATGCACACCTGCATCAAGGAGCCATGCACACCTGCATCAAGGAGTCATGCACACCTGCATCAAGGAGTCATGCACACCTGCATCAAGGAGTCATGCACACAAACACTTGGCACACATGCACATGCCACTCGCTCCCACACAACCTACACACCTTCAACATACACACACACCCTATATATACACATACACAGACTTTATATACAGTACACACAAACCCTATATCCGACAAATACAAAGATGACCCGTATAGCCTTCCCAGACTCTAGGGGCAAGTGGTGTTTAGCGAACACCTATGAAGACCGGCATGGAACAAAGGGGGGTTTGGGTGACCAGTACCATGCTCGGCCGCCTTTGTCTCCCTCGTGGCGATGTTTACACACACCCACCAGGTACTCATTTGAGGCTGAGTCGATCTACGGCTAGCCCAGGACCGGTTCGGGTAATCGTCACTGGGTGTTGGCCGTGAGCGGGAAGTCGCAAGCGCGGCGAGACGCGGGTGCACTTGAAATGTGGGCTCCGATCATCCTGGCTGGCTACCTGTGCAGACCGCGGAGTGTTGGAGCTGTCCCTGCTGAATCCGCCTGGACCCAGCGTCTTGGTGGCGCGCGGCGACTCCCTGAAGCTGAGCGTGGGGGTGCTCTCGGTTCCTCCACTCAGCAACTGCAGCTGGCTGCACAACGGCGTCTCGGTCATCAACGCGTCGACCTCACGGGCCTGCGAGGACACTACCCGCGGACACTGGTGAGATGCAGGCTCCGCATGTCTGCGTCGTGTGTCCGTGTCGTTTGTCCGGGCGGTTTTTTGTTTGTTGTTGTCCCCGGCCACGGGGCATGCGCTCCCTTCTCTACGCTTACCGAAACGCGGGGCGCTGTAAGGGAACACCCTGCACCGATCCATCGTGGATTTTACCAGGCTGGGTTACAGTGCGAAGAGCTCGCAGATCCCTAAACGATATGGACACAGTCCCATCGTTGAGATCCTTCGGCAGGCGAGGTTGCGTTGGCTGGGTCACGTAGCCCGCATGCCCAGCCAACGCATGCCCAGGCAGCTTCTGTTTGTCCAATTCGAGGGGGCTTAACGGGCGCGATTTAATGGGCTGTAGAAGAGATGGAGCTGATGCGATGCAATAGGACGTGGAGCTGAGTGGACTTGCCGACCACTTATACCAACGGAGTCGAGATCCACCTCTGTGGAGGAGGCTCGTGAAAGACGTCGCTACTGGGCACTTCGAGGTAACTGCCCTCCAACAACAGCGGAGGGCAGAGGAACGACGCTCACAACAATGAGCGGAGTGCCGGGCAGATAAAATTCAACAAGTTGACACAGTAGGGAGCACACTCAACCCATGGCACCTGGGTCTGTTCCGTGACCTCCTGCAAACGAGCCTTCAACACTTCACGTTGCCTCACAGTGCACGTAGCCTGGCACAAGCGTCGTGGTGATGCCACCGTCACTTAGTGGTGAATGGCGGTTGTTGTTGTAAGTCTTTGTCCGCTTTCTGTCCCTTCGTGTCCGCGCGTGTGTGTGTGTGTCTATGTACGTCCACGCGTGCTAGGTGTAAGTGCACGCTTTCGCTGCGTCGCATTGTCCCCGTGGAGAGTGGCAGCTACTCCATGGTGGCGCACAACGGGGACGCGCACGCGGTCATCAGCGTCAACGTGAGCATAGCGAGCGGTGAGATGCGCCATCCTCCCACACATCATTCATGACGCGCACGCGGTCATCAGCGTCAACGTGAGCATGGCGAGCGGTGAGATGCCACCGCCCTGCTCACCGCGTGACACCACCGCCATCCTCCCACACATCATTCATGACGCGCACGCGGTCATCAGCGTCAACGTGAGCATGGCGAGCGGTGAGATGCCACCGCCCTGCTCACCGCGTGACACCACCGCCATCCTCCCACACATCATTCATGACGCGCACGCGGTCATCAGCGTCAACGTGAGCATGGCGAGCGGTGAGATGCCACCGTCCTGCTCACCGCGTGACACCACCGTCATCCTCCCACACATCATTCATGACGCGCAATCATCAAACACACCAATCGCTATGCCCGGCTTCACAGCCTGGTTTAGGAAAACTGGCTCAAATGGACCTTGTCATGCACATCAACTCCACTTTACTTGTTCCCATCACCTACCCCCGACTCCTGATATCATTCAACGTAAAGCAGCAGCCAGGGTGACCGATGATCCAGCACTCACTGACTCACCCCAGTCACTCGATCACTCACCGGGGTCCCTACAGGTCACAACGCTTCTCTTTCTACTTCTTGCCATGCGCCACTCGAGAATTCCCTCCCATCGTCTCCTGGTGGCAGGCGGTGGTGGATACGCACGTGGCTTCTAGTCCAGAACTGTGGAGGTAGCGAGGGGATCTCCCTTCCCGTGGGCATCAAAGAGGAGCCGTGTCCTTGGCTCGCCAGGAATAGGTGGTGCAGCAAATGTGGACTCCACCTGTTGCGTCTCTACGGGATAGAGTGTTTCCCCCTCGCACGAGTGGGTTTTCTCAGGGTGCTCCGGTTTCCTCCCACGTGTACATATACACGCTCATTAATTGGATGATAACACCTTAATAGATGGAGATGAGTACCGATTAAGCTAGTGCGGGGCCTGTAGCAAATGTTATAAAGGGGCCCTTCATAAAAAAAAACATAAATATTAAAACACAATTGTTTTACTTGCACAGTAAAGTAATTGTATTTTTTCATTTGCTGTACAGCCAGATAATACGACAAATCGCTAACTTTAAACACCCAGTCGTTCATAAAAGTTGAAGGCGGTATAGTACTATAGTAATAGAGCAAGTGCAGAATCACTGAACCAGAATTGATAGCTTGAAAGCATTTAGCGCGGGGCCCTTGAAAGTGCGGGGCCCGTAGCTGCATTTGTGGCTACTTTTGCTACGAGGATAATCCATCACTGATGGAGATACCGCGGCGCTTGTAAATTGTCGGCGCAGAATCACCGCCCTGATGCTGCTGCTGCTGCCTTCTCGCTCGTCCGCGGTTCCTCCTCACACCTCTGAGTCGCCCCCTTCTCTCTCTCTGTAGGACAACGAGGAGCGAACAGCGCGTGGTGGCGGTACAGCGCTACCAATTGATATTCGCATCTTCCTCCTCAAGCGCTTACAAACCACGCTCAAGACACGTGTTCACCCTTGTCTAGTCTTAACAGTGCTGTTTGTTGCTGCCCGCTTAGCATTTTGGGGTACCCTTTCAGCCTGTGCTCAGCAACTTTGTTTAAAAAAAAAAACTAGCTTCCACCCGCCTCCCCGTCAAGCAATCCGCGTGTTCCCTCTGCTCCTAGAGCCACCCAGAGTCGCTCACCAGGCCCAGAGGAGCGGTGCCCAACAAGGGAACCACGTGGTGCCGGCGCTGGGCGCTGCCACCCTGGCCATGACATTCATCGCGGGGTACCTGTTCTACAGGTACAAGCAGGTGAGCTCAGGGCCACCGCGGCCTCTCGCGCACAGGCCTCATCCGCTCTCTCCTCCTGCTACCCCCCAATCGGCCATCCGTCGCGACCGTTGGGGGTGCGTCAAAGTGCTCGAGATGTCACCGTGGCCCAAAGCCGCTGATGCCACCGCCACCGCCGCCGCCTCCTCGCTCCCAACGCTCCCAACGCTCCCCGCCCTCCGCCAGACCCCCAACAGCTGCCGCACGGTGGACACGCGGTGACCTTCACGGTCCACCCGCGACGTCTCAATGCGTCGTTACCTTCCGAGGCGCTCCGTCCTGTGGCTTTCCTTGCCCCGATGTCTCCACACCACCTCGCTCCGCCCTGTGATGTCGCTCGTCTCGTCCTCTTCGGCTCTGTGCCTCCGTCCGTCCAGCAAGTCAGGGGGCCGTCGTGCCCGCGCGACATCGCCAACCGCGTCGGTGATATCGGAGATGTTGTCCCGTGGGTGCTCCTGCGAGTCGGCATTCGGCATCGATATTCGTTACGGCCAGAGCCCCCTTGCTTGTGACATGGTCTTTGTACGATAGCCCCCAAACTCAGGTCGGCTGGCTTAGGTAGACTGTCCCATGTAGGTAACTACAACAATGTTATAGGGTATTGGGCAAACATCCCAATGCGAAAAACTTAAATAAATGAAAATCACTCAGTGGGATCACACAGCAGCAGCAGCAACATCGTCCCCTAATGCGGAAAACTTGGCAGGATCCTCCTAAAAAAAATTCTTTGAGATTCGGTGAGGCTTTCCTGGGGAGTAAAGCGTATTCATAATAACGGTAATACAATGCTGACAACGTGAACTGCCCAAGGTTAGGGCAGTGTTGAGTGCTGGCTTTGTGTGATGGTTAGTGCAAGTGCTGAGCGCCGTGAGAGTCAGTGACGTGTGAGTGAGTGAGTGCTGTGTGAGTGAGTGATGAGTGAGTGCTGAGTGAGTGAGTGATGAGTGAGTGAGTGGCTGTGTGAGTGAGTGATGTGTGAGTGATTAGTGAGTGAGTGCTGTGTGAGTGATGAGTGAGTGCTGAGTGAGTGAGTGGCTGTGTGAGTGAGTGATGTGTGAGTGATTAGTGAGTGAGTGCTGTGTGAGTGCTGAGTGAGTGATGAGTGAGTGAGTGCTGAGTGAGTGAGTGGCTGTGTGAGTGAGTGATGAGTGAGTGAGTGCTGAGTACCGGTACTGCTCCACAGAAGCCGCACTACGAGGTTCAGTGGAAAATCATCGACTCCGTGGACCACGACACGAACGAGTACATCTACATCGACCCCGGCAAGCTGACCTACGACCTCCACCACTGGGAGGTGGACAGAGCCACACTCGACCTGGGTAAGCCCGAGGTTGACTGTGTGGGTGACTAATATGGTGAGTCTAGGAGCGAATACATGTTGGCTAGAAGGGTGACAGAGTGAATACAGGGCGAGTACGGTGCTGATTGCAGCAGTTCATATTGTACAGGGTGAGTATAGGGGTCACGATAGGATTACAGGGTGACGAGAGGAGTGACGAGAGGAGTGACGAGAGGAGTGACTACAGGGTGACTAGAGGAGTGACTATAGGAGTGAATGTAGGGTGACTAGGGGAGTGACTACATAGCGAGTACTGCGTAAGAGTGACTACCAGGGTGACTATAGGAGTGACTCGAGGGCGAATGGAGTGCTCAGGAGGTCTGGAACCCCACCACGTGTCTCTCCTCTCCGCACGTCACGTGTCCCCTCCCCCCCCCCCCCAGGGGAGACGCTGGGCACGGGAGCCTTCGGCGAGGTGGTGGCGGCCACGGCCCACGGCCTCCACGGGCAGCAGGGCGCCACCACGTGCGTCGCCGTCAAGCGGCTCAAGAGTGAGGGGAGGGGTGGGGGGGCAAGCAATGGGTGGTGGGGGGGGGGTCAATCCAATTGAGGGGGAGCAGGGAAATGGGGCATGGGGACAGCCGAGCTGAATATTTTTGTAAATTAATTTGGTGGCAATTCTTCATGCCGTGCAGACGTCTCTCCGTGTCAAAACAAGTGTTTTTAAATCCTTTAGTTTATATTAAGTTCGCTTGCTTGCTTGCGTGCTTGCTTACGACCGTGCAAATCTTTCGGTCGTTTTTTAACCCACTTCCCGTGATCCAATCGAGCTGACATTTTGCACACAGACTCGTTGTGCGTGACAATTTATTTTCGTGAAAAAATTATTCCTAAATTTTCCACTTTTTAGGAAAAATTTTTCACATATTTTATTTTAAAATACCAATGTGATAAAAATGAAACTCTTACTAAAAAAAAACAGAAATTAATAATAAAAAAAAAACCGATGCCACGCATATAAAGGATTTATAGTGAAAAACTTTGTTTTAACGGGTTAATTTTTTTCCCTACACATCCCATCGGCCCCACGGCCTTCTGGGAGTGCTCAAACGCAGCGGCATTGGTTCAGCACAAGCAAACCTCACATCGGTTTTGAAAGTCAGTGTCTCATCAGCAGCATCAGGCGTGCATGACCAATGATGACGAACTGCCCGATGCTTACAGGCAACGACACCTATTAGATATGGGTTCCCCGTGCATCGTGGGCCCTTAGCTTGATGCAAAAACGAAATCACAAGTATGTATCATCAGAACGTATGCACAGTACGTATTATGTATGTATACGGTGGCATGTGACGAGTAGCCAGAGCCGTAGGGGGAGGTGCGATACTGGATGTGGTGTGCTGGGGACGGCTCCAGGGTGAGGAGAGGCTGGGAGGGGGGGCTGGTCCACACCTCAGCAATCAGTTGTAACTGCTCGATTGCACGCAACTGATTCGCTTGAATGTGGACATGTCTGCAAGTATATTCTTGGTTCTTTCGGTAAAGTCACGTAGAAGGGAAATATTATTTAGAAGAGAAACATTATAAATATTATTTCCCTTCTACGTGACTTTACCGAAAGAAACAAGAATATGAATCCCTGCAGTCACGAAAGCTTTAAATCGAAATCTCTGCAACCGGTTGCGAGCTACTGCGCAACCGGTTGCTTCAAGCGGAGGCGTAATCCACTTCCCACCGCTGTGCTGGGCGTATTGTAGCGAGGTATTGTGAAACAACACATCGTATCGTGCAAGAAAGCATGAAGTTAAACAGCGACAACAAAAACCCCATCGGCAGTTCCCCCGAAGAACTGCATCGTGATTGGAACCTCATTTGCCAGTAGCAAAATATGATAATTGTTTTTTTTACCCTTTTATCTGGCAACAAAACTGACACCTTTTTTCACAAGGAGTCATGTTTAGCATTGACCACAATACCTGCGGTCGGAATGCAAACAAAAGGCGTCATCTGGTCCAACACCATGTGAGACTAGGCTCTAAGGAAAGCTGTCTCGGGCGTGGACCAATCAACTTCAAGGACAGTGCATTCATTATCAGAGTTATGTTTTTTGTTTGTATTCCGACTGCAGGTATTGTGTTCTATGCAAACATGACTCCTTGTAAAAAAGGTGTCAGTTTTGTTGCCAGAAAAAAGGGTAAAAAAACAATTATCAACTGCATTGTGCTCCTGTATTGCTTCAAGTCACCGTCACAATAAACTTCAACAATTGCGACCAACTGCCAGGGTTCGCCGCTCGGCACATTTGCGATCTGGTGACGGGGCTGTCAAGTTGGCTGCTGGAGGAGTGTGAGGCCAGCCAGAGTAGAGGCGAGCCTGCGGTGTGAAGGACGCGCCCCCAGACACTGAAGCCACCGATATTCTTAACACCGAGTCGGCGTTGGCAACCAATATTATCCATCGTATTACGAGCCACGTTCCTGTTGTGCAACTACTCGCTCGGACGTGGGACAAAGCAGTTGGAGAGCCGTTTGGTTGTGCAACTGATTGCTCAGGTGTGGACCCGGCTTGACCTTCCACCTTACCCCCCCCCCCCGCCCACACAGAGAGTGCCCGTGCCGTGGAGCGCGAGGCTCTGCGCATGGAGCTCAAGGTTCTGTGTCACGTGGGGCAGCATCCGAACATCGTGAACCTGCTGGGAGCCTGCACCGAGCGCGGTGGGGCCCTGATCCCCACTGGTCCCCCTTGAGCTCCTCCTACACGATCCCCCTCCTCACCCCCCCTCCCTACTGCTCCGATTCTACCACAACCCCCACCCCTTTCTGATTCCTTCCGTGGTTCCTCCTTGATCGATCCCTCCCCCTTGGTGGGTCCCTATGATCCCCCCTCCCTCCTCCTCCTCCTCCTCCCCCTGCTTTCCCTGCGCGAGACCCCGGTGGGAGTGGCTGTGTCTGTGCCCCTAGAGCCCGTGCTGCTCATCACCGAGTACTGCTGCCACGGCGACCTCCTGACCTTCCTCCGGGCACACAGCCCCAAGGGGTCCCCCAAGCCGGGGCTCGCACCCCAACACTCCGTCTACGGGAACCTGGTGGAACCAGGTGGGAGCGAGGGGCGGGTGGGGGAGGGGGGGAGAAACACCACAGGGAGTCGCGCTTCAAAAGCGAACGCGTGGGCCCCATCTGCACGCTCTGCACCTTGCAATGTACGCGCTCTGTACAGTGCGTGCGTATTGCACAGTGCACGCTAATTGGCGATGCTGAAGCTGCTCGTGATGATGATGATGGTGGTGGTGGTTGTGTTGATTGTGACTGTTGTGTCGATGAGGACGACGAGGCCGCTCATGGTGATGGAGCTACCGTTGTGGACGACGATGGTGGTGTTGATGTCGATAATGACGGTGACGCCCCGTGTCCTGCAGGAGGCTCGGAGGAGATCCTGCAGCCCCGGGAGTTGCTCTCCCTGTGCCACCAGGTGGCGGGCGGCATGGCCTTCCTCTCCTCCAAAAAGGTGACCTCAGCGTGACCTGGCACGATCCCAGATCTCATCGCCTTGTGCCCTGATTCTATCATGACCTCAGCGATACCTCGCCGTGAGCTCATGTCATACTCCAGCCTCACCGAGACCCCATTGTTACCTGTCCTTGACCTCTCCTTGACCTCGTTGTGACCTGTGACCCCCATTACTCCATAATTTACAGGTGACCTGCGACCTTGCTGTACACCTCGGTGCGAATTACCTATCAGTAGTGAGCCAGAGATAGAAAAATTACATTAAAATCACCACCTACTGGGGAAAATGTAATTTAGATACCAAACATACATTCCGAGAATAATTAAATCACGCATTTGCATTACATGTCATTTAGCTGTGACCTCTCATCGACCTGTCTGTGACCTGTTGGTGACCTCACCATGACCTATCCGTGACCTCACCATGACCTATCCGTGACCTCCCCATGACCTCTCCGTGACCTCACCGTGACCTAGTGCCTGCACCGCGACGTGGCGGCTCGGAACGTGCTGCTGGCTGAGGGCTTCCTCGCCAAGATCTGCGACTTTGGGCTGGCCCGAGACGTGACGCGAGACCCCAACTACATCCAGCGCGGCAACGTGAGTCCGGGGCGCCGGGAAGGGGTGGGGGGTCACGCGGCGGTCAACCCCACCTGCTGGATGTGGGGCGGGGATGGGGTGAGGGTCAGGGGTCGAGGCTGGATCACACAGGGCCGCACGTGGGGGTGGGAGACGAGTGGGTTCAAGGACTCCATAACCCTTGCGGCTGGGGTCACCTTGAACCCCCATAAAGGTAGACAAAATGGTCGGTTCCACAAAGGGCTTAATATCAATGGCGCACCACGTCCAGTAAACCTCTCGCTCTGGCTGCTGCGAGTTACTGGCCACCTACCCCAGCCGGCGAGCCGTGAACTATTCAGTGCAAAGTGAATCCCTTGCTCCAGACCACGACAGTACCCATGAGGCCGGTGAAGCAGGACAGAGACCTGGGGGAACACGACCCCAGTGAGGGGATACATTGATGGGATTGTGGACCCCCGAGGGTGCCTGTGACTCCAGTCAGGGGATACCGTGGTGGTCTTCGTGCTACCATGACCACAGTGAGTGGTGATAGTAATAGCAACAAAAAGCACAACTTACAATGGGCGCATATCTCACGAATCAGACGCGACGTTCCAACTCCGAGGCATGGAGTCACATTCTCTCATGCACCACCCTAAACAAGTGAGAGCCCGAACGGGTGTTAGCCTGAACAAGTGAGAGCCTGAACAAGTGAGAGCCTGAACAAGTGAGAGCCTGAACAAGTGAGAGCCTGAACAAGTGAGAGCCTGAACAAGTGAGAGCCTGAACGGGTGAGAGCCCGAACAGGTGAGAGCCTGAACAAGTGAGAGCCCGGACGGGTGAGAGCCTGAACAAGTGAGAGCACGCACGGGTGAGAGCCTGAACAAGTGAGAGCCCGAACAAGTGAGAGCCCAGACAGGTGAGAGCCCGAACAAATGAGAGCCTGAACAAGTGAGAGCCCGAACAAGTGAGAGCCCGGACAAGTGAGAGCCCAGACAGGTGATAGCCTGAACAAGTGAGAGCCTGAACAAGTGAAAGCCTGAACCAGTGAGAGCCTGAACGGGTGAGAGCCCGAACGGGTGAGATCCTGAACAAGTGAGAGCCTGAACAAGTGAGAGCCTGAACAAGTGAGAGCCTGAACAAGTGAGAGCGTGAACGGGTGATAGCCTGAACAAGTGAGAGCCTGAACAAGTGAAAGCCTGAACATGTGAGAGCCTGAACGGGTGAGAGCCCGAACAAGTGAGAGCCCGAACAGGTGAGAGCAAGAAACAAGTGAGAGCCTGAACAAGTGAGAGCCTGAACAAGTGAGAGCCTGAACAAGTGAGAGCCTGAACAAGGGAAAGCCTGAACAAGTGAGAGCCTGAACGGGTGAGAGCCCGAACAGGTGAGAGCCTGAACAAGTGAGAGCCCGGACGGGTGAGAGCCTGAACAAGTGAGAGCCCGCACGGGTGAGAGCCTGAACAAGTGAGAGCCCGAACAAGTGAGAGCCCAGACAGGTGAGAGCCCGAACAAATGAGAGCCCGAACAAGTGAGAGCCTGAACAAGTGAGAGCCTGAACAAGTGAGAGCCCGAACAAGTGAGAGCCCGAACAGGTGAGAGCCCGAACAAGTGAGAGCCCGAACAAGTGAAAGCCTGAACAAGTGAGAGCCTGAACAAGTGAGAGCCCGAACAGGTGAGAGCCAGAACAAGTGAGAGCCCGAACAAGTGAGAGCCCGAACAGGTGAGAGCCCGAACAAGTGAAAGCCTGAACAAGTGAGAGCCTGAACAAGTGAGAGCCCGAACAAGTGAGAGCCCGAACAAGTGAGAGCCCGAACAAGTGAGAGCCCGAACAAGTGAGAGCCTGAACAAGTGAGAGCCCGAACAAGTGAGAGCCCGAACAAGTGAGAGCCTGAACAAGTGAGAGCCCGAACAAGTGAGAGCCTGAACAAGTGAGAGCCCGAACAGGTGAGAGCCCGAACAAGTGAGAGCCCGAACAGGTGAGAGCAAGAAACAAGTGAGAGCCCGAACAGGTGAGTGCCCGAACAAGGGAGAGCCCGAACAAGTGAGAGCCTGAACAAGTGAGAGCCTGAACAAGTGAGAGCCCGATCAAGTGAGAGCAAGAAACAAGTGAGAGCCCGAACAGGTGAGAGCCCGAACAAGTGAGAGCCCGAACAAGTGAGAGCCCGAACAAGTGAGAGCCCGAACAAGTGAGAGCCTGAACAAGTGAGAGCCCGAACAAGTGAGAGCCCGAACAAGTGAGAGCCTGAACAAGTGAGAGCCCGAACAAGTGAGAGCCCGAACAAGTGAGAGCCCGAACAAGTGAGAGCCCGAACAGGTGAGAGCAAGAAACAAGTGAGAGCCCGAACAAGTGAGAGCCCGAACAGGTGAGAGCCCGAACAAGTGAGAGCCCGAACAAGTGAGAGCCCGAACAGGCGAGAGCCCGAACAAGTGAGAGCCCGAACAAGTGAGAGCCCGAACAGGTGAGAGCCCGAACAAGTGAGAGCCTGAACAAGTGAGAGCCCGAACAGGTGAGAGCAAGAAACAAGTGAGAGCCCGAACAGGTGAGAGCCCGAACAAGTGAGAGCCCGAACAAGTGAGAGCCCGAACAAGTGAGAGCCCGAACAGGTGAGAGCCCGAACAGGTGAGAGCCCGAACAAGTGAGAGCCCGAACAAGTGAGAGCCCGAACAAGTGAGAGCCCGAACAAGTGAGAGCCCGAACAAGTGAGAGCCCGAAAAAGTGAGAGCCCGAACAAGTGAGAGCCCGAACAAGTGAGAGTCTGACTCTAAACAAGTGAGAGCCTGAACAAGTGAGAGCCTGAACAAGTGAGAGCCCGAACAAGTGAGAGCCCGAACAAGTGAGAGCCCGAACAAGTGAGAGCCTGAACAGGTGAGAGTCTGAACAAGTGAGAGCCTGAACAAGTGAGAGCCCGAACAAGTGAGAGCCCAGACAGGTGAGAGCCCGAACAAGTGAGAGCCTGAACAAGTGAGAGCCCAAAGAAGTGAGAGCCCGAACAAGTGAGAGCCTGAACAGGTGAGAGCCTGAACAAGTGAGAGCCCGAACAAGTGAGAGCCCGAACAAGTGAGAGCCCGAACAAGTGAGAGCCCGAACAAGTGAGAGCCCGAACAAGTGAGAGCCCGAAGAAGTGAGAGCCCGAACAAGTGAGAGCCCGAACAAGTGAGAGCCCGAAAAAGTGAGAGCCCGAACAAGTGAGAGCCCGAACAAGTGAGAGCCCGAACAAGTGAGAGTCTGACTCTAAACAAGTGAGAGCCTGAACAAGTGAGAGCCTGAACAAGTGAGAGCCCGAACAAGTGAGAGCCCGAACAAGTGAGAGCCCGAACAAGTGAGAGCCTGAACAGGTGAGAGCCTGAACAAGTGATAGCCTGAACAAGTGAGAGCCCGAACAAGTGAGAGCCCGAACAAGTGAGAGCCCGAACAAGTGAGAGCCTGAACAGGTGAGAGCCTGAACAGGCGAGAGCCTGAACAAGTGAGAGCCCGAACAAGTGAGAGCCTGAACAAGTGAGAGCCTGAACCAGGTAAGAGCCTGAACAAGTGAGAGCCCAGACAGGTGAAAGCCCGGACAAGTGAGAGCCCAGACAGGTGAGAGCCTGAACAAGTGAGAGCCCGAACAGGTGAGAGCCTGAACAGGTGAGAGCCTGAACAAGTGAGAGCCCAGACAGGTGAGAGCCTGAACAGGTGAGAGCCTGAACAAGTGAGAGCCCAGACAGGTGAGAGCCTGAACAAGTGAGAGCCCGAACATGTGAGAGCCCAGACAGGTGAGAGCCCGAACAGGTGAGAGCCCGAACAAGTGAGAGCCCGAACAGGTGAGAGCCCGAACGGGTGAGAGCCCGAACAGGTGAGAGCCCGAACAAGTGAGAACCCGAACAAGTGAGAGCCCGAACAAGTGAGAGCCCGAACGGGTGAGAGCCTGAACAAGTGAGAGCCCGGATGGGTGAGAGCCTGAACAAGTGAGAGCCTGAACAAGTGAGAGCCTGAACAGGTGAGAGCCTTCAGCTGCTGCTTGAAAGTGCATGGCTGCTGCTGTGTCTGTGCAGTGGATGTCTCCATGGCCCCGAGTGGTAACGCTGTCAAAGTAATAGAACAGAAGTGAAACGTCAAAGTGATTCGTGCTCAAATGAGCACTGAGCAGGGGCGGTTTCTTCATTAGGGCGAGTGGGCGACGCACCACCAATGTCATTCAACCACAGAGTCACGCTAGCCGTCACTGTCAGCCTCTGGATATAGTCCAATCAGCGTCATGTCACGTTCTGTGGAGTACCGCCTCTTTTTGGGCGATTTCACTACGGCTGAGAATCGCCCCGAGTGGCCCCATAGACTTACATTCAAAGATGTTTTTTTTCGAACGGGGGCGCTGCAATGCATTCTCTATGGCTTCCGGGAGGGCATGCACTAACGTACTTACGTCATCATACGTGCTAACGTCATCATACCTAAGCACGTTTCATCCAACAATATCATTTATCGCCACCTAGTGGAATCTTTAATAAAATAAACTTGAGTGGTTTGTTTTAATAGTGAGTATATAAACAAACAAGATGTATTGTAAGAGTCACTTTATTTTTCATTAATATTAAAGAAGTGAAGTTGCCTTTACATGCTTAAGCTGTTAATTTATTCATTGCATGGGTGGACCTTATCCTTATCAATCATCCAGACATTTGCCCCCCCTGAGAGATTTTGCAGGAGCCGCCACTGGCACTGAGGTCCTCATATCCCGTTTACAGCCCGAAGCCAGCGGTGTCAACTCCACACTCGTGGGTCAGGGGCGAGTCTCTCCATAGGACAAGCAGCGTTGACTTCCCACAGAGCGGCGATCCTTGACCCACGAGGGATGATGGATCTAGCCGCGGCCGGGGGCCTGTCGCTCAACCACTTAACCAAGCTGACGCGTTAAATGTGACACTAATCACACTTGTGTTTAGACTGCGCCCACGACGTAATCACAATGTGTGAAATTGCAGTGTGTGAGCCTTGGGGACCCCCTAGTGGCAGCCTGTCCCCTATGGGGAACAATGTTTGTGTTTTATCCTTGAGTGTATACCCCTATGAAAGAGTTACAGAGATGGGGTTTGAGTCCCCTGACGCCAGTGACGGATTAAGTTAGCGCGGGGCCTGTAAGCAAATGTTATAAAGGGGCCCAAATATTAAAAATAAAATTTTAACTTGCATAGTGAAGTAATTACATGTTTTCACTTGCTATACAGCCAGATAATGCGACAAATCGCTAACCTTAAACACCCAGTCGTGCATAAAAGTTGAAGGCAGTATACTATTATAGTAATAGAGCAAGTGCAGAATCACTGAACTGCAATTGATAATCTTCTTGGTTCTTTCGGTAAAGTCACGTAGAAGGGAAATAAAAAAATAATAAAAAAATACCATATAATAAAATAATTCTCGCGACGTTTCGGCCACAACGCAAGCAGCCGTCCTCAGGTGAAGAACAGGTCTGTCGGAAAGACAGCGTCTGAATGAAACACCACCAGGCTTGGCAGCGTATATTTAAGCTGGGTTGGAGGGGGAAGGGCGCCTTGACAATTGATTGATAGCTTGAAAACATTTAGCGCGGAGCCCTTGAAAGTGCGGGGCCCCTAGCACGTGCAGCTGCTTGTGCTACGGGGACGATCCGGCACTGTCTGACCCCCGTCCCCCTCACCTGGCCATGCGCCCCAGGCCCGGCTGCCCGTGAAGTGGATGGCCCCAGAGAGCGTGTTCGACTGCGTGTTCTCGCTCAAGAGCGACGTGTGGTCCTATGGAGTCCTCGTCTGGGAGGTCTACTCCTACGGTACGGCGCCCCCCCCTCCCCCACATCATCATCAGTCGCTTGCCCCAAGCTGGTGCGTAGCAGTCCCCCCGCTCCACACACAAGGGGCATCCCCCACAAACGGGTCCCCCACGCACAGAACCCCCCATACTTACTTCCAGCACCTCCGATTAGCACGGTTGGCTACGTACGGTGCGAAAGACGTTCAACATACGTACAGGGATGTCCTGCACACAGGTGTCCCCTCACAGGGGTCCCCCCCCCCCCCACAACGCCCCCCCCCCCCCACACACACAGAACCTGCACACAAAGGCGCTCTGCATGCAGGTGTCCCACACACCGGGAGCCCCCACACAGCCCCCCCCCGCCCCCACCACTCAGCTGCCCCACACAAAGGAGTTGTGTGCGGGACGCTCAGGTGAACGGCTCACGTGTGTGTGTGTGTGCAGGTGAGAGCCCCTACCCTCACCTGGAAGTGGACGACACGTTCTTCCGTCTCCTCCAGGATGGGTATCGCATGGAGGTGCCCAAGGCCTGCCCCCCAGCCATGTGGGTCAACCACTCAACAACTCAACCACTCACTCAGTCAACCACTTACTCAGTTAACCACTCACTCACTCGAATATTCATCCACTCAAACAGTCAACCACTCACTCAGTCAACCACTCACTCGAATATTCACCCACTCAAGCAGTTAACCACTCACTCAGTCGACCACTCGCTCACTCAAACATTCACCCACTCAAGCAGTCAACCACTCACTCACTCAAACATTCACCCACTCAAGCAGTCGACCACTCACTCACTCAAACATTCATCCACTCAAACAGTCAACCACTCACTCAGTCGACCACTCACTCAAACATTCTTTCACTCAAGCAGTCAACCACTCACTTAGTCAACCACTCACTCACTCAAACATTCACCCACTCAAGCTGTCAACCACTCACTCAGTCGACCACTCACTCACTCAAACATTCACCCACTCAAGCAGTCAATCACTAACTCACTCACTCAAACATTCACCCACTCAAGCAGTCGACCACTCACTCACTCAAATATTCATCCACTCAAACAGTCAACCACTCACTCAGTCGACCACTCACTCAAACATTTTTCCACTCAAGCAGTCAACGACTCACTTAGTCAACCACTCACTCGCTCAAACATTCACCCACTCAAGCAGTCAACCACTCACTCAGTCGACCACTCACTCGCTCAAACATTCACCCACTCAAGCAGTCAACCACTAACACACTCACTCAAACATTCACCCACTCAAGCAGTCGACCACTCACTCACTCAAACATTCATCCACTCAAACAGTCAACCACTTACTCAGTCGACCACTCACTCAAACATTCTTCCACTCAAGCAGTCAACCACTCACTTAGTCAACCACTCACTCACTCAAACATTCACCCACTCAAGCAGTCAACCACTCACTCAGTCGACCACTCACTCGCTCAAACATTCACCCACTCAAGCAGTCAACCACTAACTCACTCACTCAAACATGCACCCACTCAAGCAGTCAACGACTCACTCACTTAAACAGTCACCCACTCAAGCAGTCAACCACTCACTGAATCAACCACTCACTCAAACATTCACCCACTCAAGCAGTCAACCACTCACTCAGTCGACCACTCACTCGCTCAAACATTCACCCACTCAAGCAGTTAACCACTCACTCAGTCGACCACTGACTCGCTCAAACATTCACCCACTCAAGCAGTCAACCACTAACTCACTCACTCAAACATTCACCCACTCAAGCAGTCGACCACTCACTCACTCAAACATTCATCCACTCAAACAGTCAACCACTCACTCAGTCGACCACTCACTCAAACATTCTTCCACTCAAGCAGTCAACCACTCACTTAGTCAACCACTCACTCACTCAAACATTCACCCACTCAAGCAGTCCACCACTAACTCACTCACTCAAACATGCACCCACTCAAGCAGTCAACGACTCACTCACTTAAACAGTCACCCACTCAAGCAGTCAACCACTCACTGAATCAACCACTCACTCAAACATTCACCTACTCAAGCAGTCAACCACTCACTCAGTCGACCACTCACTCGCTCAAACATTCACCCACTCAAGCAGTTAACCACTCACTCAGTCGACCACTGACTCGCTCAAACATTCACCCACTCAAGCAGTCAACCACTAACTCACTCACTCAAACATTCACCCACTCAAGCAGTCAACGACTCACTCACTTAAACAGTCACCCACTCAAGCAGTCAACCACTCACTGAATCAACCACTCACTCAAACATTTTTCCACTCAAGCAGTCAACCACTCACTTAGTCAACCACTCACTCGCTCAAACATTCACCCACTCAAGCAGTCAACCACTCACTCAGTCGACCACTCACTCGCTCAAACATTCACCCACTCAAGCAGTCAACCACTAACACACTCACTCAAACATTCACCCACTCAAGCAGTCGACCACTCACTCACTCAAACATTCATCCACTCAAACAGTCAACCACTTACTCAGTCGACCACTCACTCAAACATTCTTCCACTCAAGCAGTCAACCACTCACTTAGTCAACCACTCACTCACTCAAACATTCACCCACTCAAGCAGTCAACCACTCACTCAGTCGACCACTCACTCGCTCAAACATTCACCCACTCAAGCAGTCAACCACTAACTCACTCACTCAAACATTCACCCACTCAAGCAGTCAACGACTCACTCACTTAAACAGTCACCCACTCAAGCAGTCAACCACTCACTGAATCAACCACTCACTCAAACATTCACCCACTCAAGCAGTCAACCACTCACTCAGTCGACCACTCACTCGCTTAAACATTCACCCACTCAAGCAGTTAACCACTCACTCAGTCGACCACTGACTCGCTCAAACATTCACCCACTCAAGCAGCCAACCACTAATTCACTCACTCAAACATTCACCCACTCAACTAGTCAACCACTCACTCAGTCGACCACTCACTCGCTCAAACATTCACCCACTCAAGCAGTTAACCACTCACTCAGTCGACCACCCACTTGCTCAAACATTCACCCACTCAAGCAGTCAACCACTAACTCACTCACTCAAACATTCACTCAACTCACCGACTAATTCACTCAACCACTCCCTGTCCTCTGCCCCAGGTATGAGCTGATGCTCCTGTGTTGGGACACGAGCCCCGCCGTCCGCCCGGCCTTCCGTGACATCGAGGCTCTGCTTGCTCACATGATGCCGCCGCGCAGCGACGAGATGGGTCCCATGGGTCTCAAGTCGGTAGAGAATCTGATTGACTACGGGCTACCAGGCAGAGTGGAGAATTCGTTCGCCCAGGTGGAGCGTACAGAGAGTCCCTTCGTCAACGTTGAACGGGTTTAATGCAGAGGAGCGTTCGCCCGTCATCAAAACCATCATGAATGCTTTAATACTCGCCGCTGATGATGTGTTACTATTCATGGCGAATTAGTCATCGCAAGGGAATAATTGCATCGACTCGGAAAAATCAGTGATTTAGAAAACGTTTTCGCAACCGACACACCGCATCGAGTATACTTGCCACTACGGCTGTGGTCAATGGTCGTGGCCGACTCCTGTGGCGCAGAAAACATTCAATTTGGAACCAAGCCTCGTGGAATATAATTGAGTTACTACTGATTAGTCACGAATAGTCTTATTACGCATTTAGAATCACTGATTACTATGCAGTACTCATTATTAATCGACAACAACGTATTACTAATCACTCAATAATAATTATAATTATTACTAATCAGGTATATTATATTGCATTACTAATTTAATAATAATCATACTTAGAATGTACAACCTTTGTCAGTCTACTGTTGAACGAAACTTCCCTATGCAGTTTCAGTAATGGGGGGGTGGTTTAACCATACTTCACCGCACTGGTCAGTGTGGGTTGGTGAAGAGAGCACCCAGGACGGGTTCAGATGTCGCTCACCACTGTCAGTCGTGATTGGGAAGCTAACTGAGGCACAGGGTCCGCAGTGCGGTGCACGAACTGCGAGACCACCACCCCACTCCATGACACCTTCACCGAAGTTACAAAGGTGGCCACCGCATCGCGCGCTTTCAGATGTTCTTTTGCGGCCGTCTGGAACGCTCTCTCTTCTGTTATTCGGAAAGCCACTTGAGCTATGCACTTTTGAATAATCTAGATTGAAAACTCATTTGTTTAAAACAGATGTTTTTTTTATTTAGTTTGTTGTTCATCCCCCACACTTCCGATGAGCATGTTTGGCTAAGTACGGTGCGAAAGAAGTTCAACATACATACACGATTCGCGCAACGAGACAGAAACGATGAGCGGAGTCTGGCAAGAAGATACGCTCCCGCCAAGGGGACACTTGCAGACATCTGCTGAAAATTTTATGGCAGATTTAAAGGCATAAACGTAACTGTACAACGCATTAACCATCTCGGATTTGTTGATGACATAGTCATCATGACAAATAATTACCCATAACTACAGCAAATCAATGTAGACTTTAAGGAAGAAGAAAATAAAGACGCAAACAGGAGGAGCCTGGCGTGCTTTTGGAGAAGCGCATTTGATGATGAGAAGCAGCAGCGCAACGCACCCGAGGCAGGAGGTTTTCAATCATCGCAAACAGCCCGCTATGAGGTGCGTGCGAAAAAACATAGACCCCGGCAAAGAAAATAGAACGAAGAGCCGAAAAGTGTGCCGAGAGACACGGAGAGACGCATGCCTCGAATTACACAGAGAGACGGGAGGAGGAGGAGGACATGGATGAGGGAACGACCACGAAATCGACTGTTTGGGAAAATGAGATTGTGGTCAGTCCACATCCCTAGAAGAGATGATGGCTGATGGATGAGAACGGTGACGTAACACGGTAGCCATCGGAGGGCATGCGTCAGAGAGTTTTCCCATTATGGAGATGGAGCGGTGAGATCCGCATGTGTGCAGGACTGGGGTGGAGTGTGGCATAGCAGGGCCGTGTGGGATGGAGACGGCATAAGGAGGCCTATGGCTGCTGCAGATTGATGAATCATTACGAAGCATGCCCATGATCGTAACGAGCTCGTTACTCGCTCTGTTTGAGTGGGGCCTGCAGTCCGCCTTGGCGTCTTCATGTTCGTGACAGTCTCCTGCAGAGACGCGAGTCGGGATGATCCTTAGTTGGACTTTCTGTCTCTCGTTCATTTCCTTCAACCGAGGGCAGCCGTGTCTTGTTCACGGTAGACTTGGACACACAATAATCAAAGTGACACTTCACACACACACACTCGGCAACGCAAAACTTAATTAGGAGAAAAACGCGGGTTCTAGGGGCATACATTGAATATTGGAGTTGATTAAACTCGAGCAAACATAATAACTGGAAAACAAATGGCAGCGAGAACTAAGCCTTGAGGAATGCCCTCGGTCGATCGGAGACAAGTCCCAAGAATTGTTTTGCCAGATCCTGTAAATCGGGCTCTGCCCTCTCCACCAAACGATCGGCGCTCCAGAAGACCGCGGCGAGTCGCCCGTGGAACTGTTGTCGATGCCACGACTTAGATGATGTGTGATATTGGGGGTTGCCTGCGGGTCCTGAAAGCCAGATCACCACCACTCGCCGCTGATGTGACGTGCCGATGATGAGCGCAAGGCGTGAGCATGGTGCAGTGTCAGCGGTGCAGCTGCCAATACAGAACTCATACTCACCATTGGAACCTCATTTGCCAGTAAAAAATATGATAATTGGTTTTTTTACCCTTCTATCTGGCAACAAAACTGACACCTTTTTTACAAGGAGTCATGTTTGCATAGACCACAATACCTGCAGCCATAATGCAAAAAAAACCATAACTGATAATATATGCACTGTCCTTGAAGTTGATTGGTCCACAACCGAGACAGCTTTCCTTAGAGCCTAGTCTTTTGGCGTCATCTGGTCCAACCCATGTGAGACTATTATCAGAACTCATACTCTTTGGTTATTTCGGTAAAGTCACGTAGGTAAACAATAAAATGTAATATTTTATACCCACGTGACTTTACCGAAACAACCAAAGAGTATGGATTCCTGCAGTCACGAAAGCTTCAAATCAATACAGTACTTACAGAGCCCGCATGTTCATCGTTGCGTCGTATGCTTTTAAATGTAACAATAATCGCTTTGTTAAGATTTGATAATCGATTTATGAAGCAATTCTAATCACAATCGTCTTTTAAGCTGCTAAGTTGAATCGTAGGCTTTATATATATAACCAGACTGATATGTGTCCCCACGTAATAATAATCACAAGTGTTAATCCGTCAGCCTCCTGGATTTCCAGACCAAACCGATACAGGATCGTTTGATTGAAAAAGCTCTCGACCGGTTTCAACCTTTTGAGCCTCATCAGTCATTCTTGTTATGAAAATTCTTCTAGATTGCCAGATGTTCTTGGCAAAAAGCATTCCATCTAAACGACGGTGAATGCTTGCTGAATGAAAACAAGCGATATTCATACGAACCCGTTACGCATTCTTGTGGGAAAATATAGTATACTGTACCCGTCAAACCCTTATCAGTGCCGACCTAATTACAGACCAATTTAGACCGTATTGCCCTCATACATCTCAACGTTCATCCTACAAAGTCCCATCACAAGGGAGAAACGCAGTCAAATAGACAAAAAAAATGTTTTTTGCCCGCATTGAAACGGCTGTACTCCGTATGGACCCTGAAAACTCAATTTCCCTGTGCAAGAAATATGGGTAAACCACTTGGGGTTGACAGGTACGATATAGGTGAATAGGAGGCAAACGATGCCCATATCTAGGCCGCTTCTTCATCCATCCATCCTGCCTGCAGGAGTAAGCCGATGAACAAACTCGTTAATAATTTTAGCTTCACATTTTTTTTACGATTATGATTTGTCTACGTGTTATGTACAGCTTCGTGAGGTGCGGTCGCATATACTGTAAACGCCAAATAAAGCCGCTTTGCTTTACTGAGCTAACAAGTGTTATAGCTAACGAGCGTTATCTTTACTGGTAGGAACCTCCTACCAGCCCACAGGGGATTATTGTGTCCGTCCGTGGGGAGGGAGGGGCTGGGTAGGGAGGGCTGGGTGGGGAGGGGAGGGTGGGGAGGGGCTGGGTGGGGAGGGGCTGGGTGGGGAGGGTGGGGAGGGGCTGGGTGGGGGGTGGGAGGGGTGGGGCTGGGTGGGGATGGGCTGGTAACCCCGTGGTGCCCTTATAAAACTCAACGTTTAACCTAATCACGACGGCTTGTGCCCGCCCTCGCAGTCGGTCATATTTGCGGAAAACACCACGCCGCCGTTGACCCTGGCCATTGACCGAGCAACCCAACGTTACTACCTGCTCCCTCCGCAGGAATGTGTTAGTTAACAAGTCTCTATCCGAGCCCGTGTCTGCAACGCTACTCTCAGCCACGTGGTGGCGCTATTTATAGCTCAGTGGGCCTTACCTGCTCAAACGAAGGAAATTTTTTTAAAAATATTTTTTCATCGACAGTACGCGCCTCGTTGTAGCGGAATTAAAGAGTCGGGAGACTCACACAGAGGAGACTTTCACGTGGACCCACACACTCACAGTGAGGACCACAACACCCCCCCTGGAATCTGACCGTACAATGAACGCGAGGTGAAATCCACCTGATTGAAGATAATATTTGTCTCGTGAAAGGTCACATTTAACTCACTGAAGGTAAGGTTCACCTGGGCGAAGGTAAAATTCACCGACGACTTCGCGATTTGGCACTGGATGCCCCGTAGCCTCTACAGATCCAAACAGGTCAAGTGTGAGGGTGTGAGGATGTCAGGTGGTGAGGTCAAGAGAATGATGGTTTCGATTTAAAGCTTTCGTGACTGCAGGGATTCATCTTCTTGGTTCTTTCGGTAAAGTCACGTAGAAGGGAAGTAATAAAATAATACGAATAAAACATAATAACATAATTGTCAGTGAGAATTCTTTTATTATGTTTTATTTTTATTATTTTATTAATTCTCAGTGAGAATTAGTTTATAATGTTTTATTTTTATTATTTTATTACTTCCCTTCTACGTGACTTTACCGAAAGAACCAAGAAGAGAATGATGGTTGTGGGGAGCCCCCTTCATCATTACCTTCATACCCCCCACCCCCGTCTCGGTGTGCATGCGGCACGCGGCGTGGTAATGAAAGCGATTATGTTGGAGTGAGTTGGGGGGGGGGTGAGAGTTAAACAGAGAAGCATTCTTGAGCTGCGGGGGGATTAGTGGCTCACGGGGTCCCGATGGCCCCAGGATTAGCGGGGACCCCAGCCCCCATGGCCCTATCCACCTCTCGTGAAAAACCGGGCGGCCTTCCGTGTGCCAGGCTAGGTGCGCTCTGAAGCGGTCACGTCAAGTGCCAGAGGCTCGCTGCTGGCAGGAGGCCACGGGATAGACCCAAACACAAAGTCGCCTCCATCCCGGTTAACGCTACGCAGATGTTTGGGGCAAGTGCCGTTAGGGGCCGTCCATAAATGACGTCACACACCTGGGGTGGAGGTGGTCAGATATTTGTGACGATGTGTGACGAGGTGGGGGGGGTTTGAGAAATGTGACGTCACATCAAAATGCGCAATTTTAAATAAATATAGACAACGCGTTCTACTTAATTAAATCGACTTTTTAATAAATGTTTTCTCCTACAACGTCAGAGTGCAGCGCCACATTAAATACGCACTACAATAACAATAGTTTAAAGCGATTTGAAGCATGTTTTATTTTTTGGGGGGGGGGGGGGCAGAGCTTTGTGACGTCATATTTGAGGGGGGGTCTGACTTTTTGTGACGAGGGGGGGGGGTCAAAAATCGTGAAAAATCGCGTGACGTCATTTATGGACGGCCCCTTAGTGCACCATTGGAACCTCATTTGCCAGTATAAAATATGATAATTGGTTTTTTACCCTTCTATCTAGCCACAAAACTGACGCCCCTTAGTGATCACACGTTAGTCAACACTGTCGTTTATTACTCTCGCCACTGATGTCAGCCGTGGCCGGGAATCGAACTCAGCTGAGCCACACGCGGAGATCCCTCGGTTCCTCACCTGCGTGAAAAGGGAGCTCCTCCTCCGAGCTGCCTTCTCACCTGTGCGCTCCTCCGCTGCCGTGGCAACGGCGTCGCCCAGGTGAATGAGTGCGGGGGGTGGTGGTGGGGGTGGTGGGGCTAGGATAGGGCCAGGTGAATGAGTGGTGGGGGTGGTGGTGGGGGTGGGATATGGCCAGGTGAATGAGTGGTGGGGGTGGTGGTGGGGGTGGTGGGGCTAGGATAGGGCCAGGTGAATGAGTGGTGGGGGTGGTGGTGGGGGTGGTGGGGCTAGGATATGGCCAGGTGAATGAGTGGTGGGGGTGGTGGTGGGGGTGGTGGGGCTAGGATAGGGCCAGGTGAATGAGTGGTGGGGGTGGTGGTGGGGGTGGTGGGGCTAGGATAGGGCCAGGTGAATGAGTGGTGGGGGTGGTGGTGGGGGTGGTGGGGCTAGGATAGGGCCAGGTGAATGAGTGGTGGGGGGTGGTGGTGGGGGTGGTGGGGCTAGGATAGGGCCAGGTGAATGAGTGGTGGGGGTGGTGGTGGGGGTGGTGGGGCTAGGATAGGGCCAGGTGAATGAGTGGTGGGGGGGTGGTGGGGGTGGGGCTCGTGCATGGGGGGCCTGGCAGCAAAAAAAACAAGAGACGAAAAAATGTTGTTCGAATTCGTTGAAAGACAAAACTCGATGTTACTCAGAGCCGCGATGCAATGCGACTACGAGACGGTGGCTCTTTCATTCAATTAAACAAAACAACGCCACGAACGCAGCCCTTCAAGAGCTGCGTTGTGCAAACGTCTGTTGGGCTTGCAGGTTGTCGACCCCTGGGCTCAAGGTAGAATGGGGGTCGGGTTAGGGCGAGTTGATGGGGCAGCGTCCCGGCTCGCATCGGGTTAGGGCTAGGAACAAAGTTAGGACGGGATGAAGGTTCAGGCTCATGGCAGTGTTAGGGCGTGGGGTTAGGGCTCGTGCCAGTGTGTGGTGATAGCGGTTAGGGCTCGGATCGGGGTTGTTCTGTGTGTAGCGATGCGTGTAAGGGTTAGGGGATTGGGGCTCGTGCTGCGTATAGAGAGCTCGGGCGCAAGTGGACAGGGGCTTAGGGGCCGTCCATAAATGACGTCACGCACCTGGGGGGGGGGGGTCAGACATTTGTGACGATGTGTAACGAGGGGGGGGGGGGGGGTTGAGAAATGTGACGGCACATCAAAATGCGCAACTTTAAATAAATATAGACAACACGTTCTACTAAATTAAATATACTTTTTTAATAAATGTTTTCTCCTACAACGTCAGAGTGCAGCGGCACATTAAATACGCACTACAATGACAATAGTTTAAAGCGATTTGAAGCATGTTTTATTTGGGGGGGGGGGGGGCGCAGAGCTTCGTGACGTCATATTTGAAGGGGGGGGGTTAAAAATCGTTCAAAATCGCGTGACGTCATTTATGGACGGCCCCTTAGAGGCCTTTGTGTTCGGGGCACGAGGCTGTGAGATCGGGCTCATCACGACGGCGGGAGGTTTGATGGTCCGGTCCCTGGTGGCGCGGACTCACGCCGACGCGGTCGGTTTTGCCCGGATTGGTCTGGAAGGTTGCGGGGCCCGCGACACCTGGCGTCAGGTGTGCGTGTGTGTGCGTGTGTGTGCGAGTGTGTGTGCGTTGTGTGTGTGTGCGTGTGTGTGTGCGCGCGTGTGTGTGTGTGCGCGTGTGTGTGTGTGCGCGTTGTGTGTGCGCGTGTGTGCGTGCGTGTGTGTGTGTGCGCGCGTGTGTGTGTGCGTGCGTGTGCGTGTGTGTCACCACCAACGATAGTTTGGCGAATACTTGAACCCAGTCCCGAACATCCCCTGGGTCGACCCTAAACGCCTACCTGGTAAGGGCGCTTAAACATCAGCACCGGGGAGACAAAGGCGGCCGCGCGTGGTCTTGGCCACCCGCCCGCCTCTTGCGCCGTGGCCGGTCTGTGTCGGTGCTCGCTAACAGAAGTTGCCCCAGCAGTCTGTTAAAGGCCATGCCGGAGGTATTGAGACGTCGTGTGGGCACGGTGTGCGTGCAGCAAGAAGAGTGATTTGACCAAGAGTGGTGGGTTGTGTGTGGGTTGTGTGTGGCCCAGTGACTGTTTGGCCCCATAGAGGGGGTGGGGGGATAAACGGGCACGGCACGGGCTAGAGAAGAGATTGAGTGATGTGGTACAGGAGGATGTGGAGCTGAGTGGACTTGCCAATGACTGCTACCCAGCGGTGTCAAGATCGGCCTCTGTGGAGGAGACTCGTTCAGGACGCTACTGGGCAATTGGAGGCGGTCACCCTCCAACAACAACAACAACAGAAGGCAGAGGAGCGACGCTCACAACAACGAGCGGAGCGCCCAGGTGGCTAAAACGCAACAAGATGGCACGTTGGGGTAAAGAAGTGGTGCATCTGCCAGTCATCTCTGTCAGTCAATACGTGACACCTGGGTCTGTCCATGTGGCCTCCTGTCAGGAGCGAGAGCCTTTCACACTTCACGTGACCACCTCAAAGTGCACCTAGCCTGGCACAACCGCCTTGGTGGCGTCACCGATACTTCGTGGCAAACGGCGGCTGCTGTGTGAACCTGTGGGTGTGTACACGTGTGTCTATGTGTGTCTATGTGTGTGTCTATGTGTGTCTATGTGTGTACATGTGTGTCTATGTGTGTACATGTGTGTCTATGTGTGTACATGTGTGTACATGTGTGTACATGTGTGTGTGTGTCTATGTGTGTCTATGTGTGTCTATGTGTGTCCATGTGTGTACATGTGTGTCTATGTGTGTACATGTGTGTACATGTGTGTGTGTGTCTGTGTGTGTACATGTGTGTCTATGTGTGTAAATGTTTCTATGTGTGTACATGTTTCTATGTGTGTACATGTGTGTACATGTGTGTCTATGTGTGTACAAGTTTCTATGTGTGTACATATTTCTATGTGTGTACATGTGTGTCTATGTGTGTCTGTGTGTGTACATGTGTGTCTACATGTGTGTCCCGCTCACGGCCAACACCCAGTGACGATTATCTAAACCGGTCCTGAGCTTCCCCTAGGTCGACTCAGCCTCAAATGAGTACCCGGTGCGCTGTGTAAATATCACCACTGGGGAGACAAAGGCGGCCGGGCGTGGTGCTGGCCACCCACCCTCTCGTGTGCCGTGCCGACCCTCATAGGGTGCTCGCTAACAGCACTTTCCCCTACAGTCTGTTAAGGCTACACGGGGATCTTTGTCTGTGTATTCAAGTATGCCTGATTTTGTTTATATGTATGCCTGCCTGTGCGTTTGTGCGTGTCTGCTGTATCCGTGCACGTATGCTCGCCTGTACCTATTTATGTGTGGGCACGTGTGTGTGTGTGCCTGTGCGTGCGTGTGTGTGTGCTGTAAACAGCGTGACCGTGTACCCAGTACAGTGCACGCTTCTCGCCGCTTTTGTTTGGACAGAGTCAACACGAGGCCGCCGCCACCACCACCAACTACCACTGCCTGCATCCCGGGGGGGGGGGGCAGGGGGAGGGGGTTGCTCTCGACCCCGAGGGTCCAGGTGTGCACCCAACTGTGCGCCCAGGTGTGTGCCCACGTGTGCACCCATGTGTGTGAACCCAGGTGTGCACCCAGGTGTGCCCCCAGGTGTGGGTGCCCAGGTGTGCACCCAGGTGTGTGAACCCAGGTGTGTACCCAGGTGTGCCCCCAGGTGTGGGTGCCCAGGTGTGCACCCAGGTGTGGGTGCCCAGGTGTGGGTGCCCAGGTGTGCACTCAGATGTGGGTGCCCAGGTGTGCACCCAGGTGGGTGCCCAGGTGTGCACCCAGGTGTGGGTGCCCCGGTGTGTACCCAGGCGTGTACCCAGGTGTATGCCCACGTGTGCACCCAGGTGTGGGTGTCCACGTGGGCACCCAGGCGTGTACCGAGGTGTGGGTGCCCAGGTGTGCATCCAGGTGTGCACCCAGGTGTGTGACTCCAGGTGTATGCCCAGGTGTGCCCCCAGGTGTGGGTGCCCAGGTGTGCACCCAGGTGTGGGGGGCTCAGTGCGGCCCGGGCACGTACGGGACCCGGGCGGGACTCCTGACGAGGGCCGACTAGGTTGGGGTGCTCGCGCGTGGGAGTTGATAGAAGTGAGGGCAGGTGTGTCTGAGTAGAGGGGCAGGTGTGTCTGAGTAGAGGGGCAGGTGTGTCTGAGTAGAGGGGCAGGTGTGTCTGAGTAGAGGGGCAGGTGTGTCTGAGGTGAGGGGCAGGTGTGTCTGAGTAGAGGGGCAGGTGTGTCTGAGTAGAGGGGCAGGTGTGTCTGAGTAGAGGGGCAGGTGTGTCTGAGTAGAGGGGCAGGTGTGTCTGAGTAGAGGGGCAGGTGTGTCTGAGTAGAGGGGCAGGTGTGTCTGAGTCGAGGGGCAGGTGTGTCTGAGTCGAGGGGCAGGTGTGTCTGAGGTGAGGGGCAGGTGTGTCTGAGTCGTGGGGCAGGTGTGTCTGAGTCGAGGGGCAGGTGTGTCTGAGTAGAGGGGCAGGTGTGTCTGAGTAGAGGGGCAGGTGTGTCTGAGTAGAGGGGCAGGTGTGTCTGAGTAGAGGGGCAGGTGTGTCTGAGTAGAGGGGCAGGTGTGTCTGAGTAGAGGGGCAGGTGTGTCTGAGTAGAGGGGCAGGTGTGTCTGAGTAGAGGGGCAGGTGTGTCTGAGGTGAGGGGCAGGTGTGTCTGAGTAGAGGGGCAGGTGTGTCTGAGTAGAGGGGCAGGTGTGTCTGAGTAGAGGGGCAGGTGTGTCTGAGTCGAGGGGCAGGTGTGTCTGAGTCGAGGGGCAGGTGTGTCTGAGGTGAGGGGCAGGTGTGTCTGAGTCGAGGGGCAGGTGTGTCTGAGTAGAGGGGCAGGTGTGTCTGAGTAGAGAGGGCAGGTGTGTCTGAGTAGAGGGGCAGGTGTGTCTGAGTAGAGGGGCAGGTGTGTCTGAGTAGAGGGGCAGGTGTGTCTGAGGTGAGGGGCAGGTGTGTCTGAGTAGAGGGGCAGGTGTGTCTGAGTAGAGGGGCAGGTGTGTCTGAGTAGAGGGGCAGGTGTGTCTGAGTAGAGGGGCAGGTGTGTCTGAGTAGAGGGGCAGGTGTGTCTGAGTAGAGGGGCAGGTGTGTCTGAGTAGAAGGGCAGGTGTGTCTGAGGTGAGGGGCAGGTGTGTCTGAGTAGAGGGGCAGGTGTGTCTGAGTAGAGGGGCAGGTGTGTCTGAGTAGAGGGGCAGGTGTGTCTGAGTAGAGGGGCAGGTGTGTCTGAGTAGAGGGGCAGGTGTGTCTGAGTAGAGGGGCGGGTGTGTCTGAGGTGAGGGGCAGGTGTGTCTGAGTAGAGGGGCAGGTGTGTCTGAGTAGAGGGGCAGGTGTGTCTCAGGTGAGGGGCAGGCGTGTATGAGGTAGGTGTGTGACGAGGTAATGTGTGGTCGTGTACACGGGGCTGTGATTGTGCTGTAGGACAGCGGTGCGTGTGGTTATGTGGGTGTGATGTTGCGTGCGTGTGTGTGGTTATACGGGTGTGAGGATATGCGGTTGTACAGGTGTGGGGTTAAGCTAAGGAGCTATCATGCGGTATAATGTGGTTGTGCGGGGTCGTGTGGTTAGATCGTGTGCGTGGTTGTGTGATTGTGTGATAACGTGGTTGTGATCATGTGGTTGTTGTATGTGGTTGTGGTTGTGATCATGTGGTTGTGGTTGTGGTTACGTATGTGGCAGTATATGTGGTTGTGTGATTATCTGGCAGTATATGTGGTCGTGTACGTGGTTATGTGTGTGTGGTTGTGGTAGTATATGTGGTTGTGTGGTTGTGGTAGTGTATGTGGTTGTGTGTGTGTGGTTGTAGTAGTGTATGTGGTTGTGGTAGTGTATGTGACTATGTGTGTGTGGTTGTGTGTGTGTGGTTGTGGTAGTGTATGTGGTTGTGTGTGGTTGTGGTAGTGTATGTGACTATGTGTGTGTGGTTGTGTGTGGTTGTGGTAGTGTATGTGACTATGTGTGTGTGGTTGTGGTAGTGTATGTGGTTGTGTGTGGTTGTGGTAGTGTATGTGGTTGTGTGGTAGTGTACGTGGTTGTGGTAGTGTACGTGGTTGTGTATGGTAGTGGTAGTGTATGTGGCTATGTGTGTGTGGTTGTGGTAGTGCACGTGGTTGTGTGTGGTTGTGTGGTTGTGTGTGGTTGTGATAGTGTACGTGGTTATGTGTGTGTGGTAGTGTATGTGGTTGTGTGTGGTTGTGGTAGTGTGGTAGTGTATGTATATGGTTGTGGTAGTGTATGTGGTTGTGTGGTTCCGTGCCAAGCTAAGTGCACGCGCTGCGTGACCAATGCGCGCCCCGTGTCCCCAACGCCCTTCACGTGACACCGCCTGGTTACCGGGGGGCGGGGTGAGGGTGGGGGGGCGGGGTGAGGGTGGGGGGAGGGTGGGGGAGGGTGAGGGGGGGGTCGCTGCTCCCCCTCCTCACTCTGCCCCCCTCCTCCTCCTCCTTGAAGCCGGAAGCTGTCGCCGCAGCTCAGGTGAGGAGCGAATGCCCGCGGCCAGGTGAGACACGCGCGGGGAGACGCGCGTGGACAGGGGAGAGACACCGGGTGGGTGACAGGGAGAGAGAGACATGGGGACAGAGGGGGCTGAAGGGGATGGTTGGGATACTTCAGGGAGAGAGAGAAGGGGGGGGGGAGACGTGGAGAGACGGGGAGAGATGGGGACAGGGAACAGGGAGCGCAATGAGATGGGGAAATGAGGGCGGTGGGTGGGTGGGGGGTGGTGGAGGGAGACGCGGTGACACAGGGAGACAGGGGGACAAAGTGGGAAAGGAAGACGGGGGGAGGTTGGGACAGGGGAACGGGGAACGGAGAGGCAAGAGGGAATTTTGGACACGGACAGAGGGGGTAAGGAGACAGGGGATAGGGTGGTGACAAGGGGAGGTTGGTACAGGGAACGGGGAGACAGGGAGACGGGCAGAGAGGAGGGACACACGGAGGCGGAGTCGAGGGAGACACACATGGGTGGGTTGGGGGGGACTGTGACGGACAGACGGCCAGGTGAGACGCAACGCTGTGTTGGTGTGAGAGGGAGTGCGGCTATGATTATAGGTGCTCGCTAACAGCACTTGCCCCAGCAGTGTGCTCAAGGCTATAACGGGGGGGGGACCTTTGTCTTTGTGTAAGATGTTGTGTGTGGAGCGGTGGCGCAGTGGTGAGGGCACTGCGATACGCACTCGATGCACCGTTCAGTTCGAATCCCGTCCACGGCGAGTGACATCCGAACCGACCATGGACCTTCTCTAGGTAGACTCCGTCTTAAACGATGGGTACGTTGTGCGGTGTGTATGCAGCACTGGGAAGACAAAGGCGTCCGAGCGTGGTGCTGGATACACCACCCCCTCGTGTTCCGTTAAGGCCAAATTAGGTGCTCGCTAACAGCACTTGCCTCAACAGTCGATGCGAACCACCCGGGGAATCTTTGTCTTTGTGAATGTGTGTGGTGGTGTGGCTGGGTGAGGTGAGCGCAATGCGTGATGAACCAAGTCACAGCTACCTTGAGTTGAGACGAGCAGAACTTGTCCTGGGCTTCCCCTAGGTCGACTCGGCCTCAATTCATGAGTGATGTGTGTCAACACCGACGCTGATGTGGCGTGGTTTATGGCCACAGCAACTCGCCCTGCTGTTCAGGACCTCGCCGGTGCTCGCAAAAAGCCCCGCCCCACGAGTCTGTGCGGCTATAGAGGCGATTTGCGCGCGTGTGTGTGCGTGTGTGTGTATGTCGACTCAGCCTCAAATGAGTACCTTGCGCGATGTGTAAACATCGCCACTAGGGAGACAAAGGCGGTCGGACGTGATGCTTGCCACCCACCCCTCGTGTACCGTTCCGGCCTTCATAGGTGCTCGCTAACAGCACTTGCCCCTACAGTCTGTTCAGGCTATATGGAGGGATCTTTGATCTTTGTGTGTGTGTGTGCGCGCGTGTATTTAGAGTGTGCGCGAGTGAGACGGGGAGCCAGAGTGAGAATGAGTGAGCGTGTGATTGTGTGTCAGAGTGTATATGAGTGTGGTATTAGAATGAGTGTGAGAGTGTGATTGTTCGTGGTGTGCAGTAGTGTGTCGGTTCGCGCGCTGCGCTACGAACCTGGCGACCCGGGTTCGATTCCCGTTCAGGGCCAACACCGGTGACGATTATCTGAACCGGTCCTGAGCCCTCCCCTGGACCGACTCAGCCTCAAATGAAGTATCTGGTGCGGTGTTGTAAACATCGTCACTAGGGAAACCAAGGCAGTCTGTTAAGACTACACGGGGGATGTTTTTTCGTGGTATGTGAGATTATTTAAGGCCAGGGCTCTGTGTTATTCGTTGTGTTATCGGGGTCTCAGACCGTCTGCTCATAATCATTAGGGACCTTCGCGATGGTGGGCATGCCCAGGTAAAGCTGCGTTACTGCACGTCAAAGCCATTCCCTGTTCACCGTGGGGTGCGACAGGGATGTCATAGACCACGTCGTTTGAGACGCTTGCCATGGCTGTACCGGTGGACTATCCATCGGGTACAGATGCCGCGGTGCGGTCAAAGGACGGTTCCTTATTGGTCATGGAGCGTGCAAAGAGGTGGGGCCTCACCATCAAACCCACAAAAAAGCACCTGCCTGGGTATTTTATGTCATCAAACACCCCACCCCCTCAACTCCTCATGAGTGATGGGGCAGTTGTGGATATAATGGAGACGTTTACGTAAATGGATAATGTACTTATGACCAACTCCCGTTTTGAAGCAGAGGTCTCAATCCGAATAGTTGGAGCAGCATTATCATTTCATCATCTGTGGAAGCTACCTGGCCTGTTGCTCCATACGAAGCTCCAGGTCTTCTCGACCACATGTATACCCTCCCTTCTCTTTGCTTGCGACACCTGGACCCCGAGAAAGGAATATACATGCCAGTTTGAAACATTGGCCTGCCTACGATCATCCATTCTGGGTTTAACTGGACTTGGATTGTGCGAGCTCACAGATCCTTGCAAGATCTGGACACCGTCCCATCAGTGAACTCTTTCGGCAAGCAAGGCTGCGTTGGCTGGGTTATGTAACCCACATGCTTGGACATCGAATGTTGGATAAAGGGGGCTAAACGGCCGCGACATGTCCTAGAGAGGAGGTGGGCTAATATACAGGAGGATGTGGAGCTGAGTGGACTTACCGATGACTGGCACCAGCTGCGTCAAAATTGGCCCCTATGGAGGAGGCTCGTTAAGGACGCTACTGGGTAGTTGGAGGCAGTCGCCCTCCACCAACAGCGGAGGGCAGAAGAGCGTCGCTCACAAACAACGAGCAAAGCGTCGTGCAGTTAAAACGCGGCAAGTCGGCACAGTGGGGAGCACAGGTGATGCGTCTGCCAGGTGTCTCTGTTAACCCATGGCACCTGGGTCTGTCCTGTGACCTGCCAGCGAGCCTTCGACACCTCACCTTGCCACATGGTGGATCTAGCTTGGCACAGGCGCTGTGGTGGCATCAGTGTCCAATGCGGCTGTTGTTATTGTTATGTATTTTGGAACTTATTTCGCAGCGTTCGTAGCCAACCGTGCTAATCGGAGGGAAGAACAACGGACTAAGCGCACAAAAAGCAGCTTTAAAGAAATGAGTTTTCAATCAAGATTTTTTAAAAAGTTGTTGGCAGAGGAGCGATGCAGAGTGAAGTGAGCGAGCGTGAATGCGAGGGAGGTGAGAGACGCTGAGGTTGAGTGGCTGAGCGAGGTGGACGTGAGACTGCCGTGGTGATGGGTAAGAAGGGGGACGTCGCGGAGTGGTTGACAGAGAAGAGAGAGAGATGCGGGGAGCGAGAGTGCAATGAGCGAGCGAGCGTTTAAGAGAGCGATGGGAGAGTGCGTGGTTGAGAGTGTACGGAGTTCGATTCCCGCTCACGGCCAACACCACGGTCACGATTATCTGAACCGGTCCTGGGCCTCCGCCTAGGTCGACTCAGCATCGAATGAGTACCTGGTGCGGTGCGTAGTAAACATCGCCACTGGGGGAGACAAAGGCGGCCGGGCGTGGTGCTGGCCACCCATCCACACGCATGTGGTGTGCACAGTGCCGGCCGGCCTGCTACTCGCTCACGGGACTTGCCCCAACGGTCTGTTCCAGTTCTTCTACGGGGGGATCTTTGTCTTTGTCACAATCTAGACCAGGGGTGGGGAACCTTGTTTCTGCCAAAGGCCATTTGGATATTTACAACATCATTCGCGGGCCATGCAAAATGATCAACTTAAAAATTTGCCCGTTATATTTGGTCAAACATTTAACTAACTCACCCCTAATGCGATGGCTGGAACTGCTTCTCTTTAGCGAGGCGTGTGATGTTAGCTAGCGTTGATGATGTTGCTGCTCGCAGCTGCTTTTCCAGGTTTGCTCCTAGATTTATTGAATTTCGAGTCCCGCCTGCGGTTGCCTTGGCAGGGCCAGACCCAAATGATGTCGCGGGCCTTATACGGCCCGCTGGCCGGACGTTCCCCACCCCTGGCTCTAGACGGTGTAGACCCCCCCCCCCCACCCCGAGTGGTTGCGTTGTGAGGGTCGCGGTGGGCGAGTGCGAGACGGGGGAGGAGGAGGAGGGAGAGTCGAGGTGCCATCCTCGCCACCGGTCTCGTCTCCCCGCACTGTATGCCGCATACTGCGGGTAGAGCGACGATTATCTGAACCCCCCACCCCCCCACCCCACCCCCCCCCCCGTGACGTTCGGTCGACTCGGCCTCGGTCGACTCGGCCTCGAACGCGTCAACCCTGGCGGGAGACAAAGGCGGCCGGGCGTGGTGCTGGCCATGCGGGGGGCGGGGGGTGGAGGGATCTTTGTTTTTGTTTTGCGTCCGCCGCTTCTACTCCGCGTTTCCCGCTCCGATTCGGCGGAAACGTCGGAGATGAACAGAACGCCACGGGCGCAATCCGTGGCGTTTCCAGCGCACTCCAATCAGCGCCTTCACGGATACCTGATGAGAGCCCCCCCCTCTCCATCTCCTCCCCACGGGGGCGACAGGGTTGCCGGGGTAGGGGTCAGGGTTTGTGTTTTGGGGGTAGGGGGTCAGAGGTAGGGTTGTGTATGGGGGGCTCGAGGTAGAGGTAGTGGCAGGCTGAGTGTTAATGGGTAAGAGTTGGGTTGTGTATGGGGGCTCGAGGTAGAGGTAGTGGCAGGCTGAGTGTTAATGGGTAAGAGTTGGGTTGTGTATGGGGGCTCGAGGTAGAGGTAGTGGCAGGCTGAGTGTTAATGGGTAAGAGTTGGGTTGTTTATGGGGTCTCGAGGTAGAGGTAGTGGCAGGCTAAGTGTTAATGGGTAAGAGTTGGGTTGTTTATGGGGGCTCGAGGTAGAGGTAGTGGCAGGCTGAGTGTTAATGGGTAAGAGTTGGGTTGTGTATGGGGGCTCGAGGTAGAGGTGGTGGCAGGATGAGTGTTAATGGGTAAGAAGTAGGGCTAAGAAGAGGGTATGCGTGACGTGGAGGTATGATAACAGGGGGTGTGCGTGTGTTGGACTTCTTTCGCGCCGTACGAAGCCAACCGTGCTAATCGTAGGTGCGGGTAGAGTCGGGGCCGAGGTTGATAGGGGTATGGCTCGGTGTGTGGCTGTGATTGGAGGTATGATTACGGGAAGGGGTAAGGGTAGGGGTAAGGGTACAGGGGTTCGGGGCAAGGGTAAGGTTTAGTGAGGGGTGCGATTGGCGGTGGGGGGAGGGGCCGGTCCCTGATGCCACAGTCACCGTGCCCGACCCAACCTTGGACCCCCCCTCCCCCGCCCCGCCCCTCTGTACCTTGAGCCCGGCTCGTAATGGACAACCCGAGTGCAGAGGTGCCGGGGTGGGGGCCCTGGTGCCCCCCATCGCCGAGGGCGCCCCGTGGGAAGTCCAGAGACCCGCCATGGCAATGTGGAATGTTCACCAGCCGTGCTCGGTGTCTTTCCATCAGCGCCGTCACGTGCAGCGCGCGTGCCCAAGGTCGAGTCTGCCTGTAGCCGCAAGAGGCCACAAGAGGCCGCTTGCCCCCCACGCAACTTTGTGCCTCTCCTCTTCCCCCTTCCCACTTCGAGAGCCGCCGTCTCGCGGAACCTCGGGACCCCCTCGTAGCTCACCGGGGCGAGCTTCAGGAATGCGGCGTGCAATGATTTACCCCGGGATTAGAGTCGGAGCCGCCGCGTAGCGCCGCTCCCAAGCGATTAATCAATTATTGACCGGGCGAATCGGCGAGCCGTGTTCGTACGAGTGTGGCGGCGGCGGCGGCGCTACGGAGCATTAATTATTGACGCGGCGCAGGTAAAACATTCACTCACCTGCCGCCTCCCGCACATCGATCCCCCAGTCGCGCTCCGTCTCCTCCCTCGATCGCCGTCATCGCGCGCGGCTCCCACCTCTTCCAATCACCTCCTCCTCCACCTCCTCGTCCTCCTCGTGGTGCCCACAGGTGCGGACGCCGCGGTGATAGGCGACGTGATGGGGGAGACGATGAGTGATGGGTGGGAGGTGATGGGGGAGATGATGATGATGGGAGAGGCAAGGAGTGATGGGTGGGAGGTGATGGGGGAGATGATGATGATGGGAGAGGCGAGGAGTGATGGGTGGGAAGTGATGGGGGAGATGATGATGATGGGAGAGGCGAGGAGTGATGGGTGGGAGGTGATGGGGGAGATGATGATGATGGGAGAGGCGAGGAGTGATGGGTGGGAGGTGATGGGGGAGATGATGATGATGGGAGAGACGATGAGTGATGGGTGGGAGGTGATGGGGGAGATGATGATGATGGGAGAGGCGAGGAGTGATGGGTGGGAAGTGATGGGGGAGATGATGATGATGGGAGAGGCGAGGAGTGATGGGTGGGAGGTGATGGGGGAGATGATGATGATGGGAGAGGCGAGGAGTGATGGGTGGGAGGTGATGGGGGAGATGATGATGATGGGAGAGGCGAGGAGTGATGGGTGGGAGGTGATGGGGGAGATGATGATGATGGGAGAGGCGAGGAGTGATGGGTGGGAGGTGATGGGGGAGATGATGATGATGGGAGAGGCGAGGAGTGATGGGTGGGAGGTGATGGGGGAGATGATGATGATGGGAGAGGCGGGGAGTGATGGGTGGGAGGTGATGGGGGAGATGATGATGGGAGAGGCGGGGAGTGATGGGTGGGAGGTGATGGGGGAGATGATGATGGGAGAGGCGGGGAGTGATGGGTGGGAGGTGATGGGGGAGATGATGATGGGAGAGGCGAGGAGTGATGGCTGGGAGGTGATGGGCGAGATGATGGGAGAGGCGAGGAGTGATGGGTGGGAGGTGATTACGGGTGAGAGTGATGAGTTAAAGGCGATGCGTGCCGAGTAATGGATGTGGGATGGTGGCCGATGGCTGCCGAGTTTGAGACAACAGAGGAGGGCTGATGGGCACGCGGTGTGACGTGATCAATGAGGTGATGGGTGTGTATTGCTGGTGGTGGGCGAGGAGTGATGGGTGACGTGTCTAGTGAAGAGAGATGAATGTAGGATGGTGGGCGATGGGTGAGAATGGTGAGTGACGGGTATGTGGTGGTGGCCGAGGTGATTGGTGTGTGGCAGAGATAATGAGGTTGTGAGTTCGTCATGATGGGTTCAGGGCGATGGGCATTGGTTCAGCGTGAATAGTGAGGATGATGGGTGGGGGTGATGGTAATAGTTCATGGTGGTGTGCGGTGGTTGGTGGTGATGAGGTGTGGTTGATGGTTAATCGTGATGGTAAATGGTGAAATGTGGTGCTTCATGGTGATGTGTGATAATGAGTGATGGATATTGGCAATGTGTGATTTGATGGTCGTTGTGTGATAATTATGGGTGGTGATGGAATTATGTTTGTTGATGGCGATCTCAGTGGAGCGAGAAGTCGATTCGCACAAACCCCCATGGGGGGGAGGTGGTGGGGGGTGGAGGGTTGGGGGGAGGTGGTGGGGGGTGGAGGGTTGGGTGGAGGGTTGGGGGGTGGAGGGTTGGGGTCTGCGCTCATGCACGTGACCGGCCAAAGGCATTCACAGATTAGGGGCTCAAACTCTGGAGGTGGGCAGAACGGTGGCGATAATAGCAGGGAGGGGGGGAGGGGATCAGGGAGGGGGGGTCAGGGAGGGGGGGAGTCAGGGAGGCGGGGAGGGGGGTCAGGGAGGGGGGGAGGGGGTCAGGGAGGGGGTCAGGGAGGCGGGTGTATCAGAGTGGCGGTCTCCGGGCAAGAACTGTGAAGTGAGTGGAGCGGTGAAGCGTCTCGACAGAGAGGCGCGCGTGGGAGCGTGCGGGGTGACGTCACCACGCGTCCGTGCGTGCGCGTCTTGTCTCACCTGTTGCGGTGTCTAAACACGAGCGCCGGGGAGACAAAGGCGGTAGCGCGTGGTTCCAGCCGCACCCCGCACCTTCGTGTGCGCTCGCTAGCGGCACTTGATAACGGCAGCCACGCAAGGGCTTACACGTGGGGAGTTTTAGAATGTGTGTGTGTGTGGCGTGACCTCAGCCTGTACCTAGCCTGGCACAGGCGCCGTGGAGACGTCACCGCAACGGAGCGAACGAGGGGCTGTTGTTGTGTGTATGAGTGTGTGTAGTAGTAGTAGAAGTAGGAGGCAGTCGCCCTCCAACAACAACGGAGGGCGGAGGAGCGACGCTCACAACAACGAGCGGAGCGCCGTGTGGCTAAAGCACAGCAGGTTGGTACAGTAGGGGGCACAGGTGGTGCATCAGCCAGTCGTCTCGGTCATCTCAGTCAGTCCACCAGTGGCACCTGCTGGGTCTGCCCCGTAAACCTCCTGCCAGCGCACGTTCGACACTTCACGTGGCCTCAAGGTGCACCTAGCCTGGCACAAGCGTCGTGGTGACGTCACCGCCACTTAGTGGCGAATGGCGGTTGTTGTCGTAGTAGATGGTGTATATGTGTGTGTTTACAGTCTCTGTGTGTGTGTAGGTAAATATCCCCCGACAAGAGGCAGAGAGCAAAGGTCGCGGGCTGGGAGGTGGCAGAGAGAGAGAGAGTTGGGGGGGTGGGGGGGGGGTAGTCCTCGGGGTTGGCGTGAGCGAGGGGGGGGGGGAGTCCATAGGCCGAGGGGAGCGATGCGGTGACAGGCGGAGTTGCTTCACTCTGTCCCCACTCCACATTTTTCGGAACGCTGCTCGGAGTCGGGAGTTTCGGCGTAAGGCACTACCACTAGAGTACAAGGTACGCCTGTCCATGACGATTCCACAGTAGTTTACCCCCCCCCCCCCCCCCCCACGTTCATATCATCCTAAAAGCAGGGTTTTATGAACATAGGGCACGGCGAGGCGAGGTGGATGTGGCCTGCCACTTTAGTTACTGGAATGTTCCGGACTGCTCCGGCTGATACGAAAGTTCTGGTTGGAACTCTCGAAGGGTTCGGGCGAGACGACTACGGTCGGGGTTTAGGAAAGGTTGCGGTTAAGGCGAGAGAACGGTTATGGCTTGGGCAGGGTTAGGGCATGGCTAGGGCATGGCTAGGATAGGCAACGTGGTTATAGGCAGGGTATGGGCATGGTTAGGGTTAGGGCAGGGCTAGGATTAGAACATGGGCAAGGGCTATGGCAGATTTAGGGCTAGGCTAGGGTAAGGCAAAGTGTTTAAAGGCAGGGTATGGGGGCATGGTTAGGGCAGGGTTAGGGCATGGCTTGGGCAGGGCTAGGATTAGGTTAGAGCTAATGGAATACATCTGGCTACGACAGACGCAACTCGTAACGCACAGACGCAGTCGCGTCTCCTGCTCTCAACCGCCCACCCACCCCGATTCGAGTTCGGGAAAGGCTGAGCAAGTAAGAGCTGAGTGAGTGGTTGAATGAGAGCGTGAGTGAATTGGTGAGTGATTGAATGAGAGCGTGAGTGAATTGGTGAGTGATTGAATGAGAGCGTGAGTGAATTGGTGAGTGATTGAATGAGAGCGTGAGTGAATTGGTGAGTGATTGAATGAGAGCGTGAGTGAATCGGCGAGTTATTGAATGAGAGCGTGAGTGAATTGGTGAGTGATTGAATGAGAGCGTGAGTGAATTGGTGAGTGATTGAATGAGAGCGTGAGTGAATTGGTGAGTGATTGAATGAGAGCGTGAGTGAATCGGTCGAGTTGATTGAATGAGAGCGTGAGTGAATTGGTGAGTGATTGAATGAGAGCGTGAGTGAATTGGTGAGTGATTGAATGAGAGCGTGAGTGAATTGGTGAGTGATTGAATGAGAGCGTGAGTGAATTGGTGAGTGATTGAATGAGAGCGTGAGTGAATTGGTGAGTGATTGAATGAGAGCGTGAGTGAATTGGTGAGTGATTGAATGAGAGCGTGAGTGAATCGGCGAGTTATTGAATGAGAGCGTGAGTGAATTGGTGAGTGATTGAATGAGAGCGTGAGTGAATTGGTGAGTGATTGAATGAGAGCGTGAGTGAATTGGTGAGTGATTGAATGAGAGCGTGAGTGAATCGGCGAGTTATTGAATGAGAGCGTGAGTGAATTGGTGAGTGATTGAATGAGAGCGTGAGTGAATTGGTGAGTGATTGAATGAGAGCGTGAGTGAATTGGTGAGTGATTGAATGAGAGCGTGAGTGAATTGGTGAGTGATTGAATGAGAGCGTGAGTGAATCGGCGAGTTATTGAATGAGAGCGTGAGTGAATTGGTGAGTGATTGAATGAGAGCGTGAGTGAATTGGTGAGTGATTGAGAGCGTGAGTGAATTGGTGAGTGATTGAATGAGAGCGTGAGTGAATTGGTGAGTGATTGAATGAGAGCGTGAGTGAATCGGCGAGTTATTGAACGAGAGCGTGAGTGAATTGGTGATTGAATGAGAGCGTGAGTGAATCGGCGAGTGATTGAACGAGAGCGTGAGTGAATTGGCGATTGAATGAGAGCGTGAGTGAATTGGTGAGTGATTGAATGAGAGCGTGATTGAATTGGTGAGTGATTGAATGAGAGCGTGAGTGAATTGGTGAGTGATTGAATGAGAGCGTGAGTGAATTGGTGAGTGATTCAACGAGAGCGTGAGTGAATTGGTGAGTGATTGAATGAGAGCGTGAGTGAATTGGTGAGTGATTCAACGAGAGCGTGAGTGAATTGGTGAGTGATTGAATGAGAGCGTGAGTGAATTGGTGAGTGATTGAATGAGAGCGTGAGTGAATTGGTGAGTGATTGAATGAGAGCGTGAGTGAATTGGTGAGTGATTGAATGAGAGCGTGAGTGAATTGGTGAGTGATTGAATGAGAGCCTAAGTTAATTGGTGAGTGATTGAGACAGTGAGGGGAACGAGTTCGTGAATGAGAGTAGCTGAATGTATATGAGTAAGTGCTTGAGTGAGCTCGCGATTAAATCATCGGGAGTTATTTCACGAAGGAGATTGATTGATTGAACGAGTGAGTGCTTTAATGAGTGTGTTAATTCACGAGTGCGTGAATTAATAAAAAAAAGTGAATGAGTGGTGAATGAACGCGATTAGGCGCGGGTCTGGGAGCCGAGACTCTCCACGCGACCCAGCCACGTGTGCGAGTCCACGTGTGCATGCGTGTGTACACGCGTGTGCGTGTACATGCGTGTTCATGTTTGTAGGGAGCGGCAATGCAGCGGTGAGTGTGCCGCGCCCGCCACGAACATGGCCACCTGAGTTCGATTCCCGCTCAAGGCCAACACCGGTGACAATTATCTGAACTGGTCCTGGGCCTCCCCGGAGTACCTGGTGCGATGTGTAGTAAACATCGCCACCGGGGAGACAAAGGTGGCCGGGCGTGGTGGTGGCCACCCCTCCGTCGTGTGCCACAGTGCCGGCCTGCTACTCGCTCACGGCACTGGCCCCAACGGTCTGTTCCAGTTCTTATACGGGGGTGGATGATCTTTGGCAAAAGTCTGTTGAGGCAATGCGGGGAAACGTTTGTCGTTGCGTGCAGGATGACCGCAGAAGAGACGGGGTCGATGTCGGGGTGCGACGCGGTGAACTCGGCCCCAAACGGGCCAGCCCTCACCACGCTCATGGAGCGGACGGGGTAACCGCCCCCCCCCCCTAACCAACACAAACCGAACCACGCACGACGCACCACGCACACTGCAACCGCACCAACACAACGACGACGACCCCCCACAACCGCACAGACCGCACCGCAGACCACGACTACAGCAGCCGTACCGGGGCCACGTCGCGTCTTGCAGCAACCAAACCACAGCCGCGCAAAAGCTGCGTCGCAACCGCACCGCCAACCTGGCGCACCGCACCGTAGCACGACCGCAGGGCAGCCTCAACGTAGCACGCACGCCACCACCGCACTCTCCCGCACCGCATCTCACGGCAGCCCGCACACCACGTGCTGCACACCACGTCCCGCGCCGCACCACACGAAGCAACCACAGTCGTGGTCTCGTCCGGGTGGCTGCTGTCACCGTGCTGTCACCGCCACCGACCACACTGCGGCGACGTTGTTTATTTGCTATTGCTCGTTTACCCCACGGGAACGCCGCCTCGCGCTGAGTCTCGAGGCTCGCTTTTAGGAGGGTCCTGCCAAGTTTGAGCAACAGGGGGGCAATGCCGCTGCTGCCGCCGCCGTATGATCCCAGTCGAGGCATTTGAAAGTGATAAATATTCAGCATCGGGATGTTTTAGCCGACACCGGTTACATTGTATACAGTGTCTTTTTTTACGCTATGGGAGGAAACCGGAGGAAATCCATGCGGAACAGTGAGAGAACATACAAACTCCACGCAGAAAGGCACCCGGGTCGGGAATCGAACCCAGGACCTTCTTGTCGTGAGACGCGAGCGTGTCACAACTGTACCTCCACCAGCACCACCCTGCCACCACCACCACCACCATCACCCACCACCACCACCCACCACCACCCACCACCACCACCACCAGCACCCTGCCACGACGGACTAACCATCTCCGTGCCATCGCCGTGGCCACTCCGCGTCAGACGGTGAACACGAGACGCAGCCGTCAGACCCCTCTCACCTCGAGCCCCTGACCCCACCCCCCACTACAGGTACAGTATGATACAGGAGAACGGGCAGAGGAAGTTTGGGGGGCCCCCTCCCGGCTGGCAGGGCCCCCCACCGCAACGCGGCTGCGAGATCTTCATCGGGAAGCTGCCGCGGGACCTGTTTGAGGACGAGCTGGTGCCGGTGCTCGAGGGGGTCGGCCGGCTCTACGAGATGCGGCTCATGATGGACTTCGACGGCAAGAACCGCGGATACGCGTTCGCCACGTTCTGCACCAAGCAGGTGGGGGCGCGGCACCAGCACGGTCACCGCCAGCAGCACTAGCACCAGCACGGCCACCAACAACACTGCCAGCACCAGCACTACCATCAGCACCAGCACGGTCACCACCACCACTACCACGGTCACCACCAGAACCAACAACACCAAGAGCTTTCTCGAACTACATGGTCGAAAAAGATGTTAAATAACGTAGTAGTCAGAGGACATCCCTGTCGCACCCCAGGGTAAACAGGGAATTGTTCTGACTCTCGGCCACATAGCTTTATCTGGGCCTGCCCATCATCATGAAGGTCCTTTATGATGGTGAGCAGAGAGTCGGGGACCCTGAAAGAACAAAGAACAACCTAGAGCCCTGGCCTATTGATTAGGTAAATAAAGCAGATGTGTAGGTCCCGTTGAAATTCCCTACACCTCTGCTGTAGCAAATGGACAGAGCATGAGGCGTCTGTGCAGGACGACCCTGGGCTCAAACCACATCGGGGCTCAGCAAACCTCTCCTCAGTATGCCTGGCAAGGCGATGTTAAATCATCGTTGCCAGGACCTTTCCTGGCAGACTGAGGAGGGAGATGCCCTGGTTGTTACAATCAGTACAGTCCCCTTCTAAAGAGGGGGACCACGAGGCATCCTTATAATCCTGTGGAACCTGTCCAGTGGTCCACACAGTTGCTATGATGCCACATAGGGCAATAGGGCAGTCTGCAAACAAACGCCACCCTCCCTCAGCAGTTTGCTTGGAGATCATCTCTGCCCGGCGCTTTTCCTGGTCTCAGACTCTGGATCCCCTTTCATACTTCCTCAACAGATGGCGCTTCAGCGAGCCACTCACAGGGGGTGGCTTTTCCAATATTTGAGGAAACACCAGCACCACTACCACCACCAGCACAGTCACCACCAACACCACCAGCACCACCACCAACACCGCAACCAGCAGCAACGCGAACGCTTCACTAACAAGGCGCCAGGACCACCAGAACCACCCTGCATCTCCTCACTCACCCCCTCACTCTCCGCACTCGTCACCCACTCACCTCCTCACTCACTTCACCGACTCACCTTCTCACTCACCTCATTGCTCACAGACCTCGCCGTTCACGCGTGCGTGCGTGCAGGAGGCGCGCCGCGCGGTGCGGGAGCTCAACAACTTCGAGGTGAGGCCCGGCCGCCTGCTCGGCATCTGCAGCAGCGTGGACAACTGCCGCCTGTTCGTGGGCGGTATCGCCAAGACCAAGAAGAAGGAGGAGATCGTGGAGGAGGTGTCCAAGGTGACGGAGGGCGTGGTGGACGTCATCGTCTACCCCAGCGCCACAGACAAGATGAAGAACCGCGGCTTCGCGTTCGTGGAGTACGAGACGCACCGCGCCGCCGCCATGGCGCGCCGGAAGCTCATGTCGGGCCGCGTGCAGCTGTGGGGCCACCCCATCGCCGTGGACTGGGCCGAGCCCGAGCTGGACGTGGACGACGACGTCATGGAGACCGTCAAGATCCTCTACGTGCGCAACCTCATGATGGACACGTCGGAGGAGGCGATCCGCGCCGCCTTCGAGCAGTTCCGCGCGGGCAGCGTGGAGCGCGTCAAGAAGATCCGCGACTACGCGTTCGTGCACTTCTCCACGCGCGACGACGCCCTGGAGGCCATGCGCCGCCTGGACGGCGCCTCGCTGGAGGGCGCCACCCTGGAGGTGACGCTCGCCAAGCCCGTCGACAAGGAGCAGTACCAGCGCTACCAGAAGGCCAGCAAGGGGGCGCCCGTGCCGGGCGGCGGCGGCGGCGCCGTTGGCACCGGCGCCGGGGTGGCCGCGGCCGCGTCGGCGGCGGCGTCGGCCGTGCCGGAGGCGCTGCAACCGAACTACATCTACCCGTATGACACGGCCGGGAGCCTGGCGTACTTCAGCTACGGCATGTACAACGCTACGGCCGTCGGGCCCAACCGGGACTACTTCCTCAAAGGTGTGACTTTGACGTGAGCCGGTGCGGGAAACTGCAAAAGTGAAACCGTGTGTCTTGGCAGGGGTAGAGAGAGGAGCACTCGGGGCATTCCGGGTGGCGGACCGTGGATCTCGTCCATGCTGGTGTTCAGGTCGTGAGCTCGGCGGGCGCGTGAAGTTACGACGGCATTGTATCACGCGGCCGATTATCACTCGACACGAGCATGTGCACTTGAATACCTGGCGCTGTGTGTAAACATCAGTATTGGGGAGACAAAGACGGCCGGATGTGGTGTTGGCCACCCACAATCTTGTGTGCTGTGCCGGCCTTCATAGGTGCTTACTAACAGCACTTGCCCCAACAGGCTGCTAATGGCTGTAGGGGGGAACTTTGTGTGTGTGCGTGTAATGCGTGTCCCGTGTACCTTGTGCCGGATCAGGGCCATTCTTGGTTTCCTGCAGTAGCCTGTGACTCGACACAGGAACGGAGATACACGGTCGACACTGGTACCGTGGCAACTAGGTGGGACGCAGGGTTCGCCTTGACGTTAGGCCTCTCCTTGCCGGCAATCGATGCCGCCCCCCCCACTGCTCTGTGACGAAAACCGGTCCTAGCGACGGCTGCGTGGGCGGTCGAGGTCGTGCACGGCGGTGTCACGTGACCGGAAGCGTCCTCGTCCAACGTGGCCCGGCTTTAGAGCGCAGCCCCGCGAGCCAATCAGACTCCAGTAGCCCTGTCCCCATCCATTGCCCTAACCCCGTTGCGCTCATCCGGGGCTGCAGGAACTCACCGGGGCGGGCGATCGCGCGGCACGTCCGTGCTCTCGGGCCGCACCTCGGGCCCCCGGGGCTCCTACCTCGGCGGCTACAGCGCAGGCCGCGGCATCTACAGCCGCTACCACGAGGGCAAGGCGGCCGGCAGGGCGGGGCCCGACGGGTGGCCGGGACCCGAAGGGGCCCTCGGGGCCGCCTCCGGGATGGAGCTCGCCGTGGCGGCTGCAGCGGCAGCGGCGGCGGCCGGGGGCCTCAACCCCCTCGGGCTGAAGCAGCACAACGCAGGTGCCTCCGAGGGGACCCCCACTCCACGTGACCTCACGCGGGGACACGGGCACCGGGGGACACGGGCACCTGGGACTCGGGACGTGGGAACCCAGGCTCCACTTTGTCTGGGTGTTGGGTGCTGGGTGACTCCATGGTTTCTCGAGATTCACCTAATAGAATTGCTCTTGAATGCTCAACTATCCCCTGACCTTGTGTCCTCACTTGATGTCACCCATGCTTGCCTATCCCCTTAACTGTGCAAACATATCCTCTCACACCTTACCTATCACATCACCTGTGCTCACCTATGTCCTCACTTTTCATGGTAGCAGTATGTCCAGTCTCGCTCTGTGGAGCCGAGACGTGAACGCTCAGGGGACCATTGGGGGGGCTCCTTTGTTACCAGGCCCCATTGCCGGCTTTCAGAGCGCCGATGTGACGGCCATGTCTAGCCCCAGGCTCCTGCAGGCCACCAAGACGAGGCTTGCTACCCACGGGATCCGGCAACGCCAACTCCTCGCTGCCGCTCCGTTGACCGTGCCACCGATTTCTCTCTCCGAGAGGGAGAAGAGAACCTCGTGGGTGGAGGAGGCTGAGGAGGCGGTCACAACCTCGAGGCCTTAGGAGGGGGGCTCGCTTGGGGGCTGTGACAGGAGGGCCTTTTAGGAAGGGGACTCGCGTGGCGGCTGTGACAGCAGGGACCCGAGGGCTTGGCACTGAAGGGTGGACCCTGCCTCGTGTCGTCTCTGCGCACGCGCCCACGCTTGCCCATCTCCTCACGCGCGCTCACGTGCTGAATCTTCCGTGCTCACCCGTGTCCTCTCCTCACGGCCTCACCTTCGCTCGCTATCGGCTCACCTGGCCTCGCCGTCGTCATTGGGGCCGAAGTGCGTTGCGCGTTATCGGCCTGGCGGCTCCACGTCGTTATCTCCGCATTTACGGCCGCGCCATCACTGGGGGCGGCCTTGGAGCCGCGGACTCCGTGCGGGAGCGGCGTGGGGGCGTCGACACGGGGAAGGGTGCTGCTCACGACGTATGCAAGCAATGCTGACGGTGTGGGTCCTGTGTTAGTCTAATGCACGTATGAACGCTGAACTTTTTCCGCACCGTACGTAACCAACCGTGCTTATCGGGGAAAGGAACAACAAACTAAACACAAAATGCAATTCTAAAGAATGGGTCTTTGTGTTAGTCTAAGGGTCCTGTGTGAGTCTATGGGTTCTGAGTTTATGGGTTATGTTATGTGAGAGTAGGTGGCACAGGTGGTACATCAGCCAGTCATCTCAGTCAGACAACCCATGACACCTGGGCCAGTCCCGTGACCTCCTGCCAGCGGGCGTTCCGACACTTCACGTGGCCTTAACGTGCACCTAGCCTGGCGCAAGCCCTGTGGTGACGTCACTGCCACGTAGTGGTTAATGGCGTTGTTGTTGTGAGTTTATGGGTCCTATATCAGTAGGTAAAGCAGATACAGGGGACTGTTGATGGGGGGGGGGAAGGGGATCGATAGGGGGGGTTCCCTGTGGCCCCCTCTCACGACAGCCTATTAAGCGAGGGAGTATGGGGGGGGGGGCAAAACCCTAACTGGTGAGAGAGAAAAGTGGGGGGGGGGGCGGGGTCTGTCAGCCGTAACTCCCCGCGTCTCACACGCCTCTCGCTGCTGCATCCCCCGCGTCAGGGCGAGATCGTGGGACGCGTTGACCTCGACTGCCCCTGTTGGGGGGGAGGGGCGAGGCCCCCCCTAGTCACACCACCCACGGCAGGTGAAGCAGCACGGCCGCGTGTGTGGGGACCAGATTGATCCCGTGCAGAAGCCCCCCTCGATGTCTTTAATCTGCCTGCCCCCCCTCCCGCCCCCCCCCCTCGCACACAGCGGGAATCACCCGTGAATCGGTAATCGGTGACCCCCCCCTCCCTCCCTCCCTCCCTCCCCCCCCCCAAATTAGACTCGGGGCCCACTCGCGATCCGATCGATCGTCACGATTCAGGAGATCAAGATTCGATTCGGGAATCAATTTTTTGTCGTTGTCGTAATCCTGCGGCGATCCCCGGCCGCAGGGGTTGGTTCACGGTGACTAACTGATGAGACGTTCTACTGACACGAATCGAAACGGAAGATCGATTCTCTGCTCACGGGCTCGGCGGGCTCGGCGGGCTCGGCGGGGAAACGATTTCCCCAACGAATCGACGGCGCGCGAAGGAGGCGCCGGTGATTGCGCACCGCGTGCATGCATCAACCAATCACCCGAATCCCCGCTCCCACGCACCTAGGTAGCACACGTGTGCGCACGCGTACGTGCGTGCGTGCATGTGTATGTGTGCGGATGTCCGCGTGCGTGAGGTGCGCTGAGGAGGGCTAAGTTTGGCTCCGCGAGCCCGAGGAGATCGACCGAATCGCGACGATCCTCGGTGCGCCACCTCCTCCGTCTCTCCACCTGAGAGAACGGGACCCCCCCCCCCCGGCTGGGCTTCCCCCCCACCCCAACGCCCTCCGCTAACCTCCCCCACTGCGACCCCCCCCCCCCCCCCCGCAGTGACCCTGCCCGGCCTGGGGCACCAGTACTCGGTGCTCCCCGCGGGAGGGCCCCCCCAGAAACTGGGGGATGAGTTCCGCGCGGCGGGGGTGGGGGGCACCCCCGAGCAGCTGCTCACGGCGCTGGGGATGGCGCCCGACCTGGGGGGGCACGCGGGGAGCCTGCAGGGCCTCGCCTCCCCCCCCACCTTCCAGGTGCGATACAACCACGCGTACGCGTGCGCTCTCGCGCAACAGGTACACGAGCGCGTGTGCACGCACGCACTAGCACGCACTAGCACGCGCGCACCCGCACGTTAACACGCACGACCAGGAGTGGTGGCACACCGGTTAGCTCACGGCAAATTGAACCTACGGTTCCTGAGCAGGATCCCAGAAGCTCGAAATGGCAAATGGAACAGCGACAAACGGCGCTCTCCGCATGGTAACGTGTTGAACGGAGCGAGATGATCGAGAGATTGGGGAAGAAAAGACGGATGGGAGGGATAACAGTTTGCTCCGTGGAGGTGCCGACCCTAAGCCATGACCCATTCACGAATAACACCCGGCGGTTCACGTGAGCATCGTCACGTGAACTAACCCATTGATGTCGATTACATGAACGCTCACGGTTACGTGATGTGGTGCACACAGCACTATTCAGACGGAGCAAAGAAGTACAGTACAACGGTGGATTTGACTGCACTGCTGACAATGCAGCCCTGCCGATAGTCAATAATACCTGTTATTACATTCGCTTGCTGCTCACCATCCAGCACCAGAGATTCGGTCATTGGCCGAAGGCAACGGCGCACACCAACGCACGACTTTTGGACACGCAGACACACCAACGCGCCACCATTGCACCGGCACGAGCTCTGACTCCCGAAGGCTCCGCATTTGACTGCCGCGATGCTCACTTGCAGGGCCGCACGCTGACGCCCGTGTACGCCATGGCCCCGCCGGGGCTGCCCCGCATGGCGGTGCCCGGCCTCTACGGCCCCAGCTACATCAGCGTGGCCACGGGCCTCCCCGCGGGCCTCCAGGGCGGGCTGCCCATGGCCACGGGCCTGACGATGCACAAGCACCCGGCGCTGCAGCAGATGGCGTACCCCTACGGCGGCTTCCTGCCGGCCCACCTGGCCACCGCCATGCCGATGTCCCTGCAGGACGTGTACCAGCAGCCGTACTGACGCGAGCGCCGACACGCCGGCACGGATTTGTGAAGGCCGACGCGTGCCCCGGCGCCGCGTCCCGCACAGATGCGGGACGCGCACGTGCACGCACCTGGGCTACGTGTACACGCATTCGTGCGCACACACACACACAGCTGCACTAATACACAACCGTGCACACGTAAATATGCCCCATGTAGTCCTTAATAAACTTTTGGGGCAAGCGTGATTAGCGAGCGCCTATGAAGCCCGGCACGGCACATGATGGGGTGGGTGGCCAGCACCATCACTTTGTCTCCCCAGTGCTGAGGTTTACACAGCGCAACAGCTACCCATTTAAGGCTGAGTCGACCTAGCAGATGCCAAGAACCGGTTCAGATAATCATCACTGGTGTTGGCCATGAGCGGGAATCGAACTTGGGTCACTGGGTTCGTAGTGCAGTGCGCTAACCACTACACTACCGCTTCCCAAACACACACACAGACACACGTATGCAGAAGCACACACATGTATCCGAACATATGTACACATTGGAAAGGCCACGGTTGGCTACGTGTGGTGCAAAATAAGTTCCACAAACATCCATACACCAGCATGGGGCCATGGTACAAGATGCTCTGCAGTACCATCCAACACCACACCTCGGTACGCATAGCACTACACACACGGCACTACTCGCCACAATACACACAGCACTCTACACATCACACTGCAGATGTCACACTGCGCACGCCACACAGCACACTACACACAGGACCAATTGTACCACCAATTGCCTGTATGCCTACTTCGGGAGAATTAACACTAACGTTTTATAAGACGGCGATATTTTTAAGGTTTTAAGATATTACTGTGTTGCGCCGTCACGTGACGCTTGCGGACTGCGCGTGTGTGAAATGTGAATCGCGGTCTTGCCGCTTCCTCAAGCAATGTGCGCTTACCTGAGACTATAGGGGTCAGGCCTAGGGGTCAGGGCTAGGGGGTCAGGGCTCAGGGCTAGGGGGTCAGGCCTAGGGGTCAGGGCTAAAAATTAGGGCTAGGGGGTCAGGGGTAGGGGGTCAGGGCTAGGAGTCAGGGCTAGGGGGTCAGGGGTAGGGGGTCAGGGCTAGGGGTCAGGGCTAGGGGTCAGGGCTAGGGTGGTCAGGGCTAGGGTGGTCAGGGCTAGGGGTCAGGGGCTAGGGTGATCAGGGGCTAGGGTGGTCAGGGCTAGGGGTTACAGCTAGGGGGTCAGGGCTAGGGGGTCAGGGCTAGGGGTCAGGGCTAGGGGGTCAGGGCTAGGGGTTACGGCTAGGGGGTCAGGGCTAGGGGGTCAGGGGCTAGTATCAGGACCAAGGACTAGAGGTCCTTGCTCGTGTAACTGGCTCGGAGTGAGGAGCATCCTTACGGGCCAGGGGTCACAAGCGGGGGGTGTGGGGCACGGCCCCCAAAAGCCTTTCATGTCGGGCGCAGGTTTTGGCATGGATACCGTGCAGGAGAACTTTCGAATGTGCACGGGGAAATGGGCTGAGGTAATTCACCAGCAGGGGTTAAAAGCTGTTTGGGGGCTAGTAGAACGGCCTACGAGTAAGGGGTCAATGGGCTAGGGGATACGAGTCTAGGAAACGGGCTCGTGCATTGGGCTGGAAGTCACAGCGGCGGTGTTGGTGGTGTTAGGGAGTCGGGGGTCGTGGTGACCCCATTCCCGAGTGAAGAAGTCGGTTCCCGAGTAAATGTGAGGCCTCTGCGCGTGTGGGGGGCGGCGCGGCTTTCCCAATAAACGATCGTGCCGACTCCCACCCAACGCACCCTCGCTGGCGTGCGTGTTCTACACGCGTGTGTGCTGTATGCTGCTGTGTGCTGTGTGTGCCACGTGTGTGCTGCATGCTGCTGTGTGCTGTGTGCGCCACTTGTGTGCTGCATGCTGCTGTGTGCGAGTGCTGCTGCGTGAGTTCTGTTGGGAGTACCCGCACGGCCACAGCCATCATCCACCAAACCCTCACCCCAACCCAAATCATACCAACGAGCAGGCTGGGTTAAGTTTCCTTTATCGATAAAAATTAAAAATGGGGAATGCGGCACCGCTCGCGATCGCTACCGCCACGCCTCGACTGCACGCGCCAGTCGCACTCGCCCTGGTGCCCGGTCCCCCCTCCCCACGCCGGAGCCGCTGGAGTCGCCAGAGTGCACGCCGCAGGAGCTCCATCACGCCGTGGCTCCGTCGACTTGTTGGTGCAGGCTGGCGCCGGGAGGGGCCCTCACCGCTTCTTGTAGACGCACGGTTTGAGCGCCAGGCCGGGCAGCTGCTCTTTGGCTTTGGGAGGAGCGGTCTTCTGCAGCTCAAACAGGTGGAAGTGCGAGTCCTCCATGTTCTGGCAGAACCGCAGGGGGCACAGCGAGCACGCACGTCAACAACCACGCTGGGTTCCGGCTCGTCGCCTGCTTACAGTCGTGAGCCAGCGGTGGAAATTCCTCGTTACGATTACGGGAGCGAGTCTCGCTGTTTATTTCCCCGCAGAGCCGTGCTCATTTTATCGACCCTGTAGAGACGATGTACCAAGTCGACCCCCAAAGAGGATTTGAACTTTGAACTTGTGACCTTCCAATTGTTAACCGTTCACTCCACTGCTGAGCAGCCACCACCCGAGCCAGATGAGCGCACGTAGCACAGCGACAAACAGCTGGATGTTTACCGGCACATGCCACCATTGCACGGTCGCACACACACACACAGCGGCCTCCATCATCGGGGTGGGGATAGTGGCGTTAGGGGAAAGCTCGCAGCAGCGTCAACGGGCCCCTCGCTCCCCCCCCGCAGTTGAGGGCAGCAGCAGTAGCGGTGATGACGGTGGTTGATTTGGTGGTTGTGGTAGTTATGGTGGTGGTGAATGTCGTGGTAGTTGTGGCTGCGGTGGTGGTGGATGGGTTGGTGTGTTTAATGACTGTTGGTTGTGGCGGTGAATACAGTGGTGGCAGTGGTTGTGGTAGTTGTGGTGGTGGTGGTTGTGATGGTGGATGGGTTGGTAGGTTTGATGATGGTGTTTGATTGTGGCGGTGATTGCAGTGGTGGCAGTGGTTGTGGTAGTTGTGGTGGTTGTGATGGTGGTAGTGGTGGTGATTGTCGTGTTGGTGGTTATGGTAGTAATTGTGTTGGTGGTTATGGTGGTGGTGGTGGTACCTTGGACAGCAGTTTGAATCCGAGCGCGGAGAGGGCGCTGAGGAAGTTGCGGGCGTCCTCGAAGCGGCTCGCCACCTCGGCGATCATCAGCACGCCCCTGCACGGCACGGACACGCGGCCACCGCAGCAGCCTCCTCGTACACGCGGCGCCACAGACTCACGGCAAACGCTCGCGAGCGCGGAGCGGCACCACATGGAGCGCCGTGAGGAGTGTGTGAGGGGGGGGAGTGGGCTGGGGGAGTGGGGGGGGGGTTTGGGGGGGCGTGAGGGAGGGGGGACGGGGATGTGCGGGAGGGGGGAGGAGGACATGCGGGAGAGGGGCGTGCGAGAGGGGGGAGGGGGGCGCGCGGGAGGGGGACGTGGGGGAGGGGGGCGCGCGGGAGGGGGACGTGGGGGAGGGGGGCGCGCGGGAGGGGGGAGGGGGGGCGTGGGTCACGAGGGCCTCACCCTGTGCGCAGCACGCGGTTGGCCTCGGTGAGGAAGTCCTGGATGTTGGTCCCCATGAGCGAGAGGCAGAAGACGGCCACGTCCACGCTAGCGCCTTCCAGGGGCACCTGGACCCCCGTGCCCACACAAAGACAAAGATCCCCCGTGCAGCCGTTAGTGGACCGGTAGGGCAAGGGCTGTCCGCGAGCAGCGCCTACGTAGGCCGACATGACACACGAGGGGACGGGTGGCCGGCACTGCGGCCGACCGCCTTTGTCTCCCCAGTGCTGATGTCTACGTACCACACCAGGGATCGTAGCGCAGCGCACTAACCGCTACACTACCGTGGTGAGTAACGGTGTGTGGTGGTGAGCGGTGGTCTTGAGTGGTGGTGCAGTGGTGGTGAGCGGTGGTAGTGAGCAGTGGTGGTGAGCAGTGGTAGTGAACAGTGGTGGTGTGTGTGGTGGTGAGCAGTGCCTTGGCCATGTCGCAGGCCGTCACGCGCTCGTTCAGCGCCACGAGGTCGAACGAGTGCACGTGGTTCCGCACGGAGGCCGCGAGCTGCGCGTCCCCGCACCCAAAGTCGGCCACCACCAGCGACGCCGGCCTGTGGGGCACACAGCAACACCCCACTCAGCACCCTCCATGCAGCACCCCCCCCACTCAGCACCCTCGATTCAGCATCCCACTCAGGACCTTCTCCACACACCACCCTCCACTCAGCACCTCCCACTCAGCACCCTCCATGCAGCAACCCTCTCAGGACCCTCCACTCAGCACCCTCCATGCAGCACCCCTCTCAGCACCCTCCACACAGCACCCTGTGGTGCTCATTGGCAGTCGAATCTGGGTGGGGGGCAGCTTCCCCCCCGACCCCCCTCCCCAACAACACAAACTCCACACGACTCGAAGGGCGCTGTGACACGCTGGCACGCCATGGCCACGTTTCCACCCCCTTTTAGTGACGGTGGCGCAATGGGCGGTGAAGCACTGTGGCGTTTTGGTGAAGGATTGGTCGCGTCTGCGACGGTGCCGCGAGCCGCTTCCTGCGGCCCCTGCCGACGGGGCAGCAGCAGGGCACAGGCTGGGAACCACGCGGCGAGGACCAACGCTACGGATTGATTACGAATGTTACATTTTTAAGTATATGACAAATCATTGCCGATGCGTATTTAACTCAAGAAACGTAGAACATTGTAGAATGAGTCTTCACTCATGTGCGGTCAACTTCGCCCCCAGGAATGTTTTGCCCCCTCTGAAACGTGCAGCAGCGCCCCCCATTGCCGCCGCGCGTCGTGGTAGCGGCAGGCTACCAACGGGCGTATTGTGAACATCTTGAGAATGGCTGCAATCGACCCATCGCCACGTATGTACGGGAGCACACACGCTCGCGCACGCTCCCTCGCTCGCACGCGCACCGGTTCTTGATGGAGGAGATGATGCGCGAGAGCGGGTTCACAGGCCAGCGCTGCACCTGCGCCGTGAAGCCCTGGTGGTAGTCCTGGAAGGCCTGGGGGTCGTCGCGGAACAGGGCCCGCGCATCGCGGCTGCTGCCCTCGTACAGCTGCTGGTTGAGGAAGCGGAAGCGCGCGCCCTGCAGGCGCTGCTGCATGCGCAGCCGCAGCGCAGCGGAGCGGTCTGCGGGGACCGGCGGCGCAGGGAGCGGCATTGGGATCCGGGTGGGCGCCATCCTCATCCTCCTCCGCGTCATTGGTGGATCCCCTCTTTGTCGCCGCCGACGACGACTTCAGTTTCTTTGTTTTACTCTTGGCGACCGTGGCATCTCCTGCCCCTTCCCGTTCGTCGCCGTTCTCCGTGGGACTCTCCGCTTTGCGCCGTTTGGGCTCCGATTTAGCGACCTTCTTTTTCTTCTTCTTGATTTTGCCGACGGTCTCGACGTCTCCGTCGCACGCTGCCTCCGCCCCGACGGCGTCACGGCCCTCAGCCTCCACCTGCTGCTTCTCCTCCTTTTCCTTCTGCCTTTTGAGCTTCTTGCTTTTGTATTTGGAGAGCGAGGGGTCTTGTATGGCGGCATCCGCGGGCTCCTCCACCTGCCGGTCGCCAGCATCGACCGGCTCTTCCGGCTCCTTCCGCCACACCAGCTCGCGCTGCTTGTATTTGTTCCGGATCCGCCGCTTGCTCTTCATGCGGTTCTGCCACTGCTTCCTCGTGAGTGGCTTCTTCCCCTTCCTGCTCTGCTCATCTCCCACGCCGCTCTCTCCGTCATCCCCGCTCTGCTCGTCTCCCTCGGCGCTCTCCGCTTTCGCTTTTTTGCGAGGGGGGCGGTCGTTCGCGCGTTCCCCAAGTTCGTCGGCGGGGACCTCGGCGGCATCTCCCGCCGATGTCTTCGATTTCTTCCGTTTGCGCGTTTCCGTTTTGTCGGCATCGCCGTCGGCCGGGGCCTCGCTCTGGGACGGCCGCTTGCGCGTCCGCTTGTGTTTGGGCCGCCACTTCTCGTCCACCGGCGTTTTTCTACGCCGTGGGGTCTTGCGTGTGCTCCCCTCGGCCTCGCCGGCTCCGTCGCTAGCCCCCTCCTCGGCGCCGCGCCGCACCCGCAGCTTGCGCCGCTTCTTCTTTTTCTTCTTCTCCTTCTCGACGGCGCCTCCAGCACCGTCCTGCGACAACAGCGTGCGCACTTCGCGTGAGTCTTGCGAGCGGGTGCAATGAGAAGAGCGAAGCGAATGAGTGAAGGGAATGAGTTATTGAAGGGAATGAGCGAATGGAATGAATGGCGTGAAGGGAGCGAGCGAGTTGAGTTTACGAGTGGGGTCCGTGTCCACGGCGTGGTGACAATCAAGCTGCTGAGGGAGGCGAGACCTTTGGGGGTGGTGGTGGTGGTGCTGTCGAGGAGGCCTGAGGTAGCTGAGCGGGGCTCGGGGTCTTTGGGGAGCGCGGAGGGGGTCGCCGGGCCCCTTTCTGCCCAGAGGGGAAGAGCGCCTTGGTGAGGCTGCGGCCCTCGTGCGCGTCGCCCCATTGCGACACCGCGAACATGGCACTCCTGAGTCTCCTGTAAACGCTGGGCACGCAAGATACACACACACGCGCGCATACACAACAGCCGATATTCGCCACGAAGTGGAGGTAAAGGTCACCACAGCGCTTGTGCCAGGCTATGGGGGTGAAGCCTCGATAATAATTTGTCTACATTGGCCGTCAAAAATTAGTTAGTCAGGCAGTGGACTATTTGTTTGCTTAAACACGTAAATATTATTAATCCTTGATCGTTTCTGCGTGGATTAAATATCAGCCGTTCTATAGGATTCGGGGGGGGGGGGGTCAGGCGTACGTACGCAGATGGGGGGGGGGGGGTTGTAAAAAGTACGCGCGCGTACAGGGAGGGGTCAAGTTTGGACAGATTTTTGCGTACCTACTAAATGGATGGCCCCTTAGGGAACACTTACTAAAACAAAAACCACGCGCGGCCGCCTTTGTTTTCCCAGCGCTGATGCGTACACACTACACCGCGTGTTCTCAGGCTGGATCAAGTCAGTTGTAATTGTTGAACCAGGTGAGACAGCGCAGGATGGATAAGTCGAATAGGCAAGAGGGACCCCCACCCCCCCCTTGTCACCGTAATGACGAGGGCAGGGTCCTAGGATCAATTTTGACTTAAAACTTTTGCGACTGCAGGAATTCATATTCTTTGGTTCTTTCGATAAAGTCAGAGATAGAAAAATAATAAAAAATAAAGTGAATAAAAATAATACAAACTAAAACAAACACTAATGTAGACTGTAGTGAGTGTACTGGCAGTCTACATTATAGACTGGCAGTACGCTCACCGAGGTTAAGAACCAGGCTACAGTATACATTATAGACTGCCAGTACACTCACTCAGCTTAATAACCAGGCTACAGTCTACATTATCGACTGCCAGTACACTCACTAAACTTAATAACCAGGCTACAGTCTACATTATAGACAGCCAGTACACTCACTTAGCTTAATAACCAGGCTACAGTCTACATTAGAGACTGTCAGTACACTCACTTAGCTTAATAACCAGGCTACAGTCTACATTACAGACTGCCAGTACACTCTCCCAGATTAATAACCAGGCTACAGTCTACATCATAGACTGCCAGTACACTCACCCAGCCCCAGCTTAATAACCAGGCTACAGTCCACATTATAGACTGCCAGTACACTCACCCAGTTCAATAACCAGGCTACAGTCTACATTATAGACTGCCAGTACACTCTCCCAGATTAATAACCAGGCTACAGTCTACATCATAGACTGCCAGTACACTCACCCAGCCCCAGCTTAATAACCAGGCTACAGTCCACATTATAGACTGCCAGTACACTCACCCAGCTCAATAACCAGGCTACAGTCTACATTAATGGGTTTTTTGCTTTTTATTATTTGAGTTTATTATTCACTTTATTTTTTTCTATCGACGTGATTTTACTGGAAGAACCAAAGAATATGGGGTCCCAGGATAGTTCCGACAGCACTCGCCGCTGATGCCAGCCGCGTCCGGATACGCAAACTCGGGCTCGTCGTGGTCCCAGCACGCCCGCCTGGACCGCCACGATCGTCTCCCGCTTGTCGCGTTTCCTCGCCACTCAACTTGTGGCGGCGGATCGAGCAGAAAGACGCGGCGAGCGAAACGAGGAGAGGGGAGGGCGGGAGAGAGAGAGGCCACGGGAGAACGCAGAGTCCGAATGCAGGCAACTGCAGCAGACGCCGTTTCCCTGCGGTAGCTGCTGATGCCGATGCAAGTGACCCTTGCGGCGATGCTGGTAACGATGTGGGCGATAACAACAACAAGAACAACGAGTGCGAGCTTTGTTGATGTCGCTTTCACCTGGAACACTGAGCGCGTCGCCCTCGTCTCAGGCTCCCCACGTGCTCGCCCTGCTCCACGTGCGCGGCGCTCAATCCTCTTCCGGGTCACGGGGTGGGGAGTTGGGGGGAGGGGTGGGGAGGGGGGTTGGGGGAGGGGGTGCGGTGGGGAGAGCGGTTGAGGGGCGTTGGGGGGAGGGGTGCGGGGGGAGGGGTGGGGGAGGGGTGCGGGGGGGAGGGGTGGGGGGAGGGGGTGCGGGGGGGAGGGGTTGGGGGGTGCGGCGAGGGGGAGGGAACTTCCGTGACGGCTTCCGGGGTCCACGTGACCGCCCTCCCGACTCTCAACGCGAGGCCCTCAGAGGAGCGGCCGCGTCGTCAGCCTCGAGCCCTGCGAGAGGGCTCCCATCACCACACCTCAACCACCTCAACCACCACCACCTCAACCACCACCACCTCACCACCATCCCACCACCCACCACCTCAACCCCCCCCCCCCCCCCGGGACCGTCTTCCTCCCCAGACCCCACCGCCTCCACCTCTCGCCCGCTTCTCCCGCCGGCCTCCCCCATCTCCCCATCTCCCCATGGCGGCGCGGGCGGCGGCGGCGTTCGCCCTCGCCGCGCTTGTCCTCGCCTCTCTCGCCGGCGCCGCGCCCCTCTGGGCCGCTCCCTGGAGCTGGCCGCCCGGCCTCTTCGCGACGAACCCGGCGCTTCCCGGGGTCACCGCAGCCTCGTCGCCCAACTCGACGGAGCTGTGCGCGCTGTGCCGCTTCGCCGTGGGGCTCGTGGACGCGTCGCTGTCCCTCCCGGGCGGGGAGGACGCCCTGGCGCGGGCCGCCGCCTCCGTGTGCGAGAAGCTTCGTCTGCAGGACCGCCGCGTGTGCCAGAACGCGACGCAGCTCTTCAAGGACTACGTGGTCACGGTGCTGCTCCACTCCGTGCTGGACCCCGCCTCCGTGTGCGGGGTCCTCCTGGGCCCCGGCTGCGGCCCCCCGGGACCCCCCCACGCCAATTGGAGCGTGCGGCTACAGCCCGTCCCCAAGCCGCCCGTGCGGCCACCGGGGCCGCCGCCGCCGCCGTCGGCGCCCCGGGACTCGGTGCTGTTCATCACGGACGTGCACTGGGACCGCGACTACGCCGAGGGCAGCCAGGCCGAGTGCGGGGAGCCGCTGTGCTGCCGGCGGCAGGACGGGGCCCCCTCGCCCGGTCGCCCCGGGGCCGGCAAGTGGGGGGACTACAGATCGTGCGACGTGCCGCTACGCACCGTGCAGAGCTTGCTGGAGCACGCCACGTGGCAGGAGCACCACAACACGTGGCAGGAGCACAACACGTGGCAGGAGGGACGCGGCACGGGGGTGACGCACGCGTACTGGACAGGCGACATCCCCGCGCACAACGTGTGGGAGCAGACGGAACAAGACCAGCTGCAGGTGGGTCACAGGCTCGCCACAACTTGAGGGCCCGAGGAGTCCTTTGGGCCCTTGAGGGCCACTCTTCTCTGCGGGGATCTTACCCTGAGGCCACCGGCGGCTCCACTGCGCCAGAGCATTGCCGGCTCACAGGTCGGAGCCGCTGGCTGTGGTGAAACCGGCTTCTCAAGCGAGTTGATGAGCTCAGGCCCCGGTGGTCACGCGTGATTTGCTCGTGTGCGTCACGTTCACTTTGCTTCTGCAACTTTATTTTGCCTAAATAAGGTTTAAAATGTCGGTTTTACTATCTCATGCGACGTGAGTTTGTGAGAAGTACCGTGTCGACCAGATGTCGTCACTTGAAGGGATATCGGAGGTCGTAGCTCTGTCGACATGTCACGAATCAAAAGCATATATCACACAACATGAAGGCTTCCACCGCTCTGCAAAAGATGAAAAACGGATGCTCATGACGTGGTACCGATTATACAATCTTGATATAATTAGGCATAAATTAATGTCAAATGAAGCGGCTGAAATTCAAATGTGAGTTGCTCTAGTGCAGGTACTGCGGGCTTTGATCCAATCGAGACCAGGGCCCGTCTTCTTCGTCACGGCTCGGCTCAGGAATGGCTCTGGCTCAAGTGGATCTGGCTCTGAGGACGGTCCCAGCCACGCTCAGGATTCCCTCGAGCCGAGCCCGAGCCGAGCCCGAGCCGAGCCACGGCCGAGCTGGTCACTCACGCGACTTTGGAAGCCACCGAACGGCTCAAGCCTGAGCCGAGCCGCGTTAGAGGCCAAGCCAGAGCCGAGCTGTGATGAAAAGAACATGGCCCTCAAAGTGTCTTGTTCAACGGAGACCTGCCAGAGGCGAGTACGAGATCCCGTGCGATGCGAGAGGTTTGATGTCCCTCGCTTTGCGTATCGCTCTGCAGGCGCTGACGACCGTCACGGAGCTCTTCCGCAAGTACCTGGGCGACATCACGGTCTACCCGGCCGTGGGCAACCACGAGAGCTCGCCCGTCAACAGCTTCCCACCGCCCTCCGCACCCGGCCACCACTCCTCCGCCTGGCTCTACGATGCCATGGCAAAAGCGTGGAGTCATTGGCTGCCTAGCGACGCGCTTGTCACTCTACGGTACCAGCCAGTCGAAGTATTTGCCAGTCACCCCATGGGATCAGCCATATACCAGCCAGTCACCTCATGGGTCCACCCTTTCTTTTGTCCTAGCCATCATTGGTGCTTGGGCCACACGAGCTCTGTGGTCAAGTGAACCGGATGAAGGTAAAGCTGAGCTCCGCAAGGTTGTTATCTTTGTGGTTTAACTATTTCTTGTTACTTTAATGGGGAGACCTGACCATAACGCCACTAAGCTGCCAATCATTTGCATGTTCAACATTACAATCCACTGTAAATTAACGTGTGACCAGGGTAAAGTGTAGGGCTCGTATCAGCAAAACACAGTGCGTGTGTGTGTGTGCGTGCGCCCCCAGGTTTGGCGGCTTCTACACGGCGCTGGCCAAGCCGGGCCTGCGCGTCGTCTCCCTCAACATGAACTTCTGCTCCGTGGAGAACTTCTGGCTCGCCATCAACGACACGGACCCTGCCGGGCAGCTGCAGTGGTTCGTGGACGTCCTGCAGGCAGCCGAGAACAACGGCGAGAAGGTGCGGGGGCAGTGGGGCTGGGATTTTCCATTTGGTCTGAATCTGTGGCTCTGTGGAGGAAGTGATTTTCATAGGCAAGAGGAAGTAGTGCAAGATTAAACGAGGAACTGGACGGGCGCAGGGTGGTGCGCTAACGCATTCTGCCTCTAGGTTCACGTCATCGGTCACATCGCACCCGGGCTGTGTCGCAAGACCTGGAGCTGGAACTACTATCACATCATCAACCGGTAGGGTCTTCATGGTCTGCCTGATGCCCTGTCACCCTGACACCCTGCCTAACAACCTGGGCAACACTCTCCCTACCTAACAGCTTACCCCCACCTTAACACCCTGCCTTACATAACACCAACTACGCAAACCCCCTGTTGTTTTTCAGCCCAAGGTTTTAATTTAAAAACATTTTTAATCACAACTGTTAAAAATTAAACAAATGCTTGTTACACAACACTTGGCAAAACCTGGCCTCCAAAATAAATCCGTGTCTATTTCTTCAAACAATCCCGAGCCCGAGGCAAACACCACAAACGCTGAGCACGCAAACGCCTCGTGTCACGCTACGTGCCGAGTGGCTACGTTACTGCGCAGCTCCTCCCCGTCACGCCAACGCTCACCCTGCTAGCGGGGAACCACACGCTGCTCCACTTTGAGAGTGGCACTGTAGCCTGCGTGCCGTGCCTTTGGGTTCCCTTGCGACCACAGACCTTCGTTCGAGAAAGGAAGTTGTGGCTCCGTGTTGGAAACTATTGTTGCTAAATCAGCATTTTCCACAACAAAGATGGTGTGACCTGAAAAAATGCAGAAGCTGACGTTTCTGTTGATCTGTAAAATATTTCCTTGTTGTCGTGAAAAAGCGTTGAGTGTGGAATGTTTGTTGCGGCAGTGGTAATGTTTGAAATTATGCCCCAGCAGCCCCCAGTTTGTAGACAGTTGGGCTTAGTGTGGAGAGGCTGTCCACCTCCAGCCAGCTAGATGAATGGAACTGCCCTCCAGCAGTAGAGAGAGAATTTCATCCAGAAGGGATTATTCTCTGCCCTCCCTTTCCCTCCCCAGGTACGAATCCACCATTGCTGCCCAGTTTTTTGGACACGTGCACACGGACCAGTTTGAGATGTTCTACGATGAGGAGACTCTGAGCCGGCCGCTGGGCGTCGCGTACCTGTCACCCAGTGTCACCACCTACTGGGATCTCAACCCAGGTAAGCCCGAGCACCAGCAGCAGCCTCATCGGCTGAGCAGAGTGCACGTGAACATTTACACACGGGAGATCAGAGAGCTGGACCCTGACTAAACAGCTTTAATACAAGTTGCTGGAATTTGAGCTCAGGTGTCCGAGGCAGATGCTGGGAATTTTGTGGCACGGCCAAATAAGCAATGCAGAAGTCAGAAAGAGAAACATCGCAGGCGAGTGTTGCAGATGTGATTTGGCAAAAACGTCTGGGCTGGGTGGGACACAAGTGCAGCATGGGAGAGGAATGATTGAAAGAAACAGACACTGGATTGGTCTCAACAGGCCTGACAACCAAGGGGGGAAGGCTTAGTCCTGATGGTGCAAGACTGCCAGAGCAGATCCTGGAAACCGTATGTCTACTGTACCGCAGCTGCAGATCCTGGCAGAGGGTAGAAAGCATCGGCTAGGTGTGGTGGCATCATCGGTTTTGGCCGTGATGACATCTTGACCGTGAGAGAGTGGGTTGACAGATCAGCCATGTGGGTGCTTTCCTCGGCTCTTTCAACTCGCTGTGCGCGGCGCACGTGGACAGGTTACCGTGTCTACGAGATCGACGGTGATCGTAACGACAGCACTCGCGCCGTACTTGACCACCACACCTACTACCTGGACCTGGAAGAGGCCAACCGTCTTGACCGGCCCACGTGGCGCCTCCTCTACTCGGCCCGCAAGGCCTACGGGATGGAGGCCCTGGGCCCCGCCGACTGGGACGCGCTGCTGCGCCGCATGCAGGACGACGACGCGCTCTTCGCGATCTTCTGGTGGCACCTGCACAAGGGCCACTCGTCCGAGCCATGCGTCGGGATGTGCAAGGTCGCCTTGCTGTGCGCGCTGAGATCCGGCCGCTCCTGGGACCCGGAGCAGTGCGCGCGGCTGGTTCGGCCCGAGCAGCACCAGGCCCTCGTGCGCATCTGGAAGGAAACCGTCCGCTGCTAGGCCGAGGAGCCGCGTTCGCTGGAGAGCGGGCTGCTCCCTTGCGGCACCAGCGCTCATCGCGTGCGTGGTCGGTGCCATTTCAGGGTTGGGTGATTTGCAGTTCCCAGCTCCTCCCTACACTTGGTTGACACGCAGGTTTACATTCAAGCCTCTATAAGCTTCGTCTTCTCATGCTTCGGACTCGAAGCGGAATTTTTTCGCGCAGCTCTTACTGGCAGTGGTTGCTTCGAATGTTTGGAGTGGCGAAGTCCAGTCGGATGAGATTGCAGTGCCCCCTGATGGGGGAGCGTGCCTAAGGGGCAAGGCAACCACATCTCGCACAGATTCCAGACGTCACGAACATGGCTTTCTAAGAGCTGCCTTTTGATTGGTTCCACATTTGGTTGCATTTCAAAAACATTGGGGAAATGTCAGTGGTTCATGATGAATCCACGGCATGTGAAAAGGATATTCAGCACTCTCAAGACACCAACTCGGGACGGTTTTTAAGCAGTGCATCTATTTTGCCGAGACTAAACACCTGTTCCAGTTGCGCTGCTAATGCAATACGCGCGTCTTTTTGCACTTTTATGCAGGCGATGGCATTTGGAAATGCCTCGATTAAGAGCGCACAAAGGCTTTTGATGAAACGGGTTTTAAACTGTAAATTCTTGCAGTGATTTTTAGAAATACGGATGGAATTGCAGACAGTGTTAGTTTCACTTACAAAGGCCCAAACCTCCCATAACATCCAGAGGCTATGGGTCTGCACATTCCAAGTCACAGTGTTAGCTTCATGATGACGTCACGACGCGGTAACTTGCTGATTATAGTTTACTCCCAATATTGACACCGCACGTCTGGCCTTCAGGTAAATCTCACGCAGATTTGTCTCTTCACAGCCACTTGCACCATGCAGTCAGCGGGGTGCGGCCTGTAGGCATGGAGACCAGTGGTCCATGCTAGGGCCGAGGTTGAGGGTAAGAGAGGTCTCCACCACCAGACCAAGGGTGGCCAAACGCTGTCGTTTGTTTACCCCCGGGTTGGCACGGGTATTGACACGTGGAGTGGTGCTTAAGTCACGTTATTGAGAACGTGGCCTCCTCCAGATGCGGTTCATCTTGATGGGCGTGGCTGCTGCATCTTGACAATGCACGTTGACTTGTAGATTCCCTAATAAAGGCTTTATTAATTAAGGCTTCACTCCGTGTGTGTGTCCCGCTCACTGACGCAGCTATTTGAACAACCGTTGGTCAATCTGCTGCTGGATGGGCGGCTGTGGGGGTTATTTACTCAAACATCACCATGCCGGTAGTGCGGGTTGGCGAAGGCGGGGAGCGTAGAGGTAAAGTGCAACGATAACTTTGCACGGGCACCTGATAACCAGAACGCAGGCCCACAGGACAAGTTCTGAATGGCGCGGGCAGCATAGGCGGCCGTGGGACCCCGGTGCCACCACTCCGGCGCCCCGCACCTCTGCAGGCGACCGACAGAAGCCCTGGCTCCTGGCAACACCAACAGTGGCGTGGCGGCCACGGCAAGAAGGCTCTCTCGAGAAAGTAGGCGGGGCCCAGCTGCAAATGAGCAGCACCGCAAGAGTCTCAGAAACCTGCGCTACCCCGGCCTGTGGAGCTGAAACGCTACGCACGGACCTCCGCGCCGGCAGCTAATTCAGCTCGAACAGCGGCCGTGTAACAGCTGCTACTCACTCCCATGCACGGCGCTCCTCCCTGCACCAGCTACATCATGCATAGCAGGTCACTACAGCAACACATGCAGCAGGGCACAGCAGCCAGGCACAGCAGCCAGTGATGCTCAGGTTCCTGAATCACTGCAAGTCCAGCACAAAGCCAAGTATCTGTATTCACACCTTCCAGTGTTTACCATTCACACACCACAGCAAACAGCATGACCTGTACACCATATACAGACGACGGTCTACACCCACCACAGCCTGGACACCATACACACCCTACAGGCAACGCGCCACACGGCCTGCATCCTGCAGTCTTATCCACACTCGCAAATCACTGCACGTCTCAACGTACACACATCCCCGTGGCTCCAAGCTCGGGGGCTGGCGCCTCTCTGCTGCTCCTGCAAATTACGGATATCAGATAATGACTCAATGGGAGTGAGAGCCCTATCCGTGTACACGTGTTCTATTTATTGTGCATTAGAACCGACACGTCACCGAGCTTCACGCGACACCCGCGCTACATCAACATAGCTAAACCTGCACCCGGCGCGGGGCCACGGGCGTCACGCACGCGCACATCGTCGTTGGTCTGTCTGTACTCACGAGAGCCACCTCCTCGCCATAGCCATATCACCATAGCCACGCCCTCGCCAAAGCCACCTCAACCACCACCTCATCATCATCCTCACCCTAGCAACTTAACCATTCTCACCATAGCAAACTCTGTTCGCCATAGTGACCTCATCATCCTCACCTCAAATTTGAAAAATGGCACCACAAATTACACAGCAATATCGGCCCCCACTGCAAAACCACTTCAGACTATGAGACGGCAGCATATTGACGATAGCCTTGCGCTAAAATAAGCACACTCCTTCGGAGTGGGCAGGTAGGAACTTGGTTGGACAGCGCATTCTGTGCAATTCGTGTTGGATACTGTAGTCGTGTTGGAGGTTGTAGCTGTTACTATTGCATCTGATGATTCTTGATTTATTGCTGATGTAGGTCTTTAAGTTCATGCAGCTGCTGCAGCAGGTCGCGCCTGTGCTGTGACACCGCCTCCTGCGTGTACCACGCGCGCCAATCCACCTGACCTGGTCCTTGAACGGCCACGATGCTGTCGTAATCGTGCACCAGGTGCATGATGTTGAGCAGGGCGTAGACGCCGCAGTCGTAGTCGTTCGGTTGCTGCGGCACAAGCGCCACCGTGGCGATTGCCACCGGCGTACTCACCGGTTCGGCGCACACGACCCGGACCACCACCGCGCTGGCGAAGGCCGCGATGCTCTTGGCGTTGCGCGACTGCCCCCGCGCAGCCATTGAGTCTAACAGCATGGCAGTCGACCTTGGTGGGCACGTGGTGTTGACGATGACCAAGATCTGCCAGTGCGACTGCTCGTGGATCGGTATGATCCACACCGGCCTGGAAGGCACGTCATCGAAGGAAGACGCGATTCAAGTCGTCGAGATGGCCCGCCAAGAACTTCGTGTACAGGAACGTGTTGAACAGGTGGACGTCTACCGCTCGCGGCAGGAAGTAGAACTGCCCGAACAGGTTGATGACGGTGTCGTTCAACCACTGGCCAGGTTGTAAGCAGCGGAAGTCGTTCGGGAACAGCCTTCCTTACCCCGGAACGAAGACGACGTGTTCGACCGAGACGGGGGGGCGGACGGAGTGACGCCGGGCGGAGGCGGGCTTGGTCGCCGCTTCGCCGCCACAGCAGACTCTTGCGGCGTGGGAGCTGGCTCCTCTGGCTGCGACTGTTTCCCGCACGGGACGAGCGGCTTGCGAGCCTGCGGTCCCGCGCGTGGTTGCCACATGCCGTTTTTGCCAATGTCCATTCGCCATTTCGTCGAATGTATATTCGGCCGCAACGTCTTGAGGTGCGCCTTCCGGAACGAGGGCGCCAAAGGAAAACAACGGAATCGACACGCCTGCCGCACGTGGCTGAACATCACGTACAGCAACTCGAATTACAGATTCGGGCTGCCGTAACTCGGCTCCAGCAGGGTGATGATGTACGCGAACGTCGCGCCCTGGCATTTCCATGTGGTGATTGCGAACGACAGGTCGACCACGTGCATCTCGTAGGCGACCGTGACCTTGCCAATCCGGATCGTCTTCAGCTTGCGTTGGATCAGTCCTATCGAGATGTGGACCGCGTCGACGCCACCGTCAGCATCGCGCGGGGCGACGTTGACCCCATGCACGGAGACGATGATATGGTCAGGCGGCGTCGGCACGTCAATGACACGGCGGACGCCGTCGTCGCCGCTGTCGCTTTGAGCACGTATGGCGGCGATGGTGGCGCGGCGTTCGTCCGCATCGTCCCACATGACGGATACCAGCGTGCAGGGCGTGCCATTCGCGACATTGTAGACGACGTTGCCGCTGCCATTGTCGAGGATCTGGGCAGGGCAGCCAGCGACGAAGTACCCGAACAGCTCGGGATTGTCCTCCTCCTGGTAGAGCAGAGACTGCAGCGAGACGGGAACGTCGCGCTCCAGGCGCCGACACCACCGCAGAACGTGTTGCCCCGTGGCAACGGCGACGTGTACAGCGAGTGCAGCGTTGACGACGGCCCGATCGCGATGGCTTGTCGCCAGGCACGTGGATTCCGTGAGCCAGGCCGGATCGGCGGCGATCTCGGTCTTGGTAATCGGTGCCGTCAGGCCATCGATTATGTCGTCGGTGTATGGGGCGGAAGGCGCAGTCGGCATCCGTCCAGCGGGTCCCCGTCGGGTAGTGCCGCGGTAGCCTGGAGCTGCTCAGTCATCTCGAATACATGGAATTGCTCGAACAAGGAGCGCGCCTTCAGGTCTTCCGACGACACGGCGCCGTACATAACGCAATATAAATCGTGCCCGCATGTAACCGGCAGCTGTATGAAGTTGCCCACCAGGATGGAGATGCCCCCGAAAACCACTCGTGGATTGTACATTGAGCGCAGGCGCTGGTCCAACAGCACGAGGAAGGCAGCCGGCAGCATGCTGACCTCGTCGATGACGACGAGGCGCAAACTGTCGCCGCCGATGATGTTGAAAATCAAGTCCACCAGCTGGCCGGCGTTCAGGTCCTTGACGAACGACTTCCACATGGCGGCAAAAGTCTGCCCCTGGGGCAGTGGGCAGGCGCCGACGCCGGTGTAGCAGCAGCAGGCCGTCGTGCCGCCGCATGAGGCGATTTTATCGGCGGTTTTGTGGATGCAGACACTCTTCCCGACGCCACCACCGCCGTGCATCATGAGCAACTTCTGTCCGGGCACGTCGACGATTTCCAATGCGACACAATACTGGCCATCGGTCAGAAAGCACGGCCCGATTTTGACCATGGCCTCGTCATGGAACATCGGATCTACAGGGCCGCCGTTTCCTCCACGGTCACTGGCGGCGCCGACGTCGCCGTGATCGCTATGGCGCGGTTCGAGGGCATGGATCTGCTTGCGCATGTCGCTCAGCGACAGTCGGACGTCATCAGCGGCCCCCTCACCGTGCAGCAAATCGTAGTTGTCGGGTGGGGTGTACACCGGCACCGACGGCGCCGGTCCGTGGCTAGCCGCGAGTTGCTAGGCACTCACGAGAATGGCATCGATGAAGAGCTCATCGCACGAAGCCGTCAGCTCCAGATGGGACGCACGGCGCTAGACATGCGGACGTCAGCCCGGTATTGCGCTGCCTCCACAGACTGGTGATCAGCTCGTTGCGACTGCTCTGATGCCGCTTCGACATCAGGTGGTAAAGAGATTGGAAGTGCTGTCGATTGACGACGGACTCAGAGCGCCGATCCCATGCATGAATCATCTCAGCGAGACCGGCGCCGTCGCGGGCGAACCGTGGCTCGTCGGCACTCTGTCAGGGTACGAGCAGATCCAGGACGTACTTGGCGAAAGATTCCAGATCGCGCTTCCATGCAGAGACTCGGGCGGGATCGTTGGGTTTGTTGCCGGCAAGAACGGCGGTACGCATCGAGCCGAATGACCGCGTTATACTCGGCGAACAGAGAATGTTTGGGCCCCAGATCAAACGAGTGCCGACCAGGCCGAGCCGCGGCAACGCGCTGCTTCTTTGGGACCAGCTCGACGATGCTCTCGAACTCGAGCGCCGAGTATTCGGCAAAGTGAGGCCCGCGGTTGTCGTACGATTCGGCCTGCGACATGAAGACGACGTCGCCGGACGCCAGCCTGTACGCCGTCGCGCCGCCGACGCTGCCGTCGCCATTATCGTCAGGATCGACAGCGAACACCAGGGCGTCCAGGGCCTCGTCGACGAACTGGTCGTCATCGACAGGCGGGTCAACGTCAGGCGCCGGAGGATCGGCGTTTTCGCCGTCCTCATCAATGGCGCGATCCAATTGCCGATCGACGTAGGCGACAGCTGAGTGTGGGGACACGTACCGGAACATTTCCGTCTGGAACTCTGACGTGGCGCCCAGCAGGGCATGTACCATCAAGGGCATGGACCATTGGTGGCCGCCAGTGAACGCGTTGATCGTCTGCGACGCCAAGCGCTTCCCCGTGCGGTGCGCCTTGCCTGTGTCGTCAGGCCACGCTCGGGTGTTGCACAATGTCCTTCCAGGGCCGACAGGAGCACAGCAGTGGCCTGGCGCAAAGGAGCGCCCTCTTTCGTCATATACGCCGCCTCGTACTCCTCGACGGCTTCGCCGGCATCCTGACCACTAATGACGGACGAGTTGTTGTGGCAACCGACCAGGGCGCCGCATTTCCCATACGATCGGGCCAACGGGATGCGGGCGGATGAGCCGCCCAACGGGTCGTACGGACCGTCAATCATGTCCAGCATTGCTTGGTCGACGGGCAGGCCGAAATATGCAGACTAAAATTGCACGTTATCACGTTTTAAATTGTTTGTACAATTAAACGACAATGTTTGAAGTGTGCGCACTGTTTAGCGGCGACGGGGCAGCTGGGGGGAGAGAGAGGTGGAGGTTGGGGGGTGGGGCAGCTGGGGGGAGAGAGAGGTGGGGGGTGGGGCAGATATGCACGACAAATAATCCCTGGTGGGCAGTGTGGAACCTGTTGTTCCTACCTGTATGAGTGCCAATACCAAATGTACTCAATTACCATTGCACTCCCCGACTGCTCAGTGGCAAGACACGCATGCGTGGTGACTCACCCGTGCCACCTCGACTCCGGTATAGGCAGCAGTGGGCCCCCTTCGGGCCGAGTCCGAAGGGGGCCCACTGCGGTGTTGGCCAGCGGGTCCGGATCGTTGACCCACAAAAAAGGGAGTATCCACACGGACAGACTGGGAGCACGAAGCGTGGCTATGGCTACACGGGCACTACGGGGCTACTGAGACCTACCGACTGCTATGGGCATGAACGAGCTAATCAATGCAGGAGCCAGCGAACCGCTACCACTACGGGCTCGCCCGACGACGACTGGCCAGCGCCGCCACGCGTGCCGACAGCGCCGCCGCCCTCTGCCACTCGCGCAAGGAGGCCGCACTTAAACAGAGAACTGTACACGTGTCAATCGTCGCAATAAATACTACAAGTGCCGCAACTCATTGAAAAACAACGTCAATTCGTAAACACTTCCGAGGTATCACACACAACGTGCATGCAGACATTTCAGAAGCAGATTCTGCCGGTCGCGCGTGCCCGTGTAGGGTGGCCGCGATGTCAGTTTTCGGGAATACGGTGTCGGTTTGTACAAAACGACGCACATCGTGATAAACGTTTCCCATACGCTTGTAATTGTATTTGGCATTTATACTATGTTGTGTTTATTGCTCTGCTGTTACTTCTCAAATACAGATTAATGTCTTCACCTGCATTTCACTCAATATATGCCCGACGCTTACAACGTGCATGCTGTCAGTTACAAGAAATAATTACGGAATTCAACTTCCACGTTTGCAAGGAACAAATGGAAAGGGCGATCACTGTTCCTTTAGAATTTGAATATGAGTGTAGCTTATTGCACAACTATCTCATCAGGAAATAAATTATTAAGCAACTATAATGAGCAACGGTAATCACGATATAACGATATTTAGCAAAAACGGACGTTACGATTCTCATGATCCGTGAATCGTACGGTGCACCGTAGTATCGTCGAATCGCGGCGACCCTCGTAGAACGGGAGACATGGGCACGCCTAGGCGGCTTCGACGTACAACGCGAGCGCAATCGACACCTGCAGACGTGGAGGGGTCTGCAGGCCCCGCGGTGCGGGAGAGGCACCGTGACCACTTGGCACCAACGTCTGGTTCTATCGGCCATTTCGGTGTTTTGAGTCGATGGCGTGCCCTAGCCACGCGTTCGACAGTCACGCCGGGCCCTCTAAATAAGGCTCCAGCGTGGGAGTTTTTCAGATGCGGCTCTAGGGAGGCTGGGGCCTTTGCTCCGTCACGAGGCCGCCCTCCTCTTCGTGTCTTAGGGCGACCGTGGCGTCTACAGGAACCTTACCGTCCGGCGGGGCCACCGGCACAGCCCTGGGCCAACGTGGCCCCGAAGTGTTGATGGCACCGAGTGTAACGAGCTTGCCCGTCGCCGCGGCGATGCCGACGGGCTCGCTGCCGTGTCCACGCAGGGCTGTGGGCGGCGCGACAACTGGAAGATGCCGAGGCCTCTGATCAAGGCGGACATTTTTTCGCGGCACTGCATTTGACAAATCATTTCTAGTTTGTATTCGTCGGGGCCCGTCTCCTGCCGTTACTGTCATTTCCTTTTGTTCAGCCGAATTTCAGCCTTGAGGTTTCACGAAGAGGAAGGGCCGCGGCCGCCGTCGTCGTCGTCATCGTCGAGGGGTCGGGGGGGACGGGGTGATGGGGAAGAGGTCCCCAGGAGGGACGGGGCTAGGGGGTGTCGGGCAGCGGGGAGCGGCGAGGCCTCAGGCTGCCGAAGAGCGACTGCACGCCCTTGCGCACGCTGCAGCCAACGCGGCGCGCCACAGAGTCGGCCGGCTGCGATGGCCCTCGCGGCTTCAGCGCCCCGGGGCGCGCATCCAGGCACTTCTGGTAGCGCAGCTGGAGATGCACACACACACACGCATGCCACATGCACAGGCGCACGCACACACACACACGGATGTGTAAAACAACACACCGGTGAATACGAACTGCCAGTGAACTGCGGTAGCCAACTCTCAACCACAATTGATGGCTGCCAGACTCGTTAATACTCTTCAACAAAATTTGAAAGTCTTTATGCAATAGTATTGTTTATATGTCCATCGGTAATTTGGATTGCTTAAATTCTCGTAGAGAAGAGCGAATAAGAGCTATATTTTAGCATAAGGATTAATTAATCTTGGCGATTGAACCTTCTGAAAACCGGCCAAATTGATCCGAAGGTTGCTCAAAACCTGGGAGACAAACCAGAGCACAAAAATAATGATTTGTAAACATGCCGAAGTGATTTTGCCCTGACAGCTGCCTGCCAGCTGCCTGCCAGCTTGCATACTCCACGTTAAACACTTCTGAACACAAACGAATACTGCAAAGCTGCTAAATCGTAGAGCGAGTATTTGCAATGCCCTCCAGATTTTTGGATTAATGTTAAATATCCGAAAATCAGGCTCTGGTACAAAATCCTCGATGGTGATGATGATGTTTCTATTGTCGTTCCAGATTTACCTGAAACTGTCCCTGAAAATCAAGTGTGCAAAGTTTTTTCAGCGGCCAGGTGGTGGCGTCGTGGTAACATTCGTACCTCATGGCGAGAAGGGCCTGGGGTTCGATTCCTGACTCAGGTGCCTTTCTGTGTGGGGTTTGTATGTTCTCCCCCTGTTCAGCATGAGTTTCCTCTGGGGTCTCCGGTTTGATACAATCCAACTGGTATTGGCCAAAAATTCCAACTCTTAATTTTTTGTTCCTTAAAATACTCAATTGTGATTACACACAGCAACATCATCTCGACTACGTAAACTTTTATTGAGACTCATTGAGGCTTTCCTGGATAATCGAGCGCAATCGTTTTTTTGACTTGCTGTACACAAGAACAAAGGCCCGCTGCAGAACGTTGAAAGCGCAATAGTATTTCATGGGTGCGCGGCGCGGCCTATGGCAGGCGCGGAGGGACGACGTACCACGCAGGCCGCCTGCACGGCCTCGGAGAGGCCCGCACAGTTGGGCTCGCACCAGAACGCGTGGCACTCGAAGCGGTGTGGCGTCGCCGCCATGATGAACGCGAAGGAGCGAGCGTCGCGGCCCACACCCAGGAACGAGAGGAAGCGCACACGGCACTCAAACACCACCTCATCTCCCTGCTCACCGCCCTCCTCCTCCTCCTCCTCCTCATCACCTCCCTCCTCCTCGTCACCACTTTCTATGCTACGCGACTCCTGCAAACAACACGAGCATTCAGACCGATTGATATCATGACACTCAAAGTGATTGCCTGTGATTTCCGAATGCGCAATGAGGCACTGGTGCTCATAACCTGTTTACAGCCGTGCAGAGCCACATTCTGTTGTGTAGATGTCAGCGAGACGAATGAAACCCACGATACAAACGGCTGTTATCCTCTAGCCATACCCCGAGACCTGTGTGTCCTGGACAAATTAAGCCGCACCTTTTCCTTGCAGATGGCCACAGTGGCCGGGGCCACGTTGATCACGACGGGCTCCCAGTCTTCCTTCACGGACTTGGCCATGAGCGCATCGATGGAATCGTTGAGCACCTCCATGCCTGGGACGACGCGCAAGTCAAGAGACACGCAGACGCACGCGCCGCCGCCACACGACACGAAACCCCCCCCCCCCCCCCCCACTCCCATTTCGTTGGAAAACTTACACCACGTGGGCCAGGTGCAGCCCAGAGGAGGCCCACGACTTTACTTTTTTCTAATTTTTATTATCATTTCATGTATTTACCCAGGAATGCCTCACCGAGTCTCAAGACTCTTTTTTCCTGCCAAGTTTTCTTAGTAGAGGATGATGTTGTTGCGGTGAGTAATCCCAATAAATTTTCAAGTAATTCTCAGCATTAGGAAATCGAACTAAGGCGCTTCTTTCTGTGAGCGACGAGTGTTACCACTGCGCCGCAGCAACCATGCCGGCCGCATGAAGCGAGGTTGTTAAAAAGGGGGTTTGATAAATGATTGTCCTACAGACCACAACCTTGGATAGCGATCCATGTCTGTGGTCGGATTGGAAATTGTTCTCCCAGGTGCCCACTGGGGAGATCAGATTTCTCCAGATTTAAGCGGCTGAATTTTATACAAAAGAAAATGGAGCAAGAGCCATTCCCAGTGGCAGAGTGCCACGAGCGTGTACTCGAGCCACTTCTCCAGGCACCGTCGCAGCAGCGACGGCATTTGCAAACGGAATAACGGCACCACTATTAAAAAAGCAAACATTTCAGATTGCAATTTTCTTAAAGCTTCGCATAACGGGCGCCATAGAACAAAACATAGCAAAACGTCGCCGGTGCAGAACGCAGCTCAGCAGTGCGGCAACCGTTATCTCACGGTGGAGCGCCGCACTCTGCGGTAGTCGTGTTCGTTATGCTCGTGCCGAGGGGTATGTCGCACCGTCGCTTGCGGCGTCACCGCCGGCAAAAGGACACGAGTGAGAGAGCCGTGTGAATCGGTGGAGGCTGCCGGGCGTGAAGGCTTACCCATGAAGCTCGGTGGCTTACCCGCAGGCCTGTCCACCGCCATGGAGCCCACGTACAGCACGTGGAACTTCTGCACCGACTCCATCTTGGCCGTGGGAAACTCCACTGCTGAGAGACAGCGACCAACTCAACCAGGAATTCAGGACCCAATTTAATCAGGGACCCGACTCAATCGGGGACTCCGTGAGGCTGTAGTAAGAGGGTGAGTGAGGCTGTGTGACGCTGTGCGAGGCCGTGACCCCCGTACCTTGCAAAGGGGCTTCATGAAGCTGCTGCCCGAGCTCGGCGGCACAGCTGCTGGCGCAGGACTTGGCGCTTCTCCTCTCCGCCATGATCTGCGTTCACGCGTGCGGCACCGCGGGAACGTGAGAACCTCGCGACGCCTACACAGAGGTCCCCAACCCTCAACGTCACCCCCATCCCTCACCCGCCCCCCCATCCCTCCCTCCGCGTACCCGGGCACAGATCTCGTGGAGGCTGGTGGCGATGGCCTTGGCGGGCGTGTCGCAGCGGAACACGTGGCACTTGAGCACGCGGGTGAGCTTGTCGCGCGCCACGTACGCAAAGTCCCTGCGGGGACACGCGGAGAGAGACGCGGGCGGCGCTCGGCATCGCCGCTCACTCGCTCAGGCCGCGCCTGCCCCCCTTCCTCCCAAACTTTCCTGGCCCCCCCCGCCACCCCAATCCCCACCCCACCCATCCCCCCCGGCCCCCCTCAAACGCTGTTTTGCCTCTAACACCAGTGGGCAGTGAGTCACTCACTCACTGGCTGCGAGTCCATTGCCGATCGCTCTTCTATACCATTGGAACCTCAATTGCCAGTAGCAAAATATGATAGTTGATTTTTTACCCTTTTATCTGGCAACAAAACTGACACCCTTAAAAAAAATTCAGTTTTGTTGCCAGATAAAAGGGTAAAAAAACAATTATCGCTCTTCTATAGTTACTACCACTGCTGTTCCCATGAACTTCAGTTATTGATTCCTCCACCCATGTTGAGGACTCTGTCCACCAGACACCACTACACTGCAGGTCACAATAACACACTCACCGACTCACACTCACCCAACTCATTCACTCACTCTAAAACTATAAACTCTTTTTTTTATTTTACCAGGTAAGGCCCACTGAGCTATATAGATATTTTTCAGACGCGACCTGGCCCCAAATGATAGCTCAAGTGGCTTATCATGTGGAAATTTTTAGGAGCCAAATACTCTTTACGTGTGTTTCTAAATGTGTATGTGCAGTCGTCAGGGTCGGGATCGAACCCACGACCTATTTTCCAGGCGAGGTAGTTAACATCTGGCCACAGTCTTACCTGTTCTCTATTAAAAGTGTAATTGTGCTCTTTCTTGCTTGCCACTTGGCAAATTTGGCCGCTTAGGCCCAGACGCTCGATCACACACCGACCACACGGCGCTCCTTTGACCCGCCCCCCTCTGTGCTCACATCGCTGGTCTCAGGATTGCGAGCCGTTACATTCGCTCATTTGGGTGGCAGGTTGGTAGTGGCGCAGCGGTAGCACCGCGCCACGCAGAAAGAAGAGCCTGGGTTTCTATCGCGACTCAGGCGCCGTTCTGCGTGGGGTTTGTCAATCTCCAAATGACGGGCCACTTTGTTGAGCAATCACTTGTGACCAGGTCGCTTCTGACAAACAAGTGAATACTTGCAGTGGGCTTTTGCTTGGTAGAATGTGGATGGTTGAGTGTTGTATTCGTTTGTGTTTGGGTGATTTGTTTACCTCTCTTGTACTTTGCACTGCCGTCGTGTTTTTGTATTGCTTGTTGTGAAATAGAGCTTTACAGCCCATCGGATTCCACCAGTATACATACATATTCTCATTCTGGTGTGCTTGTTCTCATCCGCCTGTTCTGCGTGAGCTTCTTCCGAGTTGTCTGATTTCCTCCCATAGCTAAAAAGTACTAAAAACTACACTCACACAATAGAACTGGTCTTGCCAAACATCCCAATGCTGAAAAACTACCCGCAAGGCACTCAATTCGGACCACACGCAGCAGCAACATTGCCCTATACTGCAACAAAAACTGGCAATACCCTCCTGAAAAATTGTCTTGAGACTCGATGAGGCTTTACTGGGTAAATAAGCACAATAATAATCACAAATGAGAGACAATCCACTGGAAGTGACCTACAAAGCAGAAAACTGCAATCATCATTGTATTTATAATTAATTTACCCAGCAAAGCCAAACTGAGCCCAGAAACTCTGTTTCAGGAGCATCCTGCTACATAGGAATGCTCGGCTTACATCAATAACATTGTTCGTGTTAAGCTATGGGAGAAAACTAGAGAACCCAGAGGTATCCATACAGAACAGGGGGAGAACATATAAGCTCCACATGGAGGGGGGTCTGAGTTGGGAATCGGGTCCTCCGTGTCCTCGTGCAGCTCTAACTCTGCCTGCGACTGTGCCGGCGAGCGTGTCTGCTGCGCAAGTCTGCTGGGCAAGTCTGCTGGGCATGCCATCGCCGCGTCTGTGTTTGCTGCGTAGTGATTGCATGTGCAGCGATCGCTGCGAGTGTGGTCGCTGCGAGTGTGGTCGCTGCGAGTGTGGTCGCTGCGTGGGTGCTGATGCTTTTACCTCTCCCTGGGCGTCCACGCGAGGCAGCGGGGAAACGGAGAAAGTGAGAGGAGGCGAGAAGACACAAAACACGGTTAGAAAGCCACAAGCGCACGAACACATAACAAACCGGGGCGTTCCCGGGCGAGACGCAAGTGAGTACCCGCTCCCCGAGCGACAAAGGAGACCGTGCATCCGCGTAACGTTCATGCCACTGTCCAGCTCCAGGCTGACGACCCACGTAGCTCCAGCCGGGCCACGGGAAGTCGACCGGGTAGGCATACTAGGCGAGGCGCAGGGTTGTAGGTCTCTGTGATGCTCGACTAGGCCAAAAAAGTTTAATTCCTCTACGCACTCCATACATCGTGTGAGTGTTCGCTTGTGGGAGGTGTTAAGCCGACGCTGGCACTGCTCTGGGTGGGAGGTGGTGGTCATTGAAAATGACCAATGTTGCCCAGGGTGAGCTGCCTGGGGGTGTAGGGGGTGGCCGTGCGTAGCCTTCGGAGACGTGCCCACCTGCCATTGTCGCGCCCGACGCCCCACACGCGGATGTTGATGATCGGCTGGGAGTGCAGCACGCCCTGGTCCATGGGGTCGACGAGCGTCAGCAGATCCTTCTCCAGCAGCAGGAACATGTCCTTCCCCTGGCGAGCGGCACACGGACAGAGGCTCGTGGCTCAGGCTCGCGGCTCAGGCTCCCGAGTACAGGGCACAAAATAGGCGGGCAAGGTGGAGGTGGGGATGGGGGGGCGGCTGTGAGTTTGGGTGACCGACCTCTCCCCAGATGCCGGCCGTGTCTCGGATGTCGCTCTTGCGGTAGGACAGCTGGCGGATGCAGTTGTTGACGGCGATGCTGCTGCGGCCAGGAGCCAAGTCCTCCTCGCTCATTTCCACCCAGCCCAGCGATCGCACGGCGAAGCACTGCAGCAACACACCACAGCCTCCGCATCGTCACCACGGTGTGGAAATTATCATCACGGTTCTAGATTTGAAGCTTTCGTGACTGCAAGGATTCATACTCTTAGGTTTTTTCGGTAAAGTCACGTAGGTAAAATTTTTAATTAATAAAAGTAATAATAGAAATAAAATAATAAATCACGACGTTTCGAAGGCAACACAAGTCTCTGTCATCAGGTGGGACCGTCACAGCCAGATTTACTGTATAAAGTGAGGGAAATAAATAAATACAACTTGAGACTGTAAATCTAGCTGTGATGTCCCACCTGATGACGGAGACTTGTATTGCCTCCGAAACGTCGTGATTTTTTATTTATTTTATTTCTAATATTACTTTTATTAATTTGAATTTTATTTTTTTACCTACGTGACTTTACCGAAAAAACCTAAGAGTATGATCATCACGGTGTCGCCACGGGTGTGACGACATCACTGTGGTAGTCACGGCGTCACCATGGTCATCACGGAATTGCCGTGCTCGTTACAGCATCGCCACCGAGCTCGGCGTAGAAAAACGATGGGAGGGATCCACTGTGAAGAATGGTCGTGCATGCCCGGAACTGTACGGTCAGCGTCGAGGGCAGAGGTGACCGAGGAACAGGACCTCACCTTGGCCTCGGGGTTACAGGGAAGATCACAGCCCATGCAGTCCCCCTCCTCCTCATCCATGTCCCCTCTGCACGGGCATACAGAGGTGAGTTACATTCGGGGTTGTTCAATGATAACCGTTAATCCGGTGACTGTTATCGGAATAGGTCATTGGTTCTGAAAGTCGGGAACCGCTGATCCGTTCCAGAGGAATCCGAGTAACAAATGCACCGATTGGCTCGCAATAAAACCTGCAAACGGCACGGCGGCCCACGTCACCACGCGGTTCAGGTGTTCTCATATCTCGGTTTAAAGTTAAAGGTGCAGTCCTGCACTCGCTTGCTAATTCTAGAGGGAGCCCGAGAGGGTATGTTGTTTACTCTTCCACGCTAACCAGACATCCTGGAAGAGGTGGTCGTACCCACACTTTACCCCACCACACACGACCATTTGCACCGCTGGGTGGACAGAGGCGTTGGAGATTTAATAAACTTGCCCCATTGTTTCAACTACTGCGCCGGGAGGAGACGGAATTGAACTGGCGACCTCTGGATTACAAGTCCAACATGCTGACCACTTCATCACCGTGGCAGTTGCCTTCAATTCTCAGTTAAAAGGTAAATAGGCCATGTTCATTGCTCTAGACATTTCTACACGTGCAGCGAACCGGTGTCAACCCGATTTAAAAACGGTTACCGGTTAAACAAAAATAACAAACGGACACCAAACCCAGGAACACCCCGCCGTCAATCGGGGGCGCTCACCCGAGTTTAAGGGAGGCATAGCGCAGGGTGGCACCCTCGAACTCCTTGAGGCTCGGGTCGGGGTGCGTGCTCTCAGCGTGCAGATCCTGCACATGCACTCACACAAAGACCACCATGAGTGGGAATCGAACCCGGGTCGCCAGGTTCGTAGGGCAGCGCGCTAACCGCCACGCTGCCGCTCACCACACGCGTACACAATCAATCACACGCACAAAAATCCCGAGTGTAGCCATAACAGAGTGTAGGAGCAAGTGCTGTTAGCGAGCACCTACGAAGGCCGGCACGGCACACGAGGTGGTGGGTGTCCAACAACACGTCCAGCCACCTTTGTCTCCCCAGTGGCGATGTTTACACACCGCACCTGGTACGGTACTCAGATAATCGTCACTCTTGTTCAGGAGGGTCCTTCCAAGTTTTTTACAGCAGGGGTCGACGTTGCTGCTGTGTGTGTGTCATCCCAATTGAGTAATTTACAGGTAATCGTTTAGCATTGGGATGTTGGGCCGATACCACTTACATCGAGGAAACTGGCGGAACCCGGAGGAAGCCCATGCAGAACAGAGGGAAAAAATACAAACTCCACACAATACAAACCCATGACTATCTTGCTGTGACGCGCGACTGGTACCAGTGTGGCACCACGCTGCTGCCCCAAAGGGGGACGCTGGTGCGAGGGGGACACTCACCAAGTTGTCCGGCACCGTGGCCGGCGGGAAGGTGGCGCTGGGCGGGGAGGGCGGCTCCCACTGCGTGGTGCCCGTGGGGATGTGCCAGTAGTAGATCCCCGACGTGTCGCGGATCTTCTTCCAGCCGGGTGGCAGCGCGGGATCGGCCTCGTCATGCGAGCAGTCATCCCACAACTCGTCTGGGGTGATGGAGGGGCGAGTGCAGAGACACGGCGCCACCGGCACTCAGCGGCACAGCAACATCGGGCACCAACAATAACGTTGAGTTGCGGCACTGTCAATCCGTCACCAGGGAGAGAGAGAGAGTGCGACGAAGGCGAGTGGGGTGTTGGGTTTTCCCACAGGGGCGGCGCGAGGGATTCATGGGACAGGGAGGACGACGAGGACGACTCCCGGCTTTGACCTTTGTGGGCAGCTCCCCAGCCTCAATGTGACCATCACAGCCGGCTACACTGCCGTACACAACTAGACTGCCGTACACAGCTAGACTACCTTACACAGCTAAACTGCCTTACACAACTATACTGCTTTACACAACTATACTGCCTTACACACAGCTAGACTGACTCACACACAGCCAGACTGACTCACTCACAGCTAGACTGCCTTACACAGCTAGACTGCCTTACACAACTATACTGCCTTACACACAGCTAGACTGACTCACACACAGCTAGACTGACTCACACACAGCTAGACTGCCTTACACAGCTAGACTGCCTTACACAGCTAGACTGCCTTACACAACTATACTGCCTTACACACAGCTAGACTGACTCACACACAGCTAGACTGACTCACACACAGCTAGACTGACTCACACACAGCTAGACTGACTCACTCACAGCTAGACTGACTCACACAGCTAGACTGACTCACACACAGCTAGACTGACTCACACACAGCTAGACTGACTCACTCACAGCTAGACTGACTCACACACAGCTAGACTGACTCACTCACAGCTAGACTGACTCACACATAGCCAGACCGACTCACTCACAGCCAGACTGACTCACTCACAGCTAGACTGACTCACACACAGCTAGACTGACTCACACACAGCTAGACTGACTCACACACAGCTAGACTGACTCACACACAGCTAGACTAACACACAGCTAGACTGACTCACACACAGCTTGACTGACTCACTCACAGCTAGACTGAATCACTCACAGCTAGACTGACTCACACACAGCTAGACTGACCCACTCACAGCTAGACTGACTCACTCACAGCTAGACTGACTCACTCACAGCTAGACTGACTCACACACAACTAGACTGACTCACACACAGCTAGACTGACTCACACACAGCTAGACTGACTCACACACAGCTAGACTGACTCACTCACAACTAGACTGACTCACAGCTAGACTGACTCACAGCTAGACTGACTCACTCACAGCTAGACTGACTCACTCACAACTAGACTGACTCACACACAACTAGACTGACTCACACACAGCTAGACTGACACACAACTAGACTGACTCACTCACAGCTAGACTGACTCACACACAGCTAGACTGACTCACACACAGCTAGACTGACTCACACACAGCTAGACTGACTCACACACAGCTAGACTGACTCACACACAGCTAGACTGACTCACTCACAGCTAGACTGACTCACATACAGCTAGACTGACTCACACACAGCTAGACTGACTCACACACAACTAGACTGACTCACACACAGCTAGACTGACTCACACACAGCTAGACCGACTCACACACAGCTAGACTGACTCACACACAGCTAGACTGACTCACTCACAGCTAGACTGACTCACATACAGCTAGACTGACTCACACACAGCTAGACTGACTCACACACAACTAGACTGACTCACACACAACTAGACTGACTCACACACAGCTAGACTGACTCACACACAGCTAGACTGACTCACACACAGCTAGACTGACTCACACACAGCTAGACTGACTCACTCACAGCTAGACTGACTCACACACAGCTAGACTGACTCACACACAGCTAGACTGACTCACACACAGCTAGACTGACTCACACACAGCTAGACTGACTCACACACAGCTAGACTGACTCACACACAGCTAGACTGACTCACTCACAGCTAGACTGACTCACTCACAGCTAGACTGACTCACTCACAGCTAGACTGACTCACACACAACTAGACTGACTCACACACAGCTAGACTGACTCACACACAGCTAGACTGACTCACTCACAACTAGACTGACTCACAGCTAGACTGACTCACTCACAGCTAGACTGACTCACTCACAACTAGACTGACTCACACACAACTAGACTGACTCACACACAGCTAGACTGACACACAACTAGACTGACTCACTCACAGCTAGACTGACTCACACACAGCTAGACTGACTCACACACAGCTAGACTGACTCACACACAGCTAGACTGACTCACACACAGCTAGACTGACTCACTCACAGCTAGACTGACTCACATACAGCTAGACTGACTCACACACAGCTAGACTGACTCACACACAGCTAGACTGACTCACAACTAGACTGACTCACACACAGCTAGACTGACTCACACACAGCTAGACTGACTCACACACAGCTAGACTGACTCACTCACAGCTAGACTGACTCACACACAGCTAGACTGACTCACACACAGCTAGACTGACTCACACACAGCTAGACTGACTCACACACAGCTAGACTGACTCACACACAGCTAGACTGACTCACACACAGCTAGACTGACTCACTCACAGCTAGACTGACTCACACACAGCTAGACTGACTCACACACAGCTAGACTGACTCACACACAGCTAGACTGACTCACTCACAGCTAGACTCACACACAGCTAGACTGACTCACACACAGCTAGACTGACTCACACACAGCTAGACTGACTCACAACTAGACTGACTCACACACAGCTAGACTGACTCACTCACAACTAGACTCACACACAGCTAGACTGACTCACTCACAGATAGACTGACTCACACACAGCTAGACTGACTCACTCACAGCTAGACTCACACACAGCTAGACTGACTCACACACAGCTAGACTGACTCACAACTAGACTGAATCACTCACAGCTAGACTGACTCACACACAGCTAGACTGACTCACACACAGCTAGACTGACTCACACACAGCTAGACTGACTCACACACGGCTAGACTGACTCACACATGGCTAGACTGACTCACACACGGCTAGACTGACTCACACACAGCTAGACTGCCTCACACACAGCTAGACTGACTCACTCACAACTAGACTGACTCACACACAGCTAGAATGACTCACACACAGCTAGACTGACTCACTCACAGCTAGACTGACTCACACACAACTAGACTGACTCACACACAGCTAGACTGACTCACTCACAGCTAGACTGACTCACACACAGCTAGACTGACTCACGCACAGCTAGACTGACTCACACACAGCTAGACTGACTCACTCACAGCTAGACTGACTCACTCACAGCTAGACTGCCTCACTCACAGCTAGACTGACTCAGTCACAACTAGACTGACTAACTCACAACTAGACTGACTCACACACAGCTAGACTGACTCACTCACAGCCAGACTGAGTCACTCACAGCCAGACTGCCTCACACACAGCTAGACTGACTCACACACAACTAGACCGACTCACACACGGCGAGACTGACTCACTCACAGCTAGACTGACTCACACACAGCTAGACTGACTCACACACAGCTAGACTGACTCACTCACAGCTAGACTGACTCACTCACAGCTAGACTGACTCACACACAGCTAGACTGACTCACACACAGCTAGACTGACTCACACACAGCTAGACTGACTCACACACAGCTAGACTGACTCACACACAGCTCGACTGACTCACACACAGCTAGACTGACTCACACGCAGCTAGACTGACTCACACGCAGCTAGACTGCCTTACACAACTATACTGCCTTACACACAGCTAGACTGACTCACACACAGCCAGACTGACTCACTCACAGCTAGACTAACTCACTCACAGCTAGACTGACTCACACACAGCTAGACTGACTCACACACAACTATACTGCCTTACACACAGCTAGACTGACTCACACACAGCCAGACTGACTCACACACAACTATACTGCCTCACACACAGCTAGACTGACTCACACACAGCTAGATTGACTCACACACAGCTAGACTGACTCACACACAGCTAGACTGACTCACTCACAGCTAGACTGACTCACACATAGCTAGACTGACTCACACACAGCTAGACTGACTCACACACATCTAGACTGAATCAGTCACATCTAGACTGACTCACTCACAGCTAGCCTGACTCACTCACAGCTAGACTGACTCACACATGGCTAGACTGACTCACACACGGCTAAACTGACTCAAACACAGCTAGACTGCCTCACACACAGCTAGACTGACTCACTCACAACTAGACTGACTCACTCACAGCTAGAATGACTCATACACAGCTAGACTGACTCACTCACAGCTAGACTGACTCACACACAGCTAGACTGACTCACACACAGCTAGACTGACTCACACACAGCTAGACTGACTCACACACAGCTAGACTGACTCACACACAGCTAGACTGACTCACTCACAACTAGACTGCCTCACTCACAGCTTGACTGCCTCACACACAACTAGCCTGACTCACACACAGCTAGACTGACTCACACACAGCCAGACTGACTCACTCACAGCTAGACTGACTCACACACAGCTAGACTCACTCACACACAGCTAGACTGACTCACATACAGCTAGACTGACTCACACACAACTAGACCAACTCACAGCTAGACTGACTCACACACAGCCAGACTGACTCACTCACAGCTAGACTGACTCACACACAGCCAGACTGACTCACTCACAGCTAGACTGACTCACACACAGCTGGACTGACTCACACACAGCTAGACTGACTCACTCACAACTAGACTGACTCACAGCTAGACTGACTCACACACAGCTACTGACTCACACACAGCTAGACTGACTCACTCACAGCTAGACTCACACACAACTAGACTGACTCACTCACAGCTAGACTGACTCACACACAGCTAGACTGACTTACTCACAGCTAGACTCACACACAGCTAGACTGACTCACTCACAGCTAGACTGACTCACTCACAGCT